TTCAGTTTCTTCCTTTTCCTTAATTATAAGTGTTAATCTATCCATTTCAGCACATTCTAACATTTTTTTTTAATCACATTTTCATCTGTAGGGATCTCTTCACTTTTCCATTGTTGTGCAAATACAATTCTAGCTGCAGTTAATATGTGTAAAAGTGCCATTGTAACTTTAAACAGTCACTAAACAAATGGTTGCAAGTCGAGAGCAGCATAGAGGAGAACTGTGAGGATTCTTGTATGTAATGGCATTCTCCCTTTTGATTCCCTGCACCAGCTGATGAAGCACATTGTTCTGACCCAGCCTTTGCAAGCAATGATAAGCCACTTACTCGCGAGTAAAACAAACCCCTTTTCAAAACTGGGTAAGAACAGTCTTTTATTCATGTGGATAAACAAAAACCAAACAAAATTAGTCCCAACAATTAGTTCTAGCCAAGGAATCCGAATTGCTTGATGTATACTAGAAAACGAACGGTTGTCTGCGATAACTAGCCACTCCCAAACCCCTACTATTTATTTCTCAGCCAGGGAGAGGCTGGCTAGCGCCTACGTCTGCTTTTCCTTGAGAACTGGCTTATTGCTTTCCTTTGCTCTCCTCTCCTTTCCTTTCTATTCATTCGCGCCAGGGGTGGGTTCTACTTACCTTTACTACCGGTTCGCAACGGGGCCATGTGCACGCGTGCTCTTCTGACATCAGGGTCGGTGGGCGGAGCCTCCCACCAGTTTTACTACTGGTTCTATAGAACCGGTGCGAACCGGGGGCAACCCACCACTGATACGTGCAGCTAGGATGGGCCCCATCTGTTCCCCTTCCTCACTCAGCTCCGGCCCTGAAGACAGCTGCCTCTCCACCTGGGGAAGGACAGAAGGCCCCGGCTCTGCCTCTGCCTCTGATGCTGTTTCCTTATCAGAGCCTTCCAAAAGCTCCAAGACTGGCCCAGACTCCCCCTCCCCCTCCTCTGACTCTGCAGCTAGCTCTGCTGGCAGCCAACAGACCACAACACATATCTGGATTCTTGGACTTCTGGACCATGACCTGATACATTTCTGCCCTCCCTACCCCCACCCCATTCCCTCTCTCTCTCTCTCTCTCTCTCTCTCTCTCTCTTGGCTTTTGACATTTGGAGCTTTTTGCAGGCAAGCTCTCTAGAAATGGGGACTTCGTTGCTCTGTGTTTCATCTGTACACACAACTCATGAAAGTAAAATTCCTTGAGATTATGCCTGAGTATGGGTGAACGTCTGGCCTGGGACAAGTCAACCGATTCTTTTATATCTGTTTCTTCCAATACAGTGGACGCAAAAGTTTAGGTCCGATTGACAGATAGTCCTCAACCGTTCAGAGTGACAATGGCACTGAAAAAAGTGACTTACGACCATTTTTCACACTTACTACTTGCAGCATCCCATGATCACCTGATCAAAACTCAGCCACTTGGCAACTGACTCATATTTATGACAGTTGCAGTATCCTGGGATCATGTGATCACCTTTTGCAGCCTTTTGACAAGCAAAGTCAATGAGGAAGCCAGATTCATTTAACAATCATGTTACTATCTTAACCAATGCAGTGATTCACTTAACAACTGTGACAAGGAAAGTCGTAAAATGAGGCTAAACCCACTTAACAACTGTCGTGCTTCGTAACAATAATTTTGAGCTCAGTTGTGGTTGTAAGGTCAAGGACTACCTATAACTATATGTTTCAGCGAATCTCTAAGTGAAGTTGCCACAACCTCTACATGTTCAACACGACATATTTCTGCAAATTTGAATGCATATTTATAATTTGTGTGCAATCATTTACAGGTTAAAAAAGAAAATGGTGAATATGACATGCCATGTCAGGCAGTGCTTTGTGAAACCATCTATGGCAAGAGTAACAGCTTCCAAATACTTCCTGTAGAAAGCTAAGACCATTTCTCATCTTGCCTTTGGAATTTTTCTCTCTTTTTCTGTGCAGAACCTTTCTAGAAATAGCATGCCCTGAATATTTGACAGATGTTCCATAATATTTAAGTCTAGGGAATGCCAAGACTGTCCCCAAACATTTATTTTTCTTCCTGCAAATACTTTTTTTTTTAATTTGGAAGTATCAGATTGTTGTTATGTCACGTTTGATTGCTACTGTGGAACATTAACTTATTGATCTTTAATTGAATCTATTCTTTCATTCCCTTGCACAATATTCTCTGTGTGGCTGGATGCCACAGAAGCACAAATCATAATAGAGCAATTCCTGTGCTTAACCATACTTAAACCAGTGCTTTCCAAACTTTTTCCTTTATTACCCAAAACTACTTATCAGAGAATCTTACTGAACTTCAAGGACCTGTCATAAAGCCTTCCTTCAGCACCAACTGCAACTTCAAATGGTTGCTGAAAAAATTGGTGTAACTTAAGAACTACCTGTGCTATAAAAAGTTCTTGACTGATCTTGCCATTTCATCAGTTTTCACCTTAATATGAATACTCTGGGACATTTTCAAATACAGTTGTGGCAATTTTTAAGTCCCTGTTGTGGACTAATGAGTTTGTTACCCCTCCCGCCCCCCCAAAATGACTATATTGATGAGGTTAGAGAAAAGGGTTTCTTATTTGTTAGTTATTGTATACTCATATTATAGATAGTATCGTACATTTATGGACAACTAATCAATGTAAATTAAACTGCTCTCTGATCTTCATACGCTATATGGCAGAATGTTTTCCAGTTTTTCAGAGTGTTTCTGTTGAAATCACTAGTTAGAAATATTAAGGTATTTTTTTTATAACATTCCCCTGTCCATGCATTAAATTGTAATCTAAAAATGGTTTGGTGTTAGAAAAATGATGTCTATTTTTACAAAAAGTACAATTGCCTAATAGTGTAAAAGTAGTGCCTATGGTCAGTGATTAAATAACACCAGTGAATAAATCTATCCCAGTGGAAGATTTGAATGAGATGGACAAAATGAAATAATAATAATGTGATTCTGGCTGTATTGGTCAGAAAAAGCACAGAGAAACAGAAGCCAAGGCAACAATTTTATTATGAAGCATCTCTTATTTTTATGGCACTCCTGACTGAAGAGACACTTTTCCATGTGATTTTGCACCTTACTCCAGCAGTGATATCTTGGTGCTTTTAGCTGAAGCTGTCATCATAACATTTGTGTTTGGGGGGATAAATTTTTGCTTCTTTCATAATGTTGTATGAACTCACCAGATGTTTACTTCAACAAAGAAGCAAAGCTGATTTCTATGTCACTATGGCATTCATAAATTATTCCTCTTTTTTATTTTGTCTTGTCTGTCCAAAAAGAATTTGCAGGAACATTTTAAAAGCTTGTGGGCCTGTGCTTGTATCTCTAATTGTTCACCTAGCTAGCAGGAACGTTAAAGGTAATGATCAACATTTATGTGTTATATAACACATAAATTAATTATTTATGTGTTATATTTATAAATGGACATAGTTCTTAAGTCAATTGGAATTTATTCAAGTATTCTGCCTCTCTGCAGATTGTGCGTTTTTATCGGCTATCACTAAAACCCACAACTGGGTTGAAGAAAAACTGTAGCTGCCAAAGGAAGAAGCAGATACCCATAAAATATTGAAAGAGCAAAGCAGGAGCTCCACCTAGAGGTCTGGGGATGCTATTAACTGCCCTTTCAATTCACTTGTAGTTTTACGTCCCATCAAGTGTGCAACTATTTATGTTCAGTATTTATGTTCAGTGGTGGGTGAGAAATAACTAGTGGATTTAACCCGCAGAAGGCTTTATGACAACAAAGCTATGAAATGTCTCATCACCCCGAAGTTAAGAAGCACGGTGGGTCAGTGGCTTAAAAGTGCCAGGCATGGTTTTTGCTCTGACAGTTCAAATCCTAGTACCTCATGATGGCGTGACCTCCCATCACTTGCCTCAACTTCTGCCCACCTAGCAGTTCAAAAGCATCTTACATGTGAATAGATAAATAGGTACCACTGGTGGCATTTTGTGCGGATAGTCAGACTCCTGCCAGTGCTGGACCTGCTCAGATGCAACACCCAACTGCAAGTGACATTGATGATGAGAAAAGACCCCGGATGACATTACAGACGCTACTCATCTTTCTAGTACAAAGCTAGTTTGTCCCCTCGGGTGAACCCTGGAAAGCGCATGAGCACAAACTAAAGAAACTAGCACTCTTTGGCTAAATAGCGGTAAGTAGCGAAATAACTACTTCGTGCTAACACTGTAGTCTCCTGACTAATTGTAACATCTCATATGCTAAATAATAATAACTTCAAGTTAAAATTTCTTTAATCTAACTCCTATAACTCTTTTTCCTATTGCTGCAGTCAGGAGTTAACCTTTTTACGGAACATCTTCAGTCCCAATTGCTCTGAATGCTTAGGAGGAGGAAAAGCAATTACCATAAATTAGAAAAGGGATAGCTGAAAGTTGTTCTCATTTAGGCATGAGTAGATACCTGCAAGCCTTATCTGCACTTTTAGCAGCCTGCATACAAATTAAAAAGAAAAAAGAAACCCACACCACCAGATGGCTAATAGGAAAGAGATCACCATTTTTGGCTACTATCAGTGAGAAAGCAGCAATCTTGACACAAATCATCAGGAGATCAGTTGGTCTTTATGTTATAGGTTGTATGTTTGATAGACGCAAAGGATGCATCTTGATTTTCTACCTGGTAACAAGTGTGGCCCTTCGAGCTAAAAAGTGTGAAATGATCCCCCCCCCAAAGGAACACACTATGGAGTGCAACCCTGCACTAAAAGATGCACTCCTTCTCTCTTTCATACACCCAGCACAGGTTCAAAGACCAAGAAAAGATGGCATTGCATTTCAACATATATTGACTAAAGATTCGTCCCATTCTTAGTTTCAGTTATTTTCATTCTCCAACCAAGCCTAAGTGGATTATATAAGAAAGTGGTCATATCACTTCCAGGAATAATATTCCCTTGGGTTGCCACAACTTGCAAAGCAGTCCAACTTGCTTGTTCCTTTACATATCCATTTCAAAAATGATCTTTATTTGGTACGACATCTTCATCACAGAATAAATAGTAGTTAATGGGAAGCAGCAATTTTTTTTATTATTATAAGATATACCTGAGCTGCAAGTCACCTAAATAACAACTACCATATTTTTCGGACTATAAGACGCACTGGAGTATAAGACGCACCTTAGTTTTTGGGGAGGAAAGTAAGAAAAAAGCTGATTGGCAGGTGGATCAGCCTCCTGGAAAACCCCCAATCACCAGTTCCAAGAGGTGAACTTTAGCAACAGGTTCATTGCTTGTGAGCTCTGTGCCTTGCTTTTTTTTCAGCCTCTGAAGCCTCTGTTTCAGAGGGTTTTCTCATCCTCTGAAACAGTGGTGGGTTTCAAAAAATTTTACTACCGGTTATGTGGGTGTGGCTTCACTTAGTGGGCGTGGCTTGGTGGGCATGGCAGGGGAAGGATACTGTAAAATCTCCATTCCTACCCCACTCCAGGGGAAGGTTACTGCAAAATCCCCATTTCCTCCCGATCAGCTGGGACTCGGGAGGCAGACAATAGATGGGGGCTGGGCCAGTCAGAATTTTTACTACCGGTTCTCCGAACTACTCAAAATTTCTGCTACTGGTTCTCCAGAACTGGTCAGAACCTGCTGAAACCCACCTCTTCTCTGAAACCTCCATTTGAGAGGCTTTTTTTTAGCCTCTGAAGCCTCCATTTCAGAGGCTTTTTTCAGCCTCTGAAGCCTCTGTTTCAGAGGCTGGGTGGGGCTACATTCGGTGTATAAGACACACCCAAATTTTCACCCTCTTTTAGGGGGGAAAAAGGTGCGTCTTATGCTCCCAAAAATACGGTATTTAAAAGCTAAGTACTTAGGCAACTGCTTTTTTTAGGATTATATACATTATGTTCAAATGAAAACTGACAAAAGGTTCCAGGAACTGGCAAACATACAGACAATGCCTTTAGCAATATCTTCTAAAAAATGATACTGTTGATTATATAATGCTTATTGTACATAGACTGGCAACATTAACAAGGAAAAAAGGTACTTTGGAATATAAAGTGATTCTCAAAATAAAATTTCGTAAAATGCACTGCATATAAAAAGTTTCATAAATAGTGGGGTAAATCCAGTGCCCTACAAACTCAGCTCATGGAATTGAGCAAAATATAGTGGAGGCTCATCTCTTAACTGAGAGCTACTGGAAGAAGGTGGAGATTATTAATTTTACCTTCCTCCTGCAGCCTTAAGTACCTCCACCTATAATTTTTGAGATCTCCCAACCCTGCAGAGGAGAATATTATTTTTATAAATTTCATTGTACATTGATCTCTTTCTACCCCCATTGTAAAACAAAATATAAAGGAATATATGATTGGAATCTTTTTCATAAAAATAAATACTAGATTACTGCAGAACTTGATTCATTGGCTATATTATTTGATATGCAAAATGCCATGCTTGCTGCAGATTTAGAAAAAGATATAGCCAATCCTATTGCCCCTTGATTGCAGGTTGCACCCTAATAAGATTACTAAAAAAATAAAGCCATTTCATCCTTTCTATAGCATAGTAAGGCAAAGAAGGTGAATTCTTTCAGCTGTGTAAAGAGTATGTTATAGTACTCAGTGCATAAAAAAAAAAAAGCATCAATTTTCAGGCAAAAAAGTCCCTTAAAAATGAAATAGCCAAATTCTTCAGTGTGCAACAAATCAGAAAATTACTCGATCTTCCTGGGATCTTTCCCAACTAATTGTTCCATTTAATGTAGCAAAATTGCTGTCTTCTTCCTCTTGTTCTTTGACAAGTTCCACAAATACCTAAAAGAAATTAACAGTGCATGAGTGCTTTAATGACAATTTTTCCTCACTAGAATTCCACTCAACAGGTGGGCAGATTTGTGACCTGAGTTAATTAAAAGATTCAAAATTTACAGCTCCTTTGTATCCCTTAATGATTTGGAGATAAACCTCAGAAGGAAGAAGGACAAGGTTCTCCATTGTCACATGTTGAGACTCTTGTGTGTAGAAAAATTTTTCATTTCTGAATGAAATGTTGGCTCTGAATGACATGCCTATGCCCTTGTCACAGAACAAGAAAACAAATGGACATTTATGAAATTATGGATGGAAATGACAATTTCATATAACAAAGTGACTGCTTTGAAATTTGTGGAAAATATACATTTGGAGGGCATATTATGATTTTTGTACCGTAAATCTTTATCTAATTACCTGGTCAAGTGTTGCTTGAGAGAAGCTGTATTCTTCAACATTAAAGGCATGTTTTGCTGTTAAAATTATCAGAAATAATTTTTTATTATTCACTGAGAGATTATATATATATTATACCATTTATTCCCAGACATTAGTAAAAAGAAAACAAAATGTGATTGGGGAGGGACTTTATAGGCAATTTAATGACTGATTCTGACTTCCACATTCTATGAAGATTGTTAGAAGTGTCCATTGGATTCCTTCTGAAGAAAGTGTCATGGTATTTTATGCATACAGCACGACAACACATGTTAAAAGAATGACACTACACAACACAAAAGCAGTGTTGGTAGTACAACACTGCTTTTCTCATTTTCTTGTTCCTGTGCACACTTCCAAAGGTTGCACACCATCAGTTATTAATATGGCAGCATGTGTATACCTCCAATGTAACTTTGTGACTATGGTTGACAACTTAATGCCATGATGCTCTAATGCTATAAATGTGTTCCATAAAGGAAGTCCCAAAAACTATAAGCTCTGCTAATCAGAAAGCAATATGAAAGTTTACCAGAAAACAAAAGGTTGGATAAAAAGATAAATGCATATAGAAACATAATGTAATAGGATGATATTAGTGATGATAGACAACAAGATGAATTTCAGTTAACAAAATTAAGGTAGACAAGTGAGGTTGAAGCTTCTATTATATTCGGTGTACTTAGAAAATTAAATCCTTACCTTCTTCCAGTTTAGAAAAAACCAATGCAAGTGACTGGACATCTTCTTTTGGAATTTTATATGCCAAAATTGAAGCAAAACTGTAAAAAAGTTTTTAAAAAAGATAAGCCTCGACAAGAAGTACATGGTTTTAGCCATATGCAGTAATTATTATTATTGACAAATAATTCACAGCATAGGTTTCTCAAAGTTAGCAATATATAATTAAAGAAGCATTCCTTTACCCCATATAGTGCAGTCATGCTGATTTAAATAGTCTCAATGGTAAGTAATAACCACTGTTTATAGGAAAACTTAGGAAAAATTGTGTTTGATTTATGAAAGATGTTAGGTAAGTAGTTCCTTATGTGCTCTAAAGCATTATTTTGCCTTTAAATAATTCAGATTTCAACAGGCCTAATTCTAAGACTACACATGACCAAATCTAGAACCAGTCCATTCACATTTACCTTTTCAGACAATTTGCATTTGGAAAAATGTTTAAAATCTTCCTTTGAAGATATTCCTTCTGCTCTGATTCTGGTGTTTCTTTTAATTTCATTTCTAAAAAATATCCCCTGCCAAATTTAGTCTTCAGATGTTGAACTGTTCCAATGTACCTATTTGTTAGGTGGAGAAAAGATGAAATAGATAGATAATGAATTCAATATTAATGATCATGTTTTAAGTTTCATTTTTTTAAGAAAAAAAATTAAGATGCTAAGGAAATACCTTAACTTTCCAGATACCAAGACAGCCACACGATCACAAATTGCCTCTGCTTCTGCCATATAATGTGTTGCCAGAATAGCCGCTCTCTCTTTACTTTTAAAGGCTGCTCGGATTGCTTTCCTGTAAGATATAATGCACAACTCAACAAAGAAAAATAGGCTCCTTAACTAAGCCTGTAAATGGCCTGATCTTAAACAATGCAGTCATGTGTAATGATGTAAAATCATCTCCCGGCCCCTTCACAAACTTGGGCTTCCAAGGAAAGGCAAAAGTTAGCACTAAACGTTTGGTTTTCTGCACCATCTAGAATGATAAAGCTACCTATGAAATAGATGGACATACAGTATATATAATAATCCTTGCTAATTTCTATGGAAGGCCTATGTGTCTATATTTGGGAACATTTTAAAAAACTCTGTAGATGAACCAAGAAGTGATCTGATCACCCATTTAGGAGAAAACTGTTCTTATTTCTCTTCCTCCTTCTTTCATCTTTCTTTACTATTATCTCCCTCATTTCCCTTTTTTATTCTATTCTATTCTATCCCATTCCATTTTCTATTTTTTTTCAATCTGTGAACTTTCTATTCTCCTGAATCCTGATCTCTTTTCTTTCCTTGAAAGTTTAGTTAAACATCTACAAGATTTAAACTTTGATAAATCCTTGAATAATAGTTGAAATTTCTCTCTTGATTATTGAAACAAGAGCTTAGAAAGCCATGATTTTGATAGTGAAAGGATAATAGGCTTTACAAAACACTTACGTTAAATTACAATTTAAATTACACAAAAAGCAACACAATATTTCCTACCAGTACTATGGGAGGCTACTTACCAGTGGTGGGTTGCCCCTGGTTCAGATCGGTTCTATAGAACCAGTAGTAAAACTGGCGGGAGGCTACGCCCACTGACCCTGACGTCATCAGAAGTGATCTGCGCATGCGCAGAAGCTTCTGCGATCCTGTTGCGAACCGGTAGTAAAGGTAAATAGAACTCACCCCTGCTACTTACCACATGTGCTGTATTGCTATAGGGTCCATACCAGTGGATGGCTCATCCAATAGAGTGATATGAGGATTACCAAGCATACTTAAGGCAAAGCATAACTGAAAAATAAAGAATCAGAAGTGATTACTTCGCTGTCCATTTGCTTTATATAATACAACTTGCACCATTATTTTTTAAAAATAGAAAATACCTTTCGTTTGACTCCTGCACCAAGTTTTTTCACTCTCTTTTGTAGATGTTCCTTAAGGTCAAGTGCTTTGGAAAAACTGTAGAAAACAAGTACATTTTGTAGTCTTCAAAGAAAAGTATTAATAAAATGTTTAAAATTTGCACATTTAAGAAACTGCAGTCTGACTCATAAAAGCATAGAACATTATAAAATGAGGGACATGTAGGATAGCACAACATATTTAATTAAAATATTTTCAACCCCCACTTTAGGACATAAAACTTTCCAAGTAACTAACAACATAAAAATAATCTAATAAATGTAAACATTAATAAAAACCAGTGATAATAACAAAACATAGATCACCAAGAAAGTTTAGAATGAAAAAAATTTCATCACGACCATCAACATCTCTATAAAGAGAAATTGGGAGAAAGCCAAGAAAAATAAATGAACACGGGTTTTTTCTTAAGGCCAATAGTAATGGGTTTTGAGAAGTATCACTATTTTGTACAATCTGGAGGTATGGGGCCACATAATCTTTTGAAATACCTTATAGCTGAAATACATGAATCTTCATTTTTTGCTAGTATAGAAGCCAGAGTAAAATGTTTTCAATTTCTCATCAAGTATAATAAATATCAGACATGAATACCTACATATACTTCTTTAAAATTCTTTTTTTTTAAAATAATCTTTATTTACATTTTCGGTTAAAAAGAAAAGACAACACAACGTAAAATGACACACAAAGAACAATACAACAATGAACAAGCATACTTCTATGTAGTACCTTAATAAACAAATATTCAGTACTATAACTCTATATTATAATCCGGAGAAGACAGAACAGTTTATATACCTTAATACATCAATTAGGTCTATCCGACCTCACTTATCTTATATAGTATAAGTTTCTCAATAGATACCATTCCTCATCTAATGTGGGTTATAGTTTCCTCTTTTCTAACCATTTATAAAAAAATTTCCCAAGCTAAACCTACTTGTATTTGCTCTCTATCCTTTAATTTTTTAGTTAGCATATCTGCTTCCGCACATTCTAAAGATTTTTTTATAATAGCCTCCTCTGTTGGGATATTTTGATTTTTCCAAAGTTGAGCGTACGTCAATCTCACCGCTGTAATGATATGTAGTGCCAAATACCATAAGTCCCTTTTTATATTTTCCGGCTTGGAACCGAGCAGGCATATCTCTTGTCGCCAATCAATTTTTAACATTAAGATCTCATTAAACCATTTTTTTATTTTCCCCAAAAATTTCGCTGCTTTCGGACATGTCCACCACTGATGGTAATAGGTGCCATGTTCCCACCCGCATTTCCAACAATCCGCCGACTGCCCAGAAAACATTTTAGCTAGTCTATCGGGAGGCAGGTGCCCCCTGTATATCATCTTATAAATATTTTCTTTATAGGCCGTGGACAGTACTAATTTCATATTATCCCATCAAATCTCTTGCCATTTATCTAAATGCATTGGATACCCAAAATTTTTCCCCCAGGCAATCATGGTATCTTTAACTATTTCCTCACCTATCTCTATTTTCATGAGCAGTTTATTCTTTAAAATTCTCATACAGTGCTGTTTCCAAATACTTCATAACTATATATGAAGTAACTATAACCCACAAGCCCCATTTTTGGTGACTTCGCTTTTGAAAACTTTAGCAGGAAACTGCAGAACATTGGTAGCAAGATTTTCTGCTCGTTTTGGTTAGTATTAAGTCTAAAAGCAGTGTTAGGTCTACAGGATTTATATATGTATTTCCATCATATGTGATGAAGGACCTGGTATTTTATTGAACTCAAATATAAAATATTAAGTAGTTTCATAGTAATTACTGGAATTACATCTATCATGGTTAGATACACAAGTTTTTTTTTGTTAATTATTAAAATGCTTTTGTTCAAGGAAAATTATGAAATATATGTACAAGAATGAAGAAACCGAGATATTCTTGGTAATAATATAATAAACTGATGGTATGTGCAGGCACCTTGACTTGCATTAATCTCTTGCATACATATTGATATTAAACTACATGCAGCTGAAGTTGATATTGAACTATTGCAGCTGAACTATTTTCAATAAATAAATATAAAAAAATAAATATAAAAATCGAAATGTGCCATTTTTTTAAAAAAAATGAAGTCATTATTTGGTGAAAAGGCAGGTAATAAATAAATAAATAAACAAAAATACTATATGTAAATAAACAGCCAACTATATTAGAATCTTTATAGCATTTATAAAATATTGATATAATCAGTATCTTCAACAAGATCGTGTCATTGCACCATAAGAGAAAATACAATTTATGTATACAAAAATTAAATACTTGAGATTCTTACCATTTTATGACTTCGATCCTGTCACTAGGACTCATTCCTTTGATTGCTCCATAAATTTCAAAATGTTCTTGTAATGTAATATTAGGCCAAAGTGGGTTTGTCTGTGGACAGTACCCCATATATTTCATGGAATTATCCACTATATTTTCACCTAAACAATAATCTCCCATCAGCACCTGCAGATACAAGAATCTCTTCTCAGTATTCCTTCATAGTGTTTCCAGTTAAAAGTTGTGAAAAGCTGAATTAACTAAAATCTTAATGTTAAATAAATATAATAGATAAAATGCAACATTTTATTTTATCAAAAAATGTATTCCAATGTAGTATAAGCATTTATCTAAGAATTTAATTTCCAATAGTCTTCTTTATTTTTTATAAAATTGATTCATTTAATTTCTTATGTCCATTCCCATATTCTATTGATTGCTGGGATTAATAGAGTGCATCAAATCTGTGCATGCAGTCACACAGAGGATGAATCCATATGCTCAAATATTGTCAACTGCAGGGATCTTTTCTATGCTGCTGACTGAGCTATAAATCAAATGTATAGGCCACCTAATTCATGATGGCTCTGGTTAGTGTAAAAATTAAAAATCCATTCAATGCAACACAAACAAAGAATGCAATAACTCAGAAGTTCATAAGCCAAATACATTAGTAAAATTACCACCAAGGCATATATTCCTAAACCAGGGCTAGGAAAAGAGGCAACTCTTTAAAGCACCATAGTCAGGACAACTCAGACCACTTGGAGGATGGGGGGTTGGTGGAAGAGGGGAGAGAGGGAAGATAATTTCAGAGGGCAGGTTCTCTGAAGAAATGCTCCTTGGGTCCCATAAGTTGGTACAGTTTTGAGGATATAAATATTTGGTTATCCATATGAGGTTTAAGTATTTTTGTGCTAGTTAGAAGTGAAATATGTACTTCACGTTATATTCCGTCATTAACAATGCTGAAATACATATATTTCAATAAGAAATATCCATTTCCTTTGACTAGAAAGTACTGTGAATCTTATGGATGGGAACTCAATAGTGATTAATAAGTAAAAACAGTGACAAAGTGTGGATACAAAGATTTGATCAAAATTATGTACTTGGCCTGAAGTAGGTTCAACTTCTCCTGCTAGGATATTAATCAATGTACTTTTCCCAGCTCCATTGGGGCCTAAAATTCCAAGAACTTCTCCTAAAAAAGAAGCAAAAAAGGGGGGAAATTTTGTTTTTTTTAATCAACAAGCTAATTGTTTCGTTTTGACAAAATAATTCCATAGTAAATAATTTAAAAATAACCTTTCTTAACACAAAGTGAAAGATAGTTAGTTGCCACTTTTTTCATTTTTCTTCCAAGGAGGAAATCAGTCTTTCCATCATATTCTTTATGTAAGCTGATGACCAATACTGCAGGTTTCTAAAGAACAAAAAGAACAAAAAAAATATTGAGCTTACACTGAATCAGCATGTATATGTGAGGCACAATAATTCCCTTCAAATATCATTATTTCTTTTAGTCAGCATGATTAGCCAATATGTAGGAATATCATATGTTGTTATGAGAGAGATGGACATTGTAAAAATGAAAATGGGTACAGGTATCTCAGGCCAGTTCCATTTGACATTTCTCTACATACTCATGTGCCCAGGACTGAGAATGAGGGGAATAATATGGCTGGTTCAGGGATATAATCAATCCATGGAGATCAACATATCTTTTCTTTTATGTACACTGAGAGCATATGCACCAAGACAAATTCCTTGTGTGCCCAATCACACTTGGCCAATAAAAAATTCTATTCTGTTGTGTTGTGTTGTGTTGTGTTGTGTTGTGTTGTATTCTATTCTATTCTATTCTATTCTATTCTATTCTATTCTATTCTAATCTAATCTAATCTAATCTAATCTAATCTATTCTATCAAGTAAATGATAAAGATCCCTTTGTGATTTTACTACAGGTTGCTTTCTCTGATCCCTGGAGAGATTAATTCTCATTATAATTTCTGTTTGTGTTAATAACTGCAAATATGGCCTAGTCAATTATTTCTTTTCTGTGTTATTGTCGATGGAGATTCTCAGTCATCCAGGTCATGGTTGCCCCAAAGGTGCTTTTTCAAGAGGCAAATGGACTTTCTTTGTTTTTCCTTAAAGACGTTCCTCTTCTGTCTTGTCTTCAAGGAAAAACAAGGAAAGTCCGCTTGCCTCTTGAAAAAGCACCTTTGGAACTTTCTGTGTTATTGTAAATATAGTGACATTAGGATGGGAGGATTAAGACAGTCTCATTTACCTCTTCACAGTCCTGGCAAGTTATCATCTCTTTAACTTTCAGCTTTTCGGCCATAACATCTTCATCGCCATCGTCTTCATGTGATACATCTAAGAATTTACAGGCTTTGAGCCGCGTAGGAGCTCTGGATAGGAAAACATATTCAATCTCTGCTTGTGGGACCTTTAAATAGACTGCAAAAAGATACTATGTAGTATGCCAGACAGTAAGTCTGATCCTATGGGCAGCTCTATTGATCCAGTGGTGCAATCCACATTTTTTTACTACTGGTTCTGTGGGCGTGACTTGCTGGGGCGTGGTGTGGCTTGGTGGGCATGGCTTGGGCATGGCAGGGGAAGGATACTGCAAAATCTCCATTCCCACCCAACTCCAGGGGAAGGATACTGCAAAATCCCCATTCCCTCCCCACTCCTGGGGGAAGAATATTGCAAAATCTCCATTCCCATCCCACTCTGGGGCTAGCCAGAGGTGGTATTTGCTGGTTCTCCAAACTAATCGAAATTTCCACTACCAGTTCTCCGAACTGCTCAAAATTTCTGCTACCGGTTCTCCAGAACCTGTCAGAATCTGCTGGATTTCACCCCTGCTATTGACCAAAGCTTAAGATTCTTGCTGCCAAATGAGAGTGCATTCAAGTGAAGAACTTTGTCATTAGGAAGCACTTTCTCATTTCATTGCAAGGATTCTACAGTTGTGAGTCTTCTCCCTCACCCTGACTCTTGGAAGGAGCCCTCTAAACAAAAACCATAACGAAGAGTGGCCCGATCCATATTCCTAGAATTACCAAGAGCTATTCTGCTGAGAAGACAACAGAATGGATGAGGAGGTAGTCCTTATAGAGAAACAGCATAATAAAATTTCAGTGTTCTTTTTCTCAAAGAAGCAACTTACTGTTGTCAAGTTTTGCTGATTTATTTTTTAAAAAATGCAGAATACTCGCCTGAAGAAAGGATCCACTCTCATTGATTTGCCTCCATGCTTCACCTCAAGATGTCGCAGAAGAAAGAGCCAAATTATACATTGTAAATAGGGCTAAAAGAAGGAGAAAAAACAAAAAACAACATTAACACAGCTTTGCTCCAAATTACATTTTAAGTAATTGTATCGGGAAAGCTTATTGCTTGCTGATTCCTGCTAAAAAGAAAATCCAACTATTCTAATGTATGCTCTTAACACTGTTAAACACTTAAAATACTTTCAGTTCAAAGTTCAACAGAGACAGCTGAATTTTGATCAGAAAATGTTTATAATATAAACATTATAATATAAACACTATAATCTTATGTTATAGGCTTTTATTCATTTTTTTCTTATACTTCATTTTTTTCTTATAATTCATTACCTTATTCCTAACCTCCAAATTTATCTTCTTACAAAAAAATTATAATAATATATTAAAAGAAAACTAATAAACTGATGGGAATCCTTATCTTTCCTTGTATCTTTTTCCTTGTTATCTGAAGGGTGTACCTGGAACTATTTATTTTTTATTTTGGAAACTTATAGGGCGCTTCCATTTTTATTTTATTTGCTAAAAAATGTTGGACAATGTTTAAATATTAGAGTATGGTTAGGATAAAGTGTATATGTGACAGGTTGTGGTTCTTGTGCTGGCCCTGAACTGAGACCCAGGGTTTTTCAGAGTGTATTAATTGAGAGGAGGCTTTTAGGATGCAATAAATTGCTTTAAAACACAGCTCCTAATAATCAGGATATAATAATATAAGTCAATTTCTAGAATATGTTTCCTAAATGAGGATATATTTGACAGTAACTCTATCCAGAACTCACCAAACTATGTAGCTTTTACATGCCATGACTGTTCTGTTGAAGAGGAGTACATTATCTTTTGTTAACATATTGCGTATGTTGCATGAATTTAGAATTTAGAATGAAGAATATGATAATCCTATTCAGATTATAAACATGAAAAATACAATACGTACCAAAACTTCTTAAAATGTATAAGATTTCCTGAATTCTGAAGAAAAAATAAGTTTCTTACCGCTACTATTGAAACCAACAATCTTTCTGAACTTCTTTCCACTTTTTGGCCAATCTTCTTTGTTTCCTAGCAAGATAATAATTATTCCAATTATTTTTTCATTTTTTTGGCAGATCATGAAGATGATTAACTTTTTTAAAAACCCTCTTACGTTTCAACAATAATTCATATTTTGGAATACAACATTCCTTGATTTGATTCGGAATTCTATTTAGCAAACCCAACTATTTTCCAAAACAAGCAGTGTGGACTATAATTCCACTGATATTAGTGCTATAAAACTTGTCCATCGAAAAGTTCCTAATAGCTGAAAAGACATTACCAAGCAATTTCTGACAGTGATTAGAAAAGGAAGCATGTGAATCCAGTGTCCATTTCAAGGAGCCAACTATAGTTTGAGCAAGAATTCCTCAATTCTCAGAGCTCTAAACCTGACAAAGTTCATTGCCTTATGGTCTCATGAAGTGTGAGAGCATTTGTGAGAGATCCCAAGTCCTCTCTTGAACTGGTCCATTTGCCAGCTCTTTTTCTTGCCATGGTCATTGGTCCTGTGAAGCAGTCTTTAATTTGCCATTTCTTTCCAGGAAGTCCAAGACCATTAATTCTGATCCCAAACCAGAGTTCTTCAGCTGCCATGGAACTCTTCAGTCTTTGATTGCTATATAACTCTTTGGATTCCTTCTCTGGATACATTTACTGATAACCTTCCTCCTCTGTCAACTGAACATTGTACATTGTTTGAAAGAGCCATCTCTCATGTCTTACTTATGGGTCCTTAAAAAGATATGGGCATTTGAGACAATGATAGGAAATTCTCACATCAAGGCTGTTCTTGCCCATAGCACAACAGATACCAATTTGACTACCATTAAAATGAAAATAAATTTTGATGAGGACTGTGGATGCAAGCTATTTTCATTCTCCCAACACTTCAATATCTTTAGTGCCTGCCTTTTTACGTAAGTTGTGGGGGCAATAAGCTGACTTTGTATAAATATACAAAAGTATGAAGGCTATTGCTTAACGCATTGTAAGCCGCCCTGAGACTCCGGAGAAGGGCGGCATATAAATTAAAGCAAAAAAAAAAAAGTTATATTTTAGAAGTTTTAATTCTGAAATTAATAGAAATTAACAGAGCCTTGATAGTACAGTGGTTTAGTGCACCCTGTTATTAACACAGCTGCCTGCAATTTCTGCTGGTTCGAATCTCTCCAAGGCTCAAGGTTGACTCAGCCTTCCATCCTTTCTAATGTAGGTGAAATGAGGACCCAGTTTGTGGGGGCAATAAGCTGACTTTGTATAAAATATACAAAAGAATGAAGGCTATTGCTTAACGCATTGTAAGCCACCCTGAGTCTCCGGAGAAGGGCGGCATATAAATCAAATTAAAAAAAAAAAAATAGAAGTTCACATACAAAAACTTTTTCAATAGAAAAAGTTGAGAAAGGTCAGAACTCATGATGGTCCTAATTTATCTTAAAGCTGAACTTTGGATAACCCATTCCCCCATCTCAATTGTAGGGAAATTGCTGTTTTGAAGACAAATTATGGTTATTTATCACAAGTTTTAAAATATGTAATATATATTGAAATTTAAATATAATGTATAGTGCTCTTTGGCACACTAAAATTCTGAATATTGAATTTAGTCTATAGTAAACTTACCTCTAATAAAGTCATCAGGCACCCAATAAGAGGGTAGATTGGAACGAAGATACAAAAGGACATGTGAATTATAATGGCTGCTGTATACCATTTTATAAATGCTACATCCGTAACAATAATACAGATCAAAGCTACCTGAAAGACAAAACAAATATAATCATAATAAAATTCATGGGGGAAATATCAAACTAGAGTTCTCCTTCTCCCTATGATGTTCCACATTAATACTGAGACAGTTGGGAATATCTTCAGAGCACCTTCTGACTCTTACAAAATAGCGGCTTTAACAACTTTATCATGGTTTGTTAAAACAGAGTTTGTATGTTTCCCATAGTAGATAATGAACTACAAGGACTGGGATGGTACATTATGCAACACCTAAATTGGACATTATGACTTAGACAAACAATTGTTTGATTCATTATAATAAATAAAACTCAGAGAAAATAGACAGATATACATGATGTTTACCCAGACCGAATAAGGGCACACATGATTTAATTTTTAAAAAAAAGCTGAAGTCATGTATATTCCAACGTGAAGATGTATACATAAACAGAGAAACAAAATTAGAAATTTGAATAAATGGGAAAAACAAATTAGGCTCTGCCTGTTTACTCACAGTTGGAAAAATGAATGACCAAAATTCTTTGGTGTTTTGTATACTTTTAAAAGTGAAAGAGACAACATAATGGAACAGAATTACTGAGGGTACATAGCCTATAATGCAAAAAGCCTGCAAGAAAAGAAATAAATTCATTAATATGTAATTTTACACACGGTTTTAGATTTTTACAAATTATCCTACAAGATAAAAATAGTGAGAAGCTGAAGCCATTAAGAATTGTGCAAAATGTCTTGAATTCAGAACTGTTTCAAATTTGTAACTTTTTTAAAGTTCAGATTAATATTTTCTGAATGAAATATTGCATTTGAAACAGGATGTTTTGATCGTTTGGAAGCACTTTGTATTTGAAACACATCCAGAAAATTGAAACAACCTGTTTTGAATATGAATCAATAGATTTTCATTTAGTACAACTCTTTCAAGCTTAAGACAGGATGTTTCGTATATATTAAATTATTATAATTTAAGAGATTCAGCATACCGCTTTGTTAAAGTGATGCTTTACCAGGCAGGGATGGGCATTTTTAAAAAGGGAGGGACTGGACAGGGGTGTCAAACTCAAGGCCTGCGGGGTGCTTAGAACTAGTGCACAGTGCCTCTGCTAGCAAAAACGGAGCTCGCTGGCAGAGGGCTGCAGGAAGCTGCCCAGGCTGAAAACAGGCATGTTTTCGCTAGCAGAGGGCTATCAAAACAAACTAAAAACAAAACAAAACGAGAACTGTTTCCCCTTTTGCATTTGAGCATGCAAGAAGGGACAGGAAAGGAGAAAGGAAAAGAGGAAAGACAAAGAAAAAGAAAAAGAAAGGAAGATAGGAAGAGAGCAAGGGAGGAAAAATAAGGAAAGAGGGGAAGGAAGAAGAAAGGAAAATGAAGAGGGAAGGGAAAAGAAGAAAAGGAGGGAGGGAAGGAAGGAAGGAAAGAAGGAAGGAAGGAAGGAAGGGAGGAAGGGAGGAAGGGAGGAAGGGAGGAAGGAAGGAAGGAAGGAAGGAAGGAAGGAAGGAAGGAAGGAAGGAAGGAAGGAAGGAGAGAGATTATAATGAGAGTGAGGGAGGGTCTCAGCAAAGTCCTGCCTTAGCACTTTGCCTACATAGGTGCCCCTGACAAAAGTCCTGTGTCATGCCTACCATGCCCCCCCCCCCGGGCCACACTCACCATTGCCACACACCCTGTCCCTCCCCCCATCATACACACAACCGGCCCTCCAAGGTCAAATATACCCCTAATGCGGCCTTCAATGAAATTGAGTTTGACACCCCTGGTCTAGGAGTACAAAATAATACAAGACCTGAGTTTATTATAAGTAAGTGGTAAGTGGAAATATACTGAAGAAAAGCCAAAGAACAATTGTTTGAATGTAGGAAGACTTACTACAGCAAAGATCTTCATTGGGGAAAAAATAATTTCATGATAAACACCAAATAAGATCCCCGTCATGACAAGAAGAATAGTATAATATAAAGGAATGTCGACTAATGCTTGTCCACACCAATAAGCAGATGGATAAAGGCCAGACAATTTAAGCTGGGTATAAACTTTAATCTGCAAAAAATAAATTGGTTAAAATGAGTATTTGATATAGCATATTGGAATAAATCTAACAACTGTAAGCACAGCTCAGGTTTGGATGAAAAATGCATCAGGGAGAGAGAGAAGAACTTGATCCTGATGTATGAGATAATTAATTTTTAATGGGGTTCTTTTTATTTGCTTTTAAACTCAGGAGTCAGATTAGCAAGGGCAGGAATGACTAATACATGTGTGTGTTAAAACCGCATAGTTAAACAATCCAATATATATTAATATTTAATCAGTTTAAATATTTGCTGGTTCTGTTTTTAACATTTTTTTCAAGGTGACTTTGACCCTTTGCAATGTAGCACTTAATATGCCCAATTTTTGGTCTGAGTTGCATATCTCTGCTTTACCTGCTGATCTAAATTGCTTTATTTGTTTGTTTGTTTGTTCATTTGTTCAAGTTGGTGTCAGGCATAGATGTATGCTATTTGCTATACTTTGTATTATAAATGTGGTCAAATATTGATTGATTGATTGATTCAATTTATATAGCCACCCTACTCAGAGCATGACTCAAAGCAGCTAACATCAGTAACAGATCAATTAAAAGTACATTAAAATTGAAATATGAAAAACACAGAAGAATAACATATAAATTCATAAGTACAGGGAAAAACTCATCCATTCTCATGTCTGGAGAAAAATAACAGGCCTTTTAACGCTTTCCAAAGGCAGGCAGGGTTAGGCTAATCAAATCCCATGAGGCAACTTGTTAAAAAGAGTGGAAGCATTAACAGAGTCAGGAAATGACTCTGTAAAGTCATATGGAGGTAAATTCCATATGGAGGTAAATTCAAATATTTAGGTAATATGGAGGTAAATTCAAATATTTACTCAACATCTGTTTATATATTGAATATAAATATGGTTAGACAAATCATACTTTAGACCATGGAACCAGGCTGCACAAACGATAGGTGAGCATGTGCGTAGCTTTACCTGTGTGAGTAGTGGACGCTCTCACAGCTCCATTTGAACAAGCGAGCACACTCACTTGCTTGCCACTCACATAAAACCATCCCCCCACCGCCACTGGTCTGCCAAGCAGAAAGGTTGGGGACCACTGCTTTAGACTAATACATCGATTTTTTTTTATTGCTTCGTGTTTTTTTTTTAAATGATTTAATGTAAAGTTACCCTATGATTTTCTGCATTCTCCATAGTAAAATATGAAGGCAATCCAGTCATGGTAACACCTACTGTCAAACACTGAACAATCATCACCATTATGAAACTTCTATCAGTAATTTCCTGAAAGATAAAGATGTTAGTAATAGAAAATAGGTGAAAACAATATTTTCTATTCCAGCTTGTCTGGAAATGAGAAAACAAGAAGCACTAGAAGACCAGGAGAAAGGGCAAATTGGCTGTGCTTCATCTTGTGACTCACAAATTGTACAAATAGACAAAGCAAGAGAAATACAACTTGTCTTAAACATCTGTTTCCACAGAAAGTAGTGCTACTTTCTATGATTTCTTTTTATTATATCAGCATTTGAGTTTTCATTTACGGTACTTACTTGAATGAAAGAGCTAATCCAGACATGGATGTTTTCAGTTACATTTAAGTTGTGTAGGTACAAATTACTAATGATATTCATCATAAGAGGTAAAGAATGTAGCATGGTTCGGTTAAAAGCAGCTTTAAGGATATAGCTCTGCAAAAACAATAAATATTTCACTTATTAGCTACTAATCCAAAGCAGCAACACATATCAGCTTTGCCCCAGTTAAAACAAAACTAAATCCAAACTAAATAGCGTGTTGGATGGAATTACTGGTTTTTAGCAAAACTTATGTTCTAAATAAACTGTTAAAGACCATGTGTTACCAGCTGTTAAATATAAGTTATATATCTTCTCACCTTGCTTACATGAACTACATTTAATGCTGCATTGTGAGGAGAAACTGACACATAATCACTGCCATTGAACATTTCTGTCAGTATATTCTGGCTCTGAAGTGGGTTTACGATCATGTCATCAATGTTTATACCTAGAAGGTAATGAATAAAGGAAGATACTCATCATTAACAAGTCTGTGTCATTCTAATAATCTCTCTCTACATTCAAATGAACGTAATGGTTGCATTGCACTTCCCCATTCATGGTACAGGAAAAAAACAGTTCTTCATATATATTCTCATTGAATGTATGGAACTCCAGTTACAACAGGAAAGTCTATCATCAACACAGCTCTTCTAGAGTGTTGGATGTCAGGAAAAAGAGAAACATTTGGCTGCAAAAAATAGTTTCAATAAATTGAAAAATTCAGGCTGAGACTAAGCATCTCAGCCATGTATAGAAAATATTGTTTCAGTTGATTTCCAGTGTGTATAATATATTAAAATATCATCATCATCATCATCATCATGGTTGTCGAGGACCCAAGCGTAGTTTATTGATATCGCTATACCAGGAGACACTAGAGTCGAAGAAAAAGAACTGGAAAAAATCATGAAATATTGCGACCTGGCCATCGAAACTACACGGCTATGGATAAAACATGTAACAGTGATCCCCATTGTCCTCGGGGCACTTGGTACCATGTCCAAGAATTTTACAAAACACATCAAGAAATTGCAGCTTCCTGCAATAACATGAGCGGAACTGCAAAAAACTGCGCTACTCGGAACATCATATATTTTCAGAAGATACTTGGTTGATACCTAGGACGCTGGCAGCAATCCGTATCAACCATTAGCACCAGTCAATGGTATTTGTGACACATTTTTAAATGCTCAGTTGACTGAGTTTCATGTTTAATGAATAAAAGAGATCATAATAATAATAGAAATGAAAAGGAGAAGAAAAAAACTGGAAAAAATAGTGGTGCTTTTTATTACTTACTAGTGCAGTTTTGAATAAGAAGGCTAGTTTTGTATTTATGATGAGTCTCATTTGGTTTAAGAAAGTATAAATCTGGAGAGAGTTTGATAGGAGCCATAGCATTTTTCAAGTATTCTTTATACACGTGAAACATAAAAATCTCAACACAAAGAAATACTAGAAACAGTGCTAACCTATAAGAGAAAAAAACAACAAAGTTGAGTTAAATTACATTAAAGAATTACTGTCCTTTAGAGTAAAAGTGGACTAACATCTATCTGGAGTTGATTGTGTTTCTATTATTAAAAAAAATCGCCCAATCCATCTATCGATATTAAATTTGCTAAGTACAGACATATACTAAACACGTCTGAATGCATTACTGCTGAACACTAAATAATTCTGATTTTGCACTTTTTCAGAAAAATAAATTTTAAATAATCTTCATTTCATTTGAGTAATTTCTGAAAAATACGCATAAGGAAAATTAAGTATGAACAATGGGAGACAAAAGAAATAAATGAAGGGAGGAAATTTTTTCAATGGAATAAAGTAGGATAGGTAGGATAAAGGCAGAGAAAGAACAGTTTATAAGACTGGAAGAGTAAATAAGGGAAAAAGACATAATTAATTATATCATCTTAGAAAAGTTGCACTTTTAGTTGCAAAAATAAATTAGCAAAGTCCTTAATTTAAAAAAATAAATAAATTAGGGAGGTCCAATAAGCTTACAAATATGTAATAATCTCTGGTTAAAAATGGATTTATATAAATATCACAGATGGAATGGAATGGAATGGAATGGAATGGAATAGAATAGAATAGAATAGAATAGAATAGAATAGAATAGAATAGAATAGATAGAATAGAATAGAATAGAATAGAATAGAATAGAATAGAATAGAATAACTTTATTGTCACTTTGAACATACATTAATTGTCATAGTTTAAAGTGAAAGTTCATTACAACATTACTGATATCTCTTATGGCTGTTGTGAGAACTGACATCCATTTCTTTTATCTCTAATTAGCCTTCCTTTTTTCCCAGCTTCTGGGTACTTAAAATTCCAAAGTTCAGCAACCTGTGTTGCTCAGCTTATTAGTATTAAAAATTACTGCCTCAGGCTTGCCCATCAACTCAGTTTTTCACTGATGTAAACCTTCAAGACAGAAATTTCCTATATTTAAAATCATAAATAGTATTGTTATTTTCAACAAGTTACATTTAATTCCACATAGGACATTTTTATAATTTTGGGAACTAGCATGATCAACAAATTAAGAACGAAGTTTCTTATTTATATTTTTCATATCAATTAAACACTTTCCAAAATGTGGAGGAAACTCAATTGAAGATACTTACACTTCTGATATTGATTTAATGTCACGATTAAAACTGTGAAAATGAACCTTTGCAATAACAAGGGCCTGCTTTCTCCAAAGAGACTTATTGCTTATCACACAAGATTTTCTCCTAGATAGCATTAACAAGCTTTGCTCTAGTTCATCAACAGAATTCCTATTCATTTTGTCTTCAGCTTGCTCTAAATTAAAAACGCCAAAATCTAGGAAATAAAGGAAAAAGAAAAAAGAAAAAAAGTTTGTAAATTTATCTTTTCTTTTTTAAAAAAAAAATTATTATATTTTTATTATTAAAGAATAACAGAAAGGAAAAAAAATCAATACAAAAAATCAATAGTAAGGAAAGAAAAAAAAATTTTTTTCCTCCAACGTGCTATACAAATGGAAAGGAAGTTTTAGGAACTTGAAGTCTTCAATTCTTCCAGAAATCTCTTTGATAAGGTACTGGTGCCGATTCATCCAATCTCCCAAGTGCAAAGTCCACAAATGGTTGCCAAGTGTTCCAAAAAACATTTTCTTTATATATACCACTTCTAATTTTAATATCACAAGTCAATTTATCATTTAATGCAAATTTCCATGTTTCATTGTACCATTCTTCTAATTTTAAGTCAACATTTAATTTCCAATATCTAGCAATTATAATTCTCCCCATTATAACCAAAATCCTCACCAATTCTCTTTCTCCAGTTGTTAATGTTGTTTCATTCAATATTAATAATAATATGGTTTCCAATTTCAATTTATCTTTTCCAACTAGCTCTATAACTCTTGCCATCATATTGTTAGCAACATTACATAATTAATTAAATTAAATTAAATATATCAGCACACGCTCAACAATATTTTTTTGAGAACGTCACCACTATTCATGGGAGAAAAAAATATACAAATCCACATATTTATACTCTTAAGGCACAATTCTCAGAAATAAATATCTTACTATTTTCTTGGAGTTTTAATAATCTTGTAAATTTTTTAAAGAATATGTTTGAATGAAATACGCTTTTAATAATTCCATCATATGATAAATACCATGTGAAGTTATATAATTGATTCTTACCCCGTTGGTCAGTTTCTGCTTCAACTTCCAGTTTGAAAAACACATCTTCTAAGGTTGAGGTAGAAAGGCCATAAGAAATAACACCCAAATGGGAATGAGTATCTAGATCAGCAAAGAGTGCTAGAAGAAACAGAAGAAGAATTATTTCCCCCCCCAAAAAACCTTGGAGCACCATTCTTTAAGAGGAGCCGTAATCATTTTCTTCCATATAAAAGTAGTAAAAAAAGTAGCTTTTGAATGCCTTTTCAGATTATTTATTGATTAGATTTAGAGTTGGACTAATTCTATAAGACTCCGAAGGTAATCCTGGACTTACAACCATTCGTTTAGTGAACTTTCCAAGTTACGACGGCATTGAAAAAAGTGACTTATGACCATTTTTCACACTTACCACTGCTACACTATCCCCATAGTCACATGATCAAAATTCAGACGCTTGGCAACTGGTTCATATTTATGACGGTTGCAGTATCCTGTGATCACCTTTTGTGACCTTCTGACAAGCAAAACCAATGGGGAAGCCAGATTCTCTTTATAACCGTGCTGCTAATATAATAACTGGTATGATTCCTTTAACTGCTGTGGCAAGAATGGTCATAAAATGGGGCAAAATTCACGTAACAACTGTCTTGCTTAGCAGTGGAAATTTTGGGATCAATTGTGGTCATAAATCGAGGACTATTGTACTGAGTGTGAATTCCAAATTAGGAGTTTTGAGGACTACCTGTACTTAATTTTTTTTTAAAAAAAAAACAATGCAACAATAGGAAACAGAAATCATATGCATCCAGAAAATGCAATTCTTCAAGGAAATAATACCATGTAGGGGCTCAATACCCTCCTAAATCAAGGATTGGGGAACAGCTACATTTTCAAAGACTTCTTGAATATCAACAAGGTATGCTACAACTGAAAAGGTGTTTTTCCTGGATCCTGGTAAGTAACGGTTGGGAAACACCCAGCCATGCAGGGAAGGAGCCTTAAACAGAGGTGCTATTCAGCAGGTTCTGGAGAACCAGTAGCGGACATTTTGAGTAGTTTGGAGAACCAGCAAATACCACCTCTGGCTGGCCACAGAGTAGGGTGGGAATGGAGATTTTGCAATATCCTTCCCCCAGGAGTGGGGAGGGAATGGGGATTTTGTAGTATCCCTCCTCTGGAGTGGGGTGGAAATGGAGATTTTGCAGTATCCTTCCCCTGCCATACCCACCAAGCCATGCCCACCAAGCCACACCATGCCCACAGAACCAGTAGTAAAAAAAAATAAATTCCACCACTGGCCTTAAGTGCAGTATTAGCCTGTAGTAACTGGCCTTAAGTGCAGTATTGTGCAGCCACAAGAGGTCCAGAACTGACCTCCCACCCCCTTAAATTATCTATCTTCCCAGGATGAGGCTGGTAGTCTGGGTAGATTCCTTATTATAGACAGAATACAATAAAGTAGTGAGGTTGAATCTTAGATGTGTACATCCAGTTACTTGTACTTGACAGTAACATTGCTTAATCAAAGGGACCTAAAATGTGGCTACTCTGCCTGGCTTTACAGGATGGGACGAAACTATTGGAGATATATGACATATGTCATGGAGGATTTTCTAAGTGGCAACTGTTACAATGAACTTTGAAGTGCACGTTATGAAGCAGTGGTATCCATTGCTTCATAATGTACCATGAGCATATGGCTGCATTCCGGGCCAGCTGCAAATTCTGAGTGGTCCTTAAAAGTGCCATGCATGGTTCATTGCAACACTCGACTCTGAGGTGATTAAGGCTTGAGTGATTGTCTAGAATCTCCTAATCTAGGAATGGGCACAGCTGGTGCCTGAAATGAATCTCTTCAAAGCCCTTCCTGTTCACAGCTGCCACCTGCTCTTTGAGCAGGAGCTGCAAGTTGAAGAAAACCACAGACTGTTCATTGGTCTACTACTCCATCCAGGACTAATAATGGAAAATTCCTGGAGTCAGAAGAGCCAGATCATCTTGCTGGAAATTGATTCTGAGTCTGTTCCTCTCCATACAGACCCACACAATCTCTAGACTGAAACAAGACATTGGTAGCATTACTTGAGCGCTCCAGGGTTGAGGTAGTGTACATAAACTGGATAGTTTTGTTGAAACTCAGAAGAATGGAGCACAATATGGAGAAGAAATAGCCAATTGTTTACTTTAACTGGAACTGTTGGGCTCCAGGTATGCAAAGAAAGAACAAAGAACAATAAACAGAAATTCCCCAGGTTAAGAACAAGTTCTGTTCCCAAATATGTTACTTGTCTTCTCTGCCCACCCCCACCCCCAATCCTTAGTAACTCCTCATAGCCAAGGAATGTATGCACCCCACTCACACAACTAATCGATCACAGCTGCCCCCTCAGAACTGTACCAGCACTCTCCCAGACTGCTCCTGTTTCAAAACACTCAGCAGCGAGTGTGATCAGCCCCGCCATTTGTTGCCTCAGATTTCAACTTCCAATTTTCAGTGGAGAAAAAGAGAAAAGCTGTACCTGAAAATCTGTCTGTATCTTTGTATGGTAAAGCATAGACAAGTTGCTCTTCAGTCTCCTTCAACAGACTGGCTCCAGGGATATGCTGCCTGATCAAGAACGCTGTACCTTCTGTGTTACAATACCGGTCTATCTGCATACTAAAGAAGATCAAATACATAGCAGGGATAAAAGCATTGTTGCTACATAGTGGATCTCACTATTTTTAAACATAACAAGCAAGATTATAATAGAGAATGTGTGCTAGGATCTTCCCTAGTAGTTCGTGGAGTATGCTACCTAGTTGCTTTAGTCTAGCAAGATTCTGTCCACAGGTGAACAACAATAAAGAAAAATATTCAGAAGTAACTCCATGTATTGTTCTTGGTTCTTGGACCTGACAGATAGGATCTATAGTAAATGTGTTGAAGTTTCTTGTGGGTGGCCCTTTTTCTCTGGAACATCATTTCCCTTGAGGTGCAGCTGACCAGTATCTTGATGCTTTCCTAAAAGACTAAAAATGTGGTTTTGTCAGCAGTCCTGGGGACTTCAAAATGGAAATGGAGATGACTAAGTGATTTGATTGGGTTGCTGCTGACACGGGGGGATGGGATGGGGTTTTTGTGGAGTTTTAAATTCTGGATTTTTAAATGTTGTAAACCGCCCAGAGTCACTTATGAGTTTAATCTTATCTTTCGCTGTTCACCGCCCTGAGTCCCTCGGGAATAGGGCGGTATATAAATTTAATAAATAAATAAATAAATAAATAAATAAATAAATAAATAAATAAATAAATAAATAAATAAATAAATAAATAAATAAATAAATAAATAAATAAAGGTGTTGAAGTGCTACAATTGGTGCGCTGGAGGTACATGGCCAGGATCTGTGAAAAATGTTCTTTTCTTCATTATAGCAAATCTGTTTGAAGGCTCCTAACAATTGATAGTTTTCCTCTACTGTTTTTGTTTTAATGTAATTGTAGTGAAAAGTGTGCATTATGTTTTTAACTACAAACATTCCATTATAGAACCAGTGCAGAAATGTTAAACTTCAAGAAGGCAGATAAGTTCTGATCTATTCATATTCGATTGCTTGAATATTTTACAAATTTATTCAGATAATTTTACTGTTATATGTGCAGCTCATACAATGGCAGCTACTTCATACTTGCAGCTGAGAAAATAGCATTATGACCTATGTAAAATTCAAAGCATTTTAATTTTAATTATTTAAAATGTTTATAAGCTGCCCACTATTCATCGGTCCTCAGGCTGCATTACAATCTGTCTTTTTTATTAGGCTTGCTAATCATTATTGTTCTCCCAAATAACCAATTGTTAAGTAACTCACACTCTTCCTACATTTCAACCCTCTCTTTCGTGAAATAAAATTATGATGGTTCAGAAACACTTTATAAAGCTTAGGTACAAGTAATGTAGTTGGTAAAATCTATTTGAAATAGGCAGTGAAGCTAATAGTACCTCAAACGATAGCCAATTCCCCATTTTGTCTTAAGGAAGAGAGAGGAGCCAAGACATTTCAGCATTCCTCGAGAAATCACAGCTTTCCGATCTAGAAACAATAGTAAATGGAATCTTCGGTTATTCTTTTTTTAGACAGTAACCATCAAAGAAATATCTGCTGTATTCATGGCTGCGTATCTCTCAACATGCCTGCAACAATGTCTGCTTCATCCATGAAATGGGTACTGAATACTGTCACAGAATTGGCTTTTCTGTTTTTCAAGAGGTTCCAAACAGTTTGCCGTGAGCATGGATCCATACCAGTTGTTGGCTCATCTAACAGCAATACCTAAATAAATAAATATATGTAAACACACACCTGTCTATCATTAAGTCATCATTTTGAACACAGAATAAATAACTTTATTACTACTTTCGATTAAAACATATGTGATATGATCACAAAATTATATGTGATAAGGATATAACCATTATAAGAAACCAATGAGCAAAGTAAAAAAGAAGTTGTATAAATTAATCTCACTCAAAGTTGACACTCCTAATTTGGAATTCAAAATAGAAATCACCCTAAATACGGTAGTCCTCGAATTATGACCACAATTGAGTCCAAAATTTCTTTTGCTAAGAAGTATAGTTTTACGACCTTTCTTGCTACAGTTTTTAAGTGAATCACTGCAGTTGTTAAAATAGTGGCATGATTGTTAATCTGGTATCCTCAATGACTTTGTCAGAAGTTTGCAAAAGATAATCACATGACTCTGGGATAATCACATGACTCTGGGACATGCAATAAATACATGTCAGTTGCCAAGCATCCAGATTTTGATTGTGTGACCATAGGAATGTCGCAATGGTCGTAAGTTTGAAAAACAGTCATATGGCACTTTTTTCAGTGCTGTTGTATGGTCACTAAGCAAATGGTTATAAGTCGAGGACTATCTGTATCACTTCTACCATTTAATCTAAAAAAACTTTATACCAGTTGTAATATTTAATATTACTATTGTGGGCATATCCACACTTAAGATTTACATTTCTTCTGCAGTTCTGTGGTTGTAGCAGCAAGTCACCTTTTTCAGACTGAGGTACCTTGGCTCTCTGACAGCAACTCTAGCAAATCCCATCTTTTCCCTCACTAATTACAATGTTATTAATTCGACATCTGTTGACACTGTTTAATCCAAGATTCCCTGCAAAGGTATCTGAGAATTTTGGAAGCAGGCTCAAAACAACACAAATTAAATGATGCAAATATTCTCAATTCTACTCCCATTTAGGTTTTCGGCTTCCTTCAAATATTTCAGTATCAGGACAATTCCCAGCCAATACCAGAGGAGCTCATAGTACCATGAATTCCTCTTGGCGCTATTATTCTTTTCAGAACCATAAGCAATGTTAACCTGGTTATGAACTGCACTGCAAAATGAATTTTGGAATTTGTCCACAGAGTTGAAATACTTAGGGAAAAAAATGAGACTGATCTCTAGGCACTGTATTTTTTTAGTTTATTCGCTCAGTTGATCAATTTCTATATATGTCTAATTAGCATGCCTCTGATGGATCTAGGACAAAACACCACAGCTAACTTGCAACAGTCAACTCACTGTGGCCAATCTGCCACAGCCAACTCACTATGCCAACTTACCATGGCACAATTCGCTACGGGACAAGAGTAACACTAATTTAGAGCTACATTAATTTAAGAAATTTAATATTGGTGGAACAGAATAATTAAAGAAAGGATGCAAAAGGAGGGACAAAATGAAATGTGAAAGATAAAATTTAAAATAATTTTTCAATTATTTTAAATAATTAAATTGAATTGTTGAACTGTCCCATGGTGAGTTGGTCACAGCCATTCCAGCCTCTCGTAAGTATTGTTGAAGTAATGTAATGTAATAATCTGAGTAAATTTTGAGAGAAAAATGTACTAAGCTAATGATAGTAGTTTAAACTAAACTACCTACCTAAACTAGTAGAGAAGCAAAATGAAAAATTAATCTTCCTCAGGAAAACTACAGTATTGCTGTAATCACATTAGTTATCATGCTAATCTGCCCAGGAAGCACTGACAATCTTTTGATATGCTGCTACTAAAAGACAGGCACCTGTCATCGTTCGGTTATCAGAATTGACCAAATATTACAAGCTAAGCAATCACTGAAACAACAATCTGTTCTCACCTTATATATTATAATTGTTATGGCTGCTATGTACTTGATTCGTTGTATCATATGCATTTCATTTATTTTTACTGTAAGCCTCCCATAATCACATTCTGTGTGTGAGATGGGCAGTTACATAAATTGATTAAATAAATAAATATGGTCAGTTGAAATTATAATTTTGCAATGGAATTAATTTTACAAATACTTGGCTATTGCATAGATGCAGGATGAGATGAGATGGAAAAAATAAATAAACGTTTTGTCCTTTTGGAGTTTACCTTTGGATCTCCAAGAACTGCAAATCCAACTGACAGCTTCCTTTTCTGGCCTCCACTCAAGGTTTTTGCTTGGTTATCTTTAAAGAACTGCATATCCAAGTCTAATAAAACGTTCTGAACCTTACAAAATACAGCAGAAAAGGGTTTTAATTATGTTTATTAGGTATATATTATGTATTATAATAATAAAATATTATGCATTATTATGTTTATTAATTATACAAGCATGTATACCATCCAATTCAATCTAGATTCTAGGCAATTTAAAACTGGAAACATTAAGAACACTCATAATAGTTTCACACCTTCTCACACCCAGCAATCAGCTGAACAGTTCAATCAAGTGTTATCCCTGCCACCAGAGATTCATTGGAAGAGATTTTGAGATGCAAAACTTAGACACATACATGTACGCACTCAAACATAGTTATAAAACTTGTTAAAAATCAGAATTTGGTTTGATAATAGGTATTTCCTTAGGGTGTCCCTAGTTTACAGTTTCTTTAAAAAAAGGAAAATATTATGAAATTAATCATTTCAAACTTAAATTACACACTTAATTCTATATTCTAATTTCCCATTAGAATATATATAAATTTCTTTAGTAATCCAGGTATATATGTATGTTAACTTTTTCATAAGGTACATATGTAAATGCGCTTCAACTTGATGAATGCTATGATGGATTATAGTCTTGTTGCAAAAAAACATTCTTGGTAATTTTATTTTATCAAAATTGTAACAGTGGGCACAGAATATAAGTGGTATTTAACTGACTCACCTCTTGTATTACATCATTGGGAGGTATGCCTTTAACTGAGGCAATAATTGATAAATTCTCTTCCACAGTTAATACATCAAAAAAAATATCTATCTGTTGGCAAACTCCCATTATCTTTCTTACATCTAGCATTTCATCTATTTCAGAAACTTGATATCCATATATTGATGCAAAGCCTAATTTATAAAAATAGTGAAGAGAGGAAATAATCATATGGCTAACAACAGACAGAATACAGTGAAATAAGTATAGCTATCATAATACATTAAAAATTAAGAGAGAAAGAGTTGTCTGCTATAATAGATTGCTCATGAAATCCAATGAAACTTTATGCATTCATATTTGACACATTGTACACAATTTAAACATGCATCAAAGGGAAATGGGAGATTATATCTTAAGCATTTTACATACTGTATGTATAGAACAGCAAAGAAGATTTTAATGGGCAAGATTTTTAAAAGGTGGCCATAAAAAAGAAAAATGAAAACATTTTAACAATATATACCATCAGATGGTGGACACAATCCACAAAGAATATTCATCAAAGTTGTTTTGCCTGTTCCGCTGTGTCCAAGCAATGCTGTAATCTGGCCCTCATATATATCAAAGGATAAATCTATTAAAAAAAAATTAGTAGGGGAATTATGTATATCAATAAGCATTGCTGATAGCCCCATCCTAAACATTTAGAATGTCATTGAAATAACATTTTATTGACCCTTAAGTGGCATGCTTTAGCATATACATATATATTCAGCATTTATACTGAACATAATTAAAGTCCTCGAAGAATTAACAAATCATGATTGCTAAGAGTTACTCGCCTAGATCACTGTTAACAAAGTGCAAGAATTCCAGTTTCACAGATTACTGAAAATTAAACACTCTTACTTTTCAAAGCCTCCACAATTTCATCCTTTTTAACAAAAGATTTCTCAATATGGCTGATTCTGAAAAAAAAAAAAAACTAGGCAGATGCAATTTTTAAGAACAGATACAATTTTTAAGAAATCAGAGTACATTGTAGTTTTTACATGCATGATGTTTAGCTGATTTGGACCAGAACTAAAGACAACATGGAAAAATGGACAATGATATTTACTGAGAATATGGCACTAGTCAAACAACTATCCAACTTTTACAGCCCCCCCACCCCCGGGACTGACATGTATACAGAAGATTTGCTGCTTGGAAATACCCATGCCATCAATGTGGCCCAATGTTGGGCTACAACTATATAAATTTATGTTTTTTATTAAAGTTTTAAACTTTCAAATTTAAATTAATAATTTTCTCTTTTCTAGTTCCTGCATTTCTGACACAAGATGAGATGAGACAAGACATGCAAGGAAGTCTCTTTCTTGATCTGGTCTACCTTGACGGTTGACATACAAATGCTTTTTATGGTGGTGTTGTAAAAGGGTATGGAAACCAATGCCAACCAACATCCAATATGGATTGTTTTCCCTTGGGCTATAAATCACCACAGCCCTATAAAGAACACACACAAAATAACTTCACATGGCAGAGTAAAGAATACTTATATATGAAAATTATCATATAATATTTAAATGGCAGATAATATTTATTTTCCACATTTCTGAACCTTAAAAAGAAAAAGTGTATTCAACTAAAGTTGCTCTTTATTTGTGGTGGCATAAACAAATTACCCTGTTATTTTCCTTACATACAAAATATATATTAATTGGCATTGTGGATTTAAATTTAATCAATTTAAATTTAATCAAAATTAATCTGTCATACCTGATAGCTTCTTTTCCCCTAAATTCAGAAGGTATAGGTTCAATGACTTGATTGAAATCTAGGTTTTCATTACTACAGCTCTCATACAATTCTTCATAATTTCTTCTTTTTTTTATCCAAAATGAGGGCTTTAAAAAGAAGAAAAAACTCCGTCGCAATCCATAGGCTCCTGGAAATAAAGTACCCATATATAAAGGGTAAATATTTAATATTTTGGAGTACTGAGGCAGTTCAAAAAGATGGTTTTAAACTATGTACGCAACAATGAAAAGAAATGCTCTGATTGATCAAGACCACATTTCTCCCACTAGCTTGTACCATTTCATTTTTGAGCACTACTCTTTTTTTGCAAATGTACTCCCTTTTTAACTTTGCAAAACTAATAGTTATAAGCAAGATCAGGTAGAAAAGTAATTTCAAAATGTTGTTCCTATTTAAGACAAACTAAGAAAGCTAAGTATATACTGTCAAGGCTTGCCAGCAAAAATAGTACCATAGTCCATTTAGTTGTCAACAGATGTGATTTTAATGATCAGATTTATTTCAGTACTTAAAAAATGCACAAGAAATGATTTAAAATGGTTAACCCTGAATAAGGTATATCTTCATTTGATCCTGAACTAGATAGTTGATTTATGACTGGAGTTCCAGATTCACAGGTGCCTGAAGAGATTTTCTCCATTTGTCAATTGGCAGTCTTTATGTGAGAAAAATGTAGGCAGAGAGCATGTACAATTACTCATATACCTATATAATTTATGTAGTGTGACTCGGTATTTCCTTATACAGCCCATAAACTGTTATCTTGAAATATACATTTGAACGTTTATCCTGCTGCATAAAAAATTGTTCCCTAATTGGCTGGATTTACACAATGAAACCATTCATAACATGATTTATTTTTGATTGCATGATATGAAGCCATGTATTATGATTTGAAAACCATGGGTTATGGCACATTAAGTTGCGCAAACTCAGCCAACTTTAGTTTATACAACAATTAAGGTTTAACATACCATGGCTTAGCACAATTTGTAAATTAGTAATAGCAACAACACTTAGACTTATAGATCACTTTACAGTGCTTTACATCCCTCTCTAAGAGGTTTATGGAGTCAGCATATTGCCCCCAACAATCTGGGTCCTCATTTTACCCACCTTGGAAGGATGGAAGGCTGAGTCAACCAATGAACAGTGGGTTCCCTTAACAACTGTAGCATTGGGTTAACAACTGCCACAAAAAAATTGTTGTAAAATCAGGTCAGTCATGTGATGATCTACTTTATGATCATCACAACTTAAAACTGCTAATGAATGAGTAGGCTCCATTATGGTTGTAAGTCAAGGACTATATGTAATGCCTTCTTTCTGAGCTTCTGTAATATATATGAATGTTGCAGAATGTTAAACACCATGGATGCTCTCTCTCACTAAGACTAAGTTTCAGATTCAGAATTACTTCTTCCCTACTTAAGTACTGTATCTGAACGGTTACTGAATATATGTCACCATTTATATTCTTTTCCAGTTGTAATAAACATACCTGGAATCACCTGATCAAAGTAAATCCCTAGGAGTAGATACAGCATGCTATCAAGAGCCAATAGCGTAAAAGTAATAATTAGTGGATAAGGGCCATGGGTTAAATGTGAGAAAACGGCTCCATGTTCATAATCTTCCAGATGTATAACCTGCAAGGAAATGTGAAAGTGCTGTGGCATTAAAATATTAAGGAAAAGTTAAGAGTTGCATAACTAATTATCAGAGAAGAATGAGAGGCAAATCTCCCCCAAGATGAATTCAGATTGGAACCAGCAGCTACAAACTAATGAATGCTCAGAAAATCAGACCTTACATTTATTAGATTTTCTCCTCTCCAAGCCTTCATTTCTGGTTTGCAGCTGACAATACAACAGAAATTGTGGCCAAGGCAGCAAAAAGGAATATTGGGGAGCGACATGTAATAAAGAGGCTATATATTTTACATCTTTCTTATTTTAAACTAAACTCTGTACCCACAGACACCCACATAACAAAACATGGCCGAAATATGCATTGTGATGTTCTAATACAAATCCCATCCTTTTGTAGATGCGTCCTGACATTGGATGCAAGAAGCTAGTTATAAGATTTCCATCAGGATATCATGACATGTGTTGTATCACTTGGCCCCTTTCCCTCCCACAAATACCTATGATTGTAATTTCACATTATTCTTATAATTTATTATAAGAATAAATTCTCCCTCCTATGCTTCATCCCACTGCAACTGCATTCTGCTATAGAAGTGTGTTGGAAAAAACAATTTCTCCAGAGAAACCAATATATGGCTTAATATCATGGTTCTGGGACATAAAATGTACTCTAAGCAAAGAGAAAAACAGAGTGGAAAATTTTCCTGCCAAGAGGGAATAGCACAGGGGTGAAATGTAAAATTTGTTACTACCGGTTCTGTGGGCGTGGCTTGGTGGGGTGGTAATGTGACTGGGTGGACGTGGCCAACTTTTTTTTTTTTTTACTTTTCAAAGCATTTTTAAAAATATCTCTCTGCCGATCAGGCAACTCAGCTGGGATCGTCAGAGAGGCTTTTTAAAAAATACCTCTCTGACGATCCCAGCTGAGTTGCCTGATCAGCAGAGAGGTATTTTTTAAAAAATACCTCTCTGCCAATCAGGCAACTCAGCTGGGATCCTCAGAGACTTTTCAAAGCATTTTTTTTACCGCCTCTTCGGCCAAGAGGTTGCAGAAAAAAATGCTTTGAAAAGCCTCTGATGATCCCAGCTAAGCCGCACGATCATCAGAGGCTTTTTTATTTTATTTTTAAAAGCATTTTTTCTTCGGAAGAGGTTGTAGAAAAAATGCTTTTAAAAGTAAAAAAAAAAAAGCCTCTGATGATCGTGCGGCTCAGCTGGACATGGTGGGGGGGGCGGCCGCAGGGATTTTTGCTACCGGTTGTCCGAACTACCCGCCACCATCGCTACCAGATCGGGCGTCCGGTCTGAACCAGGAGCATTTCACGCCCTGGAATAGCAGGAAAAAGGGTTTTTGCAGCTTGAATTTATAGCAAAACGAAACTGACTGGAAGTGACATTTATATCAAAAGCGAATATTAAAGCTCATGAAAAACTATGCCTAGATCTAAGGCAATACAAACTTATACAAACCATTGAACAGTTGATTCACTGTGGTAATGCCATTCATACAGTATATAGCATGAAAGCTTATGATATGAGATTAGTTCTTTTTGTTGAAATCAAATGCCAACTCACAAATCTCTGTGCAAATTTTAATTAAGATGGAATTAGTGCACAGCTTTCAAGGTTAAAAAGACATACTCATTTTAAAAATAAAATACCCATTTTGAATTGATAAATCCATTAAAAAATAAGTATTACATTTCCTGAATGTTTGAATCATGGATATATGTGACATGTATCAAAGTAGAATAAACTCCAGTGGGTCACAAATAATGGTAACAGGCCAATAGAATGTTTTACTGACCTGTGCAACCCCAACTAAAAATGTGCACTCACAGAGTGGACTTAATGACCACACAAAGGATTTTGGGAAGTCTTGCAGCAGGACGATAGTCACACCTATAGCACCAAAAGCCACAGTTGTGAAATACTGCGCTGAGCCAGCATTCGAGGATTTCTTAAAAAGCGATGTTAGCATAAATGCAAAAGAAATCTAAAGAAAAATAGAAAACACGTTTCAGGGTGCAAGAAATCTCACTTCAAAATATCAAAATCAGATTTTTATATGTGGCCACCTATTTCAAAAGACAAAAACTGATGTCTATCTCACACCTCACACAGAACTTCCTACAGAGAGTAGGAAAAATGTGTAGGGAGTACCTTGTTTACTATCAATTCAGGTACATTTCTGTATATGCATATCTTGTCCTTGAAAGAGAGACTGTTCTCACATTTGAGATTTCAAATCTCCTATGCACTAAAATTGTGGTGTTCCAAGAGAGCAAAGGCCCTATTAAAAACTTCCTCATTCTGGATGATACAATTATAAATTTAAAAAATTAAACTGTGCAGTACTCAGAACTTAAACTGAGTACAAGTTTAGAATAGAATAGAATAGAATAGAATAGAATAGAATAGAATAGAATAGAATAGAATAGAATAGAATAGAATAGAATAGAATAGAAACCTGGAAGGGACCTTGGAGGTCTTCTAATCCAGCCCCCTGCTCAAGCAGAACCTATAATATTTCAGATAAGTGGCTGTCCAGTCTCTTCTTGAAAACCTCCAGTTCTGGTTCAGCTTCCTCCACTTCTTACACATCAGACATGACTGTTATTAACCAGCAGCCAAAATGTGAAGACTTATTTTTTAGAAAGAATCAAGTAAATGTCTCCTACTCAGGGCCGGATTTTCCTATAGGCTAACTAGGCTTCAGCCTAGGGCCTCAAGATCAAGAGGGGCCTACATTCAAATTGTTAGCAAAATTAAAATTACACTTTCACTATAGGTGAAAGGGCCTCATAAGTGGAATAGCCTAGGGCCTCTTTTCATCTAAATCCGGCCCTGCTCCTACTGCAAAGCTTGGGCTGCTGTCTTAGATCACTCCTACTAAGATAATGGAGAGGTCTTAGTGCTGGGGCAGGTGGATAGCATACTGAGATACCCACTCTCCTTAAGGAAGGGCTTTCCCTCAGACAAATAGCTTGCTTTTTTCATAACTATGCAATTATTATTGGAGAACATATTTGTTTAGTGAAGCTTAAACTCTTTTCTGTACACACATAATTTTAACATGGCTATGTTAACACATTATAATGTTATGTGCAATATTATGATGCAATCTAGGTTTTTGAATTTTGGCTTGTTTCATTTAGGGCCTTGACTGGTTAAAAAAAAAATATGAGGGATTTTGTTTTGTTTTTGCAGGTTGATTGTCTAGCTCTAAAAGGGAAGAACATTCATCTATATAAATAATACTCGCTTTGCCATATGGGTAAATTGCCATGATATTTTTGTTTCCTATTTTGGATAAAGTACAGGTAATTCATAACCGATTACCCTAATAGAGCCTGCCTACTATGGTTCTAAGTAGTGACAGCATAAAGTCCACATGACTGACTCATTTTTTATAGCAGTTGTTAAAACAAATGCCACAGTGGTTAAATTAACCAATTTTTCGCTATGGGGCATTTTTGCCAAAAAATTTAAGTAAACATTCTAAATCACTGCCTATGATTGAGGGATGCTGCAAACAGCTGTAAACGTAAGCTGGTTGCCAAGTCCCAAAATGCAGTCACATGACTGCAGGGATGGTTGTGGCCTTAGCTGTCAGAACAGGGTTATAAGTACCTTTAGGGGGAGGTCTGTTATAACTTTAAATGGTCGCTAAGTGACCAGTCCTAAAATGACCTGTAATATTACTGAGTCCTTTCCAATAATTGTTTCTTAACTGAATGGGTTTTTCATAAATGGGCACTGAGTAGTAATGGGGTGTTATCCTTAGAACTGAAATTCTTTGGAATTTATTTCAAAAGGTTGTTTCAAAAAGTACAGGAATATGAATATAGATTTATCCAGTGGTGGGATCCTGCCGGTTTAATAACCGGTTCAGTGATGCGCTGTGTGTGTGCACGCATTTTTTACAAAACTAACCTTCCACGTTACTTCTGGGGAGTAATATAGCTGAGGTGCGGCAATCCGCTCTGCCGCGCGAATCGGCTGAGAGGATAAAGGTAAGTAAAGCGCAGGGGCGGGCGGGCCCACCTGATCGTTGAAGCGAACTGGTTCACTCCCAGCTGATCGTCAGAGCTCTGGTTCGTCTGAACCAGTCTGAACCGGTTGAATCCCACTCCCGGATTTATCTATATTTCTTTAAAGCAGCCATGGTTTTTCCCAGAATTATGTGATAGCCGCAGAAGACAGTTCCAGGATCCTGAGTTGTGAATATCTTCTACATTCTCATTCCTACATGTTTCAAAGCAACTTTTCTGATTATTTGAGAAGTGTTGAATATCCACATATAATACTGTTCCTGATTTGGCAGAATACTTATGGATGATTTGGATAATTACCCATTTTCCTGTGCTGTTCTTTGTTTAAAACAATGCATATGCCTGAACTACACAAGTTCCTGGCATATATCCTAAATGTAAATGTCTGAATTGTTGGCTATCTTTGTACAAAGATCCTAGAATTATTCCCTAGGAACATCAACAGCCAGGTGAACTCACACTTGTTAACCCAGTATCCACAACAGAGTGACAAGGAGTGCATTCACACACAAATACACACACACACACTTACGGAGGATATTCCATATAGGAAAAAAAGAAGAAATATCACAAAGCTGCTACTTTGAGGAAAGAGTGAAGAGAATGTTGCAATGATCGACATGAGAAAGGACATAACAAATATCAGACTGGAGTATAGCAAGACCCAAGACAGCCTAGAAAAAAGAAGCACAAAACAAAGATTCGTGAATTTAAAGTAACCCATGCAAATTATTAATTTGAAAGAAAATATTCAGGGCAATGAATAGAGCCAGCACTTTTAGAAGTTCTTACATGAAATAAATAAAGCAAAGAAACATAGAACTGTAGCAGATATTATAACAGTACAAAATAATTGCTGTATCTCTTGTAACATATTAGATTAATTAAACTTCAAAAGAAGATAGTTTTCTATTAAGTATTGGCTATTAATGGGTGGAAAACAATTAATATTAGATTTATGGGTTTTTTTAGTGGAAGGAATATAATTATTCACAAATATTATTTTAATGAAAAGGCTGTACTATTCCAACATGTTAAAATAAATTGTTTTAAAATTCATCTAAAAATTACTGCTTGAATCTGAGATTTATCCTAAGGCTAATATTATCTCCACAGGAAGAGTTTTCCTCTGGATTCCACCTTGCCTCCTAGGTTCCAGTCATTCTCCTTTTATCCTCCTTGCCCAGCTGATACTATTTATTTTTATTTTTCTATTTCTATTTCTATTTATCAGGACAGAGCCAGTCTGGTGTACGATTAAGGCATCAGGCCAAAACTGGGAGAGTTTGAATTCTAGTCTTGCCTTGGGCTTAGCTGGGTGACCTTGGGCCAGTGAATTTCTCCCAGTCCTAGGAAGAAGCCAATGGCCAAGTACTTCTGAAAAACCTTGCCAAGAAAACTGCAGGGATTTGTCCAGGTAATCTCCATAAATCCAACACAATTAACAAGAAAAAAAATATTAACCACCCAACACCAATTTAGAAAACTAAATTTTCTGAAAAATATACAATCAGTGCAATGACGTTTAAATTCATCTCTGGCTTATCCCTCAGTGACTAAGTTACCTTGAAACTGAGATCTTGTTACAATTGATTACGGTTGTTTAAATGTTCCTCCAGAAAATTAGTCAAACTAGGTTTAACATTTTTTCTGTACTCAAGTGGTTTCATCTGCTTTTACTCCATTCTCACTCTGAAATTTTTACAGAATAGCAATAGCATTGGAAAATAGAAATTTAATTTAATTTAAAATAAATAACAGACTGTAGAACTAAAAAAAAAATGTATAAGGAAGGAACAGGAAGCAAATATGGAAAATTGGTGAAAGAGAATGAAATAAATTAGAATGGGATTGTAAACATGTACCGAAGATGAAAGAAGCCTAAATTTTAGTTTCCATGATTTCATGAAAACTAGAAGCATGGATTAAACAGAACAATGGAGATAGTCCTCTGTTACTGACCACAATTGGGACGGGCAACTCTATCACTAAAAACTGCAGTCACTAAATGATGAATCATATGACCACACCAGATTTACAATGTCACTTCTGCTACCATCATTAAGCGAATCACCATGGTTGTTAAGAGACCTTGTGTCTTTGACTTATCATTTTCCTTCCACCTTCTCCATTAATTTTGCTTATCAAAAGTTGGTTGTGAAGATTGCAAATGGCAATCACATGACCGTAGCATGCCGTGACAATTATGCATGCCAGTTATGAACCACCTGAATGGTAATTAGGTCACTGTGGAATGCTGTGACCGTCATAAATGTCAGGAGTAATCACAAAACTGTTGTTTTCCCCCCCACTGTTGAAACTTCGAATGTTTGCTAAGCAAGGCAGCCAGTAAGCAAGTACTACCTATACTTAGGACAGCTACTTCAAAGACATAAGGGAAAAAATTAGGCAAAAAACTAAGTTGGAAAGATGCTGATTCCAGGAAAACCTGTAATCAATTAGTTTTTGAATTTGTTACTCCGCAATGTTTTAGAAGAGCCCAATCCAAATTACAGAGAATTACGGTACGTTATGGTATTACAAATGATGAAAAGTATCTGCACTTTAAAATCCCTCATTGTGTCCTACTACATAAATGCTTTGTTGTTCCTGCCTATAAGCATTGAGGTACAGATGCTTTTGTATGGAGGTGATCATCACAAGATGTTGATATGATTTTGTAACTATACAGTTTTTAAAAGAAGTTAATAGTGTTGTCATTGTTAAATAAATATAGTCATGGTCAAAGATGACATACAGGTAGTCCTTGACTTACGACCACAATTGAGCCCAAAATTTCTGTTTGCTAAGTGAGACATTTGTTAAGTTAGTTTTGCCCCATTTTATGACCTTTCTTGCCACAGTTGTTAAGTGAATCACTGCACTTGTTAAATTAGTAACACAGTTGTTAAGTGAATCTGGATTCCCCATTGACTTTACTTGTCAGGAAGCTGCAAATGTGATCACATGACCCCACTGCAACCATCATAAATATGAGTCAGTTGCCAAGCATTTGATCACATGACCATGGGGATGCTATAATGGTTGTAACTGTGAAAAATGGCCATAAGTCACTTTTTTCAGTGATGCTGTAACTTCAAACTGTCACTAAGTGAACCGTTGTAAATCGAGGACTATCTGTACTTTTGTGTAAGAGAGCCTGAAGTACAGATTAGGATGCTTCTCTCATGATCTTCAACAGCCTTGTAAAAGCAAAAAGATTCAATATATCTTGCATCACCTTTCAAGAAATACTCTACTTTTCTTAAACTACTATTTCCAAACATTTTTTTCTGTTTTGGCATAGATTTGAATTTTATTACATTCTAGTACAGGGGTGTCAAACTCAATTTCATTGAGGACCGCATCAGGGCTGTGGCTGACCTTGGGGGGCTGGGTGGACATGGCCGACTGGGTGGGTGTGACCAACTGGGTGGGTGTGGCCAGCTTGACGCCACTCCCCAAACTGCTGGCATGTTTCCTTTTCACGTTGGGTAGACCAGGCTGAAGCCACACTGGCCTGATCTTTCCTCTTCGCATTGGGTAGACCAGGATGGCCCTGCAGGCTGGATCCAACCACATCGTGGGCTAGAACTGCCAGGGGCCTTGAGTTTTACACCCCTGTTCTAGTAGCATTAAAAAGTTATAGATTTAATTTATGTAATCATTAACCATATCTATTGTAGGTTAACAGATATTATTTCAAAACAGCAATTGTTAACTCAAAAGAACTGACTCCTATATGATAGCTAAAGCACAAAAGAAAAACTCCAGTTGTTGAAAATTATTTAACACATTTGGAAGAAAATATATAAATAGTAAATAAGAAGTATTAAAAAAAAGATAAAAGGACAGAAATAACTCACAAACAATAATATAACAACACAATCTAGGACATATACTTACCATATTCACTCAAAACAGATTCTATTTTGTTATACAAACATTGTCCAGAGCATTATATTTAATTAGAAAAACTGTTATACTCCAATGTTCCAGTCAACATGTGAAAAGAATTGGAGAAGGTATTATTTTTACTTGTTTATGTTTGAGATTTTTGGACAAAAAACTCTATGCCAGTTGGGTGACTTTGGGCAAGTCACTCTCTCTCTCAGCCCAATCCACCTCATAGAGTTTTTGTTATGGGGAAAATAGGAGGAGGAAAGAGTATTAGGTATGTTCACCGCCTTGAGTTATTTATTTATTAAATAAACTCACATACCAAAATGCCGTGTCTTGAAGTCCCATCACTATTAAAAATTCTTTCAGTTTCTTCTCTTTTTCTGTCATGATATGGATTGTCAAATAATATCCAAATGGCGAAAAAGCAATCACTAAGTAAATCAGAATGACTCCACGAAAAAAATAATCGATTTCCACTACAGCAGATTTCCCCATTATGACAACTTCTGTTTCCTCCAGGCCTTCCAAAACGGAATGATTGGTCTTAAACTTAGGGGCGGGAAAAAGGAAAAGTTAAAATAAGTTGAATATTACCAGAGCTCTTGCAGATTGTGTTTGTTTTCAAAATCAGAGATAAGCTTGAATATATCAAAGGGGAAAATCCAGTCTTGCCCAATTAAAAATCTGATCCTGACAGCATTTCTTCCTCCTGTCTCCACCCCCACCCTCCTATGCTTTTTCAGGTCTGCTATTCAGGATTCTACTACCATCTCAAATAGGTTGATTGACTTATTTCAATTTACATAAGCCGAAGACACCAGCCTGAAGATGACGAGTGGGACCTCGTCGAAACATCACCAAGATACTCTCAATCTTACACGGGAAAAGACCCGAATACGCCAAGACTTGCATACCTGTACCCGTGAAAATCTACGAAAACAAGTATATGTGTATGTATATATCAGGATATACTGATCATCATTTCAGAAATATTTCCTTACCAGATTTATCAATCCGTTCAACAATAGTAGAGTTTCTAATGTACTAGAAAATTTCTTAAAAATTCAGAGATACTTCAGAGATGGATTGCCTTAAAGTAGCCCATGTTGGAAATATATAGCACAGTCAAACATCAGGAGATGACCCATGGGAAATATTTTAGGACAATATGAATTAGTTATATCATGAAATGCTTTATAATTTTTATGTTTTAAAATGTTTTATAGCATTTGTCAAATTTCAATTGCATAAAAGTCATGAGTCCCAGATTTTGGATGTAGTCTATTAGTTAGCGCATTTGAAGTACTTGGTTAAAAAAAAAATTGCCCTATGATGCCCTTTAAAGGTGACACAGCAGAGAGTTTTAGTAGTGTACAGATATTAAAGTTATATAGAACAGCAACTTAGTAGGACCAGTTCTTTCCTTGGAAATGGAAACAAATAAATTACTAATTATTTACCTTAAATATTGAAACACTGGGAGTTTTATTAATTGTTTTGTAGGAGTCTGAGAATGCCTTGCTCCTCATGGAGAAATCCTAATCTATATCTTCTCAGATGTGAATGAATGCTGCCAATGTTTATATGCCACACTACATACTAATGGGGTTTATGTATCTTGGTTTAGTATGGTTAACCTAAGCCAGTAATGGCGAATCTTTTCGGCACCGAGTGCCCAAACCGGAACGAATGTGCGCACGCACCTGAGTCCCGAAAACTCAAAGATCAGCTGGCTGGTGTGCATGTGCGCGGCAGCCACCTAGTCTTCTGGTTTCCAATGTGTGCATGCACCTGGCCAGCTGGTCTTCATGCATGGCAGAGCGCCGGAAAGTCAAAGACCAGGTGGCTGGCATGTGCATGCGCACCGGTCAGCTGGTCTTTGGATTTCCGGGGCTCCAGCATGCGTGAAGACCAGCTGGCCAGGTGCATGCACACACTGGAAACCAAAAGAGCAGCTGGTTATGGCACGCGTGCCCACAGAGAGGGCTCTGCGTGCCACACCTGGCACGAGTGCCATAGGTTCAACATCACGGACCTAAACCATATTTTCTTGCTATTGATTGTGAACTTCACCAGCTACAATTTATTCAATTAATCACTTTAATAAATAACGACTTATGTGATATATAACCCAGCCACTGTCAATTTTTTTTAAAAAAAAAAACAGTACTATTTTAAAATGTCAAGTGTATAAAATTCTAAATTATTTAACATTTACTTCTATAATTGCTGCATCAATGCAGATCTGTAGTGCTGTAAATCCATGGTACCAGTATACTTCAGCTTCACACATTTCAAAAGACTTCGAACAACTAGCTATGGAAAAAACAGATTATATGAAAGAAAATATTAGTTTACTTTAATTGTTTAAATATGCTAAAACTGGGCTGTTTCTGTTCTATATGTTCAAATCCCAACAATCTGTGAACTCATTGTATCTCCCTTATTCTATATCATGATGAGATGGACAAATGGCCCAATGGATCTATGGTGGCCAATAATAATTCTAATCTCCAGAAATATAAAAGCATCTATTTAATATTACTATATTTACCCCTTTGATATGTCATCCCTTTCACCAAATTATTGAAATGTACATAATTTGCACGACTTAAAATCACATCCAATAGATCCTACTCTACCTATTACTGCTAAACAGTTTTATTATACTATTTTTATAGAATAAATTCCTTACATTATTTCAACATTGCACAAAATTGGGCAAGATAATGCTCTATTTTTTTTTTAAGAGCACATGTATCTTATATACTTACTTTTTGATTCTAAATGGCTTGAAGATTCTGGTATCATTTGTCGAGGAACTCTGAGATGGTAGGACATAGAATCCTTAAAAATTATACCTATAAACTTTTCTGGACTAAGAAGGCTGGCTTCTTTCATTTCTTGTTCAGTTAGAAATTCTTGCACCTCTTTTCCTGCAAAACATCAAAAGCTTATTTTATAGTGATAGGAGTGCAGTAGTATATGTTCAAATGTTCCACTCATTTGTGAACCCAGCAAAATAATAAACTTTTCTATTTGTACTTACTCACCAGGGATAATGACATTTGCAAACTACATTGGAACTGCCACATTCTCAATAACCAAATGATATCCACGAGTTAATTGCACTGCTATTATTAATTCTGGGATCTAACATCCAGTTTATACATCTTGCAAATTAGGAATGAACATCCAGTGTAATGCATGCAACACTTTGCGCTAGCCCTTTCAAAGTCAAGAGTCAAAAATTGGTGGTGCTATCATTTTTTAAAATTTTAGCTACCATTTTCAATTTTAAAAAAGCTGAAATAGGTAACAAACTTCTATAAGGCTTAATGCACCATATTTCAACTTGTAATCATCCCAAATCTTTCAGAGACCAATTTTTTTTCTTACAAATGCAACATACCAATACTAAGAATGCAATAATACTCATTTTTAATATGAACATAGCTAACATTTTAAAAATTACCTAATTTAACCTACTTCTTATTCTTAAAAGGGATATTATTCTGTTTTTATTCACAAAGTTTGAATTGAATGATCCAACAACAAACTTAAATTCTATCTTGGAGCAATAAAGAGCATCCTATTGTTTGTTTGGGATTTTTTGCATGTTTAAATTGCCAAAAATTGAAAGCAAGTTTTAATATTCTGTTTACAGAGGAGAAAATAGATTTTCATGCAGGGATCACAACTGATTTGCATTTAAGGATTATAACTTCCAAAGGAAAAACAGTTTTTTATTTAGGACAAAACACCATACAGATTCTTAGTACCTTCTGGGCAGTATTCTGAAAACATTTTGTGCATGATCTTTCTTGTCACATTAGTTACGGGTGTGTAGCCTACAATAAACTCAGAAACGCTTGTGCGATTTGTTGAATAAAGAACTGCATCCGGCATCCTGCCATGTCTTTTGTTTGGCTGGATCATGCTTATGATAATAAGCAAACCTAGTAAGGAAAGAGGGATGAGGATTTCCTGCATAGATGAGAAAAGTAAAATAGAACTGAGTAATAAACAATAATTTGCAATTATATTCGCAATAATTGCACCAAATTGCATTCTAAGTAAGTTATTTTCACTGCATCTGCTTGAAAAAGAAAAGTAATGATATTATTGAATGCCATGTTTTAAAGCAGGGGTTCCCAAATTTGGCAGCTTTAAGACTTGTGAACTTCAATTTCCAGAATTCTCCAGAATTTTGGGAGCTGAAGTCCACAAGTCTTAAAGCTGCCAAGTTTGAAGATCTCTGTTTTAAAGTCTTCCTTAAAGATGTTTCATAGACTTGTTCCTGGACCAGAGCATATCCAGAATATCACAAAATGCAACCTATCTGGAGGATTTACTTCCAGGAAATGCCTGTTTATTTCTGTAATGGGCAGATCAATAGGGACAGAGGAAAAATAATCCAAAATGATACATTACATCTCTACTCTGAGATGTATATATAACAGATGAGCAACTTCAGGTACGTTTTGCATATTACATGCACTTATATGTATGAATGTGTGCATGTTTGTGTGTGTGTGAATGAGGGTATTGACTGTTGAAGTAACATGCCATCTTGTATATCAGAGTTGGACAATGCAATTAGCCTAATAATCGTACTTGAAACAAAGGATTTCCCTATTTGGATGGGAAATCCTTACACCCTTGAACAAGCTGGATGGCCAGCTCCCCGTTTCATCACTAAGTTGAGTTAATGCATGAGGGAATGAGTATGTATGGGTGAAGAATGCTCTAAAGCAATAACACTTAACTAAGTGTGGAAGTCATGTGCTTGCTTCTTGTTAAAAGATTTTAATTGCTTCTCTAATTAGTAATGAGGGAAGGGAGTCCCACTGAGCTTTGTGTGCATGTGCTTCTTAAATAAACTCCCTGTCTTTTTAACAATATTATATAACAATATGCTCTTTCAAGTTACCGGATCACAGTCATGTGTAAACTGTTGATCAAAGCAAACAGAAAAAATATGTGCTTAAAGAGCAGAGTGATTGCCTAGAAGGGAAATTGAAAAAAATAAAGGATAGTTTAGAATTTTTTAATCAAAAACTGTGCAAGAAGCATCATTTTCCTTCTAATCCTACAGGAGACCCTATAGTATACCATTTCGGACAAGTGGTTGTCCATTAAATGAAGCCTTGATAAAACAAACTGACTTGATGCTTTATCAGCTTCAGAGATAACTGAAATAAAATGACCTTTAAGCTTCTCTGTATTTGAAGTAAAACCATCAATTCAATTTTATGCATTTCCACAAAAAACATGATTTTTAAATATGATTTAGGGAATAAGTTAATTCATTCAAAAATCTTTTTCTGTGTTTAATGGACTTCTCAAAGAATGTTTTGAAAAGGGTGGATATCAGATTTTTTTTTACTTATGTTGTAAGAAATGTAATGGTTGTCTGATTCATATGATTTGGGTCCATTTATGGTTTGTTTTTACTTTGTCATAACAAATATTAACATAATTCTGAATAAAAATATAGCGGAGATGTGATATTGTATTACACTCCTAAAATATGAAATGTTATTAATAGAATGCACCTGTATACTGACTCGCTATGTTTGGTATAAATCATCTGGTTTAATGTTGAAATGAGGTTAAAATACAATACTTCTGAACAACTCACCTGAATACTAGTTCTTTTCGTCCGCCATTTAATTAGGCAGTTCTTATATAAAAGAACTCGAGTTTGTCGCCATGTTCCTCCTTGTCTTGGAGCCTCTGTAGACATTTTGTGTGTGTGTGTGTGTAGCCTGAAAAGCAATGCACGTGGTGTGCACATAAAATTAATGTATACTTTCCTTAAATGCCCAGCTTTATATTTTTTCTTATTCTGCGAAAAAGTACTTTACTAAAACAGCAATGTAAGGTTTGGGAAAGAAACACTGTCATTCTTATATGGCATTTTCTCATCATGAAAATGTTCAGTAGAATGTTTGGAGCTTACATTCTTAAACTCAACTGTTTATATGTACAGAATGTATGTATCACCCAGCTTAGACTTAGAATAACTTTTGTCATTTTGAATGTACACTAGTTGGCATACATTAAAATGAAATTTCGTTGCATACAGCTCTCAAAGGGTCACAACCTCCAATATACACTACATAAACATGACAAAATAAATAAATACAACATTATGCAGTTTTTGTTATTAAAGAAAATATTTTGTACAAAATAAAAAGCTGAATATGTAGAACCTGATAATCAACCTAATAAAAATGGAAATCCAATGCTTGCATTTATAACGAGAATATTGTAATGAAATCACCAAATGCCTAATATAAAAGAGTTTGAGGAAAACAAATGAGGTGGATGGTAGGGGAATGGTGTTCCCCAATTAAGGGGCATCACTGAATGTCTGTCTCTTTGCTCTTTCCTTAAGCAGGGGCCTTAAGCATTCTCTCTTGGGTTGCATGCATAGGCTGGGAAGCTTCAACCTGAAGTAAAGGGACCCTGAGGCATCATAGACCTGAGGTTTAAAGGCTTGATAGATCAATACTGCATGCCACATTTTGTAGTTTATCTTTAGAGGCAAGCTGGTGTGGAGTGCATTATAGTAGTCTAAGCACATAGTGATGAGAGTATGAGCTTTTGTTGACAGAGCTTTATAGCTCAGGTCCAGACCATCAGATCTACAGCAGTTAGCAGTTTCTCAGTCTAAACCCAAATAGGAGGACAACAAAAATTAAAATATGGTATACTGAGATGAGAAAGAACAGTAAGAAACAACCAAGAGTATATTGAGAATCTGCAGAAATCATTTATCTGCAATGACACATTTCAAATCATGTTTATGGCAGAAAGAAACAGGAATGGGGCAAATCAATTTGTGGTTGCATTTTAAGAGTGCATTGCTTGAAGTTCTGCTGAACTAAACTGCCCCTTCAAGTTTCATAATTTTATGTCGAATCATATTTCCAATTCAAATTACTTAGAGTCAAGGTGAATTGCATCGCAAGATAACCTACTGTATATGCTACCATGCAGGTCATGAATGCTAGCATCTTATTTAGCAACAATCTGTATTTTGCTTTCAATATTCCTAACTTCATTGATGGGAGCATGTCTCACATTGAATAGCTGCTGTCCAGCGTTATATTGTAGCACCTGCTGGGTAACTTCACTTTCCATTATAACAGGCAAGGAAGCCAATGCACCCATCATTGCAAATCTTTCTCCATCATCCACGTGAATTTTCTGTTATGAACAGCTCTGGATTGATGGCAGTCTCCACCTCCCCGACCCACACCTTCTTCTCTGCTTTCCACCCATTCATCTTTTTGGGTATCATATTGCTATATTCTCACTGATCTATTCTTTTTCATTATTTATTTTATTCTATTATCTTTTGTTCTGTTTATACTTTTCCCATTTCCCCCCCTTTTTATTGCTGTAAACCACCTAGAGTAGCCCCAAAGCAAGATAGGCAGCAAATAAATTGAACAAATAAATATCGTAAATCAGGATGACAGGGTTGCATATAATTGTAATTATAAATGTAATTATCCTGAAAAGTAACTAAATCAAAACAAATATCATGCATTTCCCCAGATAGATGACAGATATAGGCAGACAGACAGACAGAAACACACACACTAGGATCATCTTGGTAGTCCTGAAATCCCAAGGAACTGGATCTAATAAGACTTCTGAATTATATATATTGTATATGACTTATACACACTTAACACTCTTTTTCTTCAGAGTCCTTCCTATTAGCTTTATTGCAGCTGCCTCAGCCCCTAAACCAAAACAACCTAAATCGAATCTAAATCCCTGTTTAGCTAAACTTTACTTTCCTACCTTTTTTTTTTTTAAATCGGCACTCAGTTAAATGGCGTCTTCGGACAACTCACTTTCACGGGAACCAAACGTCAATGCATACTCCCAAAAGGAATCAAAAGGCAGAGATCACGTTGTGAGGCTCCATTCACAGCACCGCTAAGTCCTGTCCAGAACTAACCGCATCCCATTCACTGCAGATCAAGGAGGCGAAAATGTCACCAGGGCAGGCAAATCTGTCAAAGAACCACGGAAAAGTCATGGATTACAAGGAAGCCGCGCAAGCAGAAAGCAGTTGCGGTGACTTTTATGTAAAAGAAACTAAAAGGAAAGTTAAAGAGGCCAGGATACGGTCGCAGGATTAGGGCTGACTGGGTTATTTAGGTTCCCACTGAACCTCACCTCTAACCTTGGGTGTTATTGGTACCTAACTTAAGTTATTCAGGCTCCGTACGCCGCGCCTTTTATAAAGGCAGGGGTTTCAGTCAGCAAGAAGCCAGCCTAAAATAAGTTTTTAAGGGCGCCGGAGAAGCAGAACGAACCGGTGCTTATTTTTATTTAATTTTTTTCCCCTTCGCACCGCTTCAACACCCTTCAGGTTTTGCTTAGTCACGGCGGCGGCTGGGTTTGAAGGGGCGCCATTGGAGCAAGTGCCGGCGGCGGCTGCAGTGTGTCTCCGCGGCTGGCAAGCTGGAAGAGGGATGCACTCTTTACGCCGCCTCCCAGCCCAGAGGGAGGGGGCAGCTCTCCCTATACCCCCCGCCCCAAATTGTGCACGGCTCCTCATCCTTCCTGACGCCACTTTTTTCCTCTCCCGCCCCACGCCCCCCACTTTTCTCTCCCGGCTTCCTCTCCTCCCCACTTTTTTACATTACGCGGCGCCTGCCTTTCCGCGCCTGCTTGCTACCTCGGTCCGCCGCTTCTTAGTCCCGTTAGATGCGTAGCCGGAAAGCAGCCTTAAGGGCCACCAGCGGCGCTCCCTGAGCTGCAGCGCCTCCTCGTCCATTCAGATTGGCGGACTGGAGGCCGACGCCAAAGTCGGGCTCCCCCCCCCCCCTCGCTTCCCCGTGCCGCCTTAGGGCGGAGCGCCTCCTTGGCTGTCACCTTGGCTGCGGAGTTGCTGCAGGGCACGATGCCGCCGCCGCCGCTTTAGCTGCCTGCCAGCGCTGTGGGTGGAAATAACGGTAGGAACTTTATTAGGAGCAACTTTCTCTGTCCCGCTTCTTGGGAAAAGAGGAAAGGAAAGGAAAGGAAAGGAAAGGAAAGGAAAGAAGGAAAGGAAAAGAAAGGAAAAGAAAGGAAAGGAAAAGAAAGGAAAGGAGGAAAGGAAAGGAAAGGATTAAAAGTGTGGTTTTGCCTCCAATCTGAGTCTTTAATTGCATCAGGATTCAACCTTAGAAGGTGGCCCAGGAAAAGACAAGGTGGATCCTTGAGTCTTGGCCCTATCCCGAACCCATGAACTTGGGTGGTAAGAGTTCTGGGCAACTTAAGGATATCAAGGCAGAGAAGTGGCTTGGGGAGTGCAAAGATTACTTCGTTCATGTCCTGGTCCTGACTCAAGAGCACTCCTCCAACAAGACCCAGGAGGAAGCATTTTTGAGCTGAGGGGACCCAGTGAGATGCTGGGCAATCCTATCATTTATGTCCTGCCCTGGACTCCGTTGACTCTATCCCAAACCAGGAACCTTCTCAGCTAGTCTTCAATAACACCTTCTTGAGAATATCAGGAGAGAAGTTGGACAAGATTAGGCCCAGCTGCACACAACTATTAGTATTTACGGATGTAAATACTTAATCTGGGCTTGGTATAAAACCACTGGAATATTGCTATTCTATGAAAGAATTCATGGATAGAATTCTCCGCCATAAAAACATGTCTGCATTTGATTTGACACATCTTCTGACATAACTTGTCTGCTCTTTCCGATGCTGCCATTTTGGTAAGTCATATATGTGCTGAATTTGGGCTAAGTTTACAACAATGGGGTTAAGTTTGACTATCATGGCAATAACCAGATATAAGCAAGTTTTTTTTAATAAGCCCAGGACAATTTAACCTCATATTCTCTAGGAAAAGTGTTTTCTGTTTTGCTGTGACTGATGATGCCATTTGTGAATATATGTATTCAAAATTTTAAATATAGCTATTGAGCTATAAAATATTGCAGATTTCTAGGGTGGAGTGATCTCATATAAACGTCCCCCAATTAATCCAATTTCTTTTCCAGGTATTGATTGTATCTATGTGCAGCACTATTATAGTGGTATCCAGGATGAGACTTGGAATCAACTCTTACATATTACAGAGAAATTAAATATCAACTGTTACCCTTTGTTACAGAATATGTTAAACTTGGCATCTAGATTAGCAAATACCAATTTCTAAAGTATGGTGGATGTTCAAATGGATTTTTTAAAATTCAAGTCAGATTTTTTTTTCAAACTTTCAATATCTCCATGTATTTCTGATAGGAAGGAAAGAAAAGACATGTTGTGGTGTGCCAGCTAGCTCATATTGGTCCATGGTTAGACAACTTTGTATATAGGCAGCAGCCATAGAAACTCCACGACTGCTGGTCCTGGGTTGGCAATGATCCTAAAGTAGACATGTTAATTATTTGTTAGAAGATGTTAGAAATTTACAGGATCCCAAGCACTCTTATTCTCTGAGCATTTCTTTTGGTTATTCTTTAAGAGTCAGTTCTTTACTGGGAGAGCAATAGATGTGAAAGAAAAATTAAAGAAAACTTGGGTATTAGATAAAAAACAATTTTTGGATCTGAGAATACAAAGTTATAAATCATAGAGCTGCAGGAGATGTTAGAGTCAGTGCATTTTTATCTGATTATATACTCAAAAGATCTAATTTCCGTAATACTGGGAGGAGAAAGTGCAACTCTTTCCCAACAAAATCCCAGGATCAGAAACCACTAATACTGGTTGCAAACCACAAAAGAGGCTATCAATTCATGCAGGCGATACGTCCCTTTCTTGAGGGGATCCACTGGAGTGAAAATAAGATGGGTAGAATTAGCCTGTATTAGCATTTACCAAATTGAAAAAGAAGTGAAAGAAATTCATTCCCTCCCTCCAGTGAATAAAAAAAAATGTATTTCAATTTGACAGCAGCAAGCATAAAAATGAAAAGATCCCTTAATTCCCACAATGGATGATTGGCTGCAAAAGCTGATGGAGTGAGCAGATTGCTAAATTGACTGCTTTAATTAAGAAAAGAATACAACTTTGTTTCTACTTGGAAACGGATTCTGGACTTTATGCTTGGGGGAGGGGGAGATGAAACTTTGATTTTGGGTTCTCTTGATTAGATATGTTTATTGTTATAGAAATGACTACTATGTAGTATCATGAAAAGTAAAAGATTGAGGCGGTACACTATTCCCATTCTTTTTATTTTTCTTTGTATTTTATATTTTGATAAACTAATAAAAAATTAAATTGAAAAAAAATTCAATTTGAGATCAAGAGGGACTTGAATTGGAGGTGGCTTTTAGGGTTTGAGAGGGTTCTTCTTAAGAGACTCTGTGTATAATACTTTTGAGGACTTCAATTATATCTTAATATTAAAAAACATTTCTCATAATGTTATAGTGTAATCTTCCCGACTATTATGTAATGTATAAATATTGATTGTACAATGTAAAAGTTTAATGGCAGTGAGTTTTTCAAAGTGCTTTAAGACTTTAACAAGTGCTTTCTTGCTGATTGCTTTGGAGTTTTAATTATTTACTTAGATGTTTAAATCATACCAGCAGAGAGTGATTTTTTAAAAAATACTGAAATGCCAGCAGCACTTGTTATAAATTGGCTAAGAACAGGGCTGGGACCATGTATTAAATAAAAATAAGGACCTAATCTTCTAGTTTACCAAGAATGCTTAGTTTATCTCATTTCCTTTCGATTCCATAAAACATTTCTATTAACTTTTGGGTTTTGTTCTCATTGACAGCATGTAGGAAAAAATATTTAAACACTCTAAATTGTTGGGAAAACACTAATATTGAATTAAAATGATAACTATTGGTTACATTTAATTAACTGAATACATATAGATTATCTGTCTTACACCTGTACATATTCACATGGAAAAACTCTTTTCATGGAAAGTTAGGTTCAACAAATATCGATCTAGAGTATGCTAAACATAATTCTAAAGGGAGTTTATTTCAAAAGATGGATGTAATGTAGAAAAAGGAAAAACCACTGGTGGCAGGAAGAAAATCATGAAAGCCTTTACTTGTGTAAATAATAATTTGGCATTATTTTGTACCAACTGCAATCTTTAGGCAATTTTCAAGGATAGTTCCATGTAAAGTGCAGTGTAGTGTCACAGTCAAGACTAGCTGTAAAATAAGCCATGGAGAACGTGTAGTGGTGAAACTCAAACAGTCTACCTGTAGCAGAAGGAAGAGTCAGTAAAATGTTTCAATGTTTATAATATTATACAAATAAATTATTCATATTCTTATATTGGAACAATAAACAGACATTTTAGAATGCTTTATTACAAGCAACAAAGTTCCAGCAAGGCACTTTAACATAATAGCAGCAACAATACTACATTACTTTACCACTGATAGATCTGTGAGTCTAATATATTATTCTAACTATTAGGATTTTGTACAGAAACTGAATGTGTTTTAAAATCAGAAGAATTTTGATATTTACATAAAAGTAATTCATGAAATCAGTGGGGTACAAGTAAAACTGAATATGAAAGATGAGGGCAAGGGCTACCAATTCTCTGAAAAGTAGGGTTTTGTGCTACCACGCAAATGAGGTTTTTGAAGAAGGTCTAACCATCCCTTGTCCCAATGAACAGAAAAGAAGACCATTTGAAGAGCTGAGGGAAGCGAAGAATAAACTTTAGTGCTTGTGTAACGTTTAGGAAATACAGTGGTGCTTCTCTGGAAAATTGGGAACAAGGAAAAAAATGATTATTTCCATCTTGCAGTGAAAGTGAGAATGTTTAGAATGAGGGAACATCAAGATAATGGATGATCCCTTTTCTGTAGAAAATACAAAGTGACTGGCTCAGAAGACAGAAAAACTGCTATGAACAGTCTTAATGTTTTAGAAAATATAATCCTAGCTTTAGAAGTACAAACTCCTGGGCTAAAATGTTCATCTGCAGCCACCATTGTAGCAAGGCTCCAAGTTTTGTATTGAACAATCTTTTCCAGCTGTGAGAAAAAAACTGGTTGGGTGGTACCTGGAATGAGTCCTTTGAGAGCGATGGAGCAAAGAGTGCAACTTTGATACCCATTCTGAGGAAAGAGCATGAATCCCGTACAAATAGGATCTGAGAGTGAAAACGTGCCAGAAATTGTGAGCTAAGTCAAACAAGAATGAAACCACGATACACAAATTAATTTCTGCAAGTCTACTGGAATACAAGACTACAAACAAACTGGCTACTGCTCAATTAATAAAAAAAAATAGAGGTGCTGCACTGACCCCCGCACACCTCAGAAAACTATTGAGTTCAATGTTGGGAAGTCTCTTGAAAGCCAAATCAATCCTCAGTCTTCTGATAGGAAAGGCAGAAATCTCCAAACACTTTTTGACTGAGCAAATATATCAATAAACAGTCCCAGAAAGAAGGAAGGTTGTCAATCCCAACTTAATTCTTCAAGACCTGAAAGGACAAAGGGATACGAGAATGAAGGGATAGGATCAGATCAATGTGCAATGAGTTAGAAATCTTTTGAGCAACCAACATGATACATCGAAGCTACAGGTTAGATTGAGAATTTTAAAAACTCAATGGCAAAACATTTAGGAATTGCTGCCAAGAAAACCAAATGGATAGACCCATTGTTAGTCTCCTGCTAATTATTTTTCAAATTTGTATCTGCATACTGCCAACAAAGCCAGCCCATGCATGTGGCAGTTTCTTAACAGAATAATGTGTCAATGGATTTTCTTTTTTTTTTTTTTTTGAAAGTAGGTCTTCCACTGGAATATATCTTCATGCAATGTAATGGGACTGGGAACATTTTAAATCCTGAAGAATCAGAATTATGTTGCTTATAGCTTCATGCTACGAAAACTGGATCAGGCAAACAAAGGAAAAGAAAAAGCAAGGTCATTTTAAGCAGCACAATCCTGAGACAGGGAAAGGAAAGGCTATTTTATTAAAGAAAGTTTTAAGGCAACGTGTCACACAACAGTACTGCTGCAATAAAAGTTATTGACCAGTTGCATTTCCAAAAAATGTAGACTAGAAACATCTTTTTAATTTAATTATTTCTTTTATCAAAGAATTCAAATAATTTTTAAAAACAGAATATGGAAACTGAATTAAGAAACACTTAACGTAATAACCTAACTCAACATACAAATGTACAAGAAATTAATGCTCTCCAAAGATCATTCATAGATTTAGTTTATCATGCATGTTTATATAGTAAAATACTACTGCACAAGATGAGTATACAGGTATTTTCTTGATTTTCCATATAATCCTTTTTTGGGAATAGGGATAGGGATGAGGTAGAGAGTGGAGTGGAGTGGAGTGGAGTGGAATAACAGAGTTGGAAGGGACTTTGGAGGTTTTCTAGTCCAACCTCCTGCTTAGGCAGGAAACCCTACCTCACTTCAGACAGATGGTTATCTAATCTCTTCTTAAAAACTTCCAGTGTTGGAGCATTTACAACTTCTGGAGGCAAGTTTTTCCACTAATTAATTGTTCTAATTTAGGAAATTTCTCCTTAGTTCCAAGTTGTTTCTCTCCTTGATTAGTTTCCACCCATTGCTTCTTGTTCTACCCTCAGGTGCTTTGGAGAAGTTTGGCTCCCTCTTCTTTGTGGCAACCCCTGAGATATCGGAACACTGCTATCATGTCAGCCCTTGTCTTTCTTTTTATAAGATTAGACATATCCAGTTCCAGCAACTGTTCTTTATATGTTTTATCCTTTAGTCCCAAATCATCTTGTTGCTCTTCTCTGCACTCTTTCTAGTCTCAACATCTTTTTTACATGATGGCAACCAAAATTGGATGCAGTATTCCAAGTGTGGCCTTACCGAGGCATTATAAAATGGTATTAACACTTCATGTGATCTTTATTCTATCCCTGTTTATGCAGCCTAGAATTGTGTTGGCTTTTTTGGCAGCTGCAGCACACTGTTGACTCATATTTAAGTGGTTGTCCACTAGGACTCCAAGATCCCTCTCACAGTCACCACTATTGAGCACAGTACCACATATACTGTACCAGTGCATTTTGTTTTTCTTGCCTAAATGTAGAAACTTACTTTTTTCACCACTGAATTTCATTTTGTTAAATAGCGCCTAATGTTCAAGTCTGTCAAGATCCTTCTGTATCTTAAGCCTATTTTAGGACCTGCACGCTTTCCGCCGTGCCATCAAAACATTTCTTTTCCAGCAGGCCGGCCTGGCCTAACCTCTCTTTTAAACTTTTTTAAAAATTTAAAAATTTCTAAATTTTAAATTTGTCTTATGAATTTGTCTTATGAATTTTCTATAACCTCTTCGGTTATAGAAAAAATGCTTTTAAAAGCATTTTTTTAAAAACCTCTTCAGCCGAAGAGGTTGTAGAAAAATGGTTTTAAAAGTAAACAAAAAAAAAGTTGGCCCTGCCCATTCAGTCATATTATCCCCCCCCCTCACCAAGCCACGCCCACAGAACCGGTAGTAGCAAAATTTACATTTCACCACTGCTTTTAGGTGTTTGCTGATTCTTTGCCTGATTATCTTTTCCAGAATCTTCCCTAGTATTGAGATCAGGCTGACGGGTCTGTAGTTTCCCGGATCTATTTTTTCCCCCTTTTTTGAATATGGGAATTACATCAGCTCTTTTCCAGTCCTCTGGCAGTTCCCCAGTGCTCCAGGATCTTTGAAAGATATAGTTCAGTGGTTCCAAGATCTCATCTGCCAGTTCCTTCAGAACCTTGGGGGGTAATCCATCTGGTCCTGGTGATTTGAACTCGTCTAGGGTAGACAGGTGCTCACTTATCATTTTCTTCCCTATTTTAACTTGTGTTCCTTATCTGTTTTTTGTGGTGCTATTTTTGATAGGTTGGACTGTTTTTTCCCTTTGTGTAAAGACAGATGCAAATCAAATGGAATGGAATGAAATAGAAACAGAACAGAATCCTTTATTGGCCAAATGTGATTGGACACACAAGGAATTTATCTGCGGTGCATAACCTCTCCGTGTACATACAAACAACAAAGTGATAGATCATAAATCATAGTTACAATCATTAATCATAGGATACAATTTTCTTTGTCTAATGATTTTATTGTACCTTTAGTATCTTCACATGCAATCAACTTTCTGTAAAAAATTTTTGTAGAATTCATTTTTTAACCATTATACTGGCAACTTAGGAAATAGCTAGGATAGCTGTAATTTTTGAAATCTAAAGATATAGATCTTACGCTTGCATCCCAGTCCTACTGTGTGTATGTGTGTGTGTGTTATTAATATATTCACTATTTACAGAGTAAATACTGAAGATCAAATGGAGTATTTCATATTCAAAGGAAATGTTTCATTCAAATTCTACTAAAGTTTTAACTATGCAGACAAAATTCTCAGTATTCTAGTTACTAAAAAGTTCTTTTGAAAATAAGATTCTAAAATCAAATATGTATCATGGGTTTATAACCAGATTTTTCCAGAGTTATGTTTTTCCACCAATAATATGGAAATTAGATAGATCGTGGGTGATGAAATTCAGAATATCATGTTCTATAACAGAAGCACATATTGACTCATTAAAAAAAAACATTTACCAAAGACAAACACTGGAGATACTGTATATAAGATAAATAAAGAGAATAGGGTCAATTTTGCATTTTTAGATGTTGAGAATCAAAATTATTTGTACTAATTACTTGTACTAATTTTCTAATACATAATGAATGAACACTCCAGGAGAATAAGATAATTTCAAATAATAAAAATAATCTTTTTTAAAAACCTGAAAGAATGTAGAAACTGAATTCTGCAACATGGAATATATCAGAAAACAACTCTTTCTCCTTGGGTTCGTTCCCACCAAAGCATGCTATTTAATGTTCCAAAGCTGTCTTCTTCTTCTTGCTCTTTGGCAAGTTCCACAAAAACCTACAAACAATACAATTGTTTTAATACAACAAATTATCTAAAATCTTTGATTGATCAAAGCCATAGTAGATGGTAGAGGTCAGTATTCATGAGCCTATTCGTTAGTGATTATGGCATATGGAAAATTTTGACTTGGCATCTTAAATAAGAATATGATGATGAGTTTAAATTAATCTAGTGCAGAGATGAAAGTCAAGTTTACTTATGAATGAAATGAGTAAAATCAGAAATTCAGAAACTATGGATGAGTGTCATTTCAATTAATGTTGGTTTATACAGAATTAGAAAACATTATATATATATATATATATATACATATATATACATAGATATATATATAAGCATTAGTAAATATAATACAGTACAATTATTTGGAAAGGTCTGTCCGAGTTACCTGTTCAAGGGTTGCTTGAGAAAAGCTGTACTCTTCAATATTAAAGGCATGTTTTGCTGTTTAAAAGAATTCAAAACTGTTAATTGTCATTGAAAGACAGGTATCAAAATATTTGATATTTAGATACTTTACAAAACAACCAATTCCATCTGATGCCAAAACCATTGAACAGCTAGATCATTCCAAAAGCCCATGCACATGATTTATAAAGCTACTAAAACTACTATCTAATTGCTGCATTGAGACCAAATCCAGTTTTGTGTACACTCTTAGTTAATCTGTTGGAATGCTTTTCTCAGTGGAAGTTATTTCTATTAACAGGAGAAATTATGTTGGATTTTTTTCCTCTTCAAAGTCTCCTTTGTGATTTTGAAAAGTAAGGGGTGGGGGGAGAAATCAGCAGTATGTATTAGTGTGGAATTGGTTTTCATTCATGGATGTACTTAGTCAAGCAGTGTTTACAGGTTAAAAAAAAGAATGTTCACTTCTCAAAACACACACCTCTAATGTTCATCTAATTTCTCTACACAATGAAAGCAAGTCAGAAAGGCTAGAAATTAGGATATGCAGCCCTTTGAATTTAATCACCATAATGTGACTGAGAACATGAACACAACATCTGTCTGCAATATATTAAAGATCATGGGATCACATGGCTGCTCTGTGCAGCTGCTGCACAATCCTGCAAACAAATGCAGTTGCTTCAGTGTATTGCAGATAGGTGCTGTGTTCATGCTTCCAAGCACTTAATGAGACTGAATAGAAAATAGTTAAAACTTCATTTGCTACAATAGTTTGATATATATTAAATGTACCTGACTGAACAGAAATGGATGAAATAATGACAGGAGATGGCAAAATGATGAGGATGGGTTATTAAGAAAGTGAAAAGATTAACAAAGAGACAGACATTCTAAGATTATCAGTTCACTTAGTATTCTGTTACCTTACCTTCCTCAAGTTTGGAAAAAGACAGGGCAAGTGAGTGGACATCTTCCTTTGGGATTTTGTATGATAAAATTGACCTAAAACTGCAACAAATAAAAAGAAAAGAAGTGTATTCTAAAACAAGTAGTTTGAGTAATATTAGTTTAAGTATTTTAATGCAATGTATTGCATCAGACATCAAGGTTGTACAGGAGGGTTAATGACATCAAAATGAGAGAGGCAACCAACAAGTGAAGCCCTGCTCTCTTTTAATATGCATTGTACACTGCGCAAACACAAAAACAGTGTGTACAATCATGCAGCCATGATCACCATTTTGAGAATATTGACCTTGCTTATGGACATCACTGATAAATACAATTGTTTTATCTTTGCTTTATCCAATTATTATTATTATTATTATTATTATTATTATTATTATTATTATTATGTTAATCTTTAGTGAGATTTACAGCCTTTGAGGCTGGTTAATAGCTCAGCAACTGGAGTCCTAACCAAGGACTTAGGAACTGTTAAGGTATCATCGGAGGATGTAAGCTGTTCCGAGTAAGATGGTTTTTTGTAGTCTCAAAATGTTCAAGTCTGGCAAATTTAGAATTTCTAAATAGCGGGGTAGCCCTTTGGGTATTGCTCCAAGGGCTCCAATTACAATTGGGACAACATACTATTTCTTTTTCCATAGTCGCTCAACCTTAATTTGCAAGTCCCGGTACTTTGTGATTTTTTTCTTGCTGCTTATCTTCAATCTGTGCGTCACCAGGTATTGCAATGTAAATACCTGGTGCATGGCCCATATCTTACATATATAGTCAGGTCCAGAAATATTGGGACATCGACACAATTCTAACATCTTTGGCTCTATACACCACCACAATGGAGTTGGAATGAAACAAACACAATGTGCTTTAACTGCAGACTGTCAGCTTTAATTTGAGGGTATGTACATCCAACTCAGGTGAACGGTGTAGGATTTACAGCAGTTTGCATATGTGCCTCCCACTTGTTAAGGTACAAAGATAAAGGGACAATTGGCTTCTCAGCTGTTCCATGGCCAGGTGTGTGATATTCCCTCATTACCCCAATTACAATGTGCAGAAAAAGGCCCAGTTCATTTCAAGCTATTTGCATTTGGAATCTGTTGCTGTCAACTCTCAAGATGAGATCCAAAGAGCTGTCACTATCAGTGAAGCAAGCCATCATTAGGCTGAAGAAACAAAACAAACCCATCAGAGAGATAGCAAGAACATTAGGCGTGGCCAAAACAACTGTTTGGAACATTCTCAAAAAGAAGGAACGCACCGGTGAGCTCAGCAACACCAAAAGACCCGGGAGACCACGGAAAACAACTGTGGTGGATGACCGAAGAATTCTTTCCTTGGTGAAGAAAACACCCTTCACAACAGTTGGCCAGATCAAGAACACTCTCCAGGAGGTATGTGTGTCATGTATTCACCAGAGTGAATACAGAGGGTTCACGACAAGATATAAACCATTGATGAGCCTCAAAAACAGGAAGGCCAGATTAGAGTTTGCCAAACAACATTTAACAAAGTCTTCACAGTTCTGGAACAAGATCCTATGGACAGATGAGACCAAGATCAACTTGTACCAGAATGATGGGAAGAGAAGAGTATGGAGAAGGAAAGGAACTGCTCATGATCCTAAGCATACCACCTCATCAGTGAAGCATGGTGGTGGTAGTGTCATGGCGTGGGCATGTATGGCTGCCAATGGAACTGGTTCTCTTGTATTTATTGATGATGTGCTGCTGACAAAAGCAGCAGGATGAATTCTGAAGTGTTTCGGGCAATATTATCTGCTCACATTCAGCCAAATGCTGCAGAACTCATTGGACGGCGCTTCACAGTGTAGATTGACAATGACCCAAAGCATACTGCAAAAGCAACCAAAGAGTTTTTGAGGGGACAGAAGTGGAATGTTATGCAATGGCCAAGTCAATCACCTGACCTGAATCCCATTGAGCATGCACTTCACTTGCTGAAGACAAAACTGAAGGGAAAATGCCCCAAGAACAAGCAGGAACTGAAGACAGTTGCAGTAGAGGCCTGGCAGAGCATCACCAGGGATGAAACCCAGCGTCTGGTGATGTCTATGCGTTCCAGACTTCAGGCTGTGATTGACTGCAAAGGATTTGCAACCAAGTATTAAGAAGGGAAAGTTTGATTTATGATTATTATTCTGTCCCGTTACCTTTGGTCCCTTAACAAGTGGGAGGCACATATGCAAACTGCTGTAAGTCCTACACCGTTCACCTGAGTTGGATGTACATACCCTCAAATTAAAGCTGACAGTCTGCAGTTAAAGCGCATTGTGTTTGTTTCATTCCAACTCCATTGTGGTGGTATATAGAGCCAAAGATGTTAGAATTGTGTCGATGTCCCAATATTTCTGGACCTGACTGTATATATATATATTTACATATATATATAAATACAATTGTTTTATCTTTGCTTTATCCATTTTTATTTTTATTTTTATCATCATTATCATCATCATCATCATTATCAACAACTTATTAGATACCTTTACTGAGATATAGTATAAATCAGAAATACAATGATTACAGAATTCCATACTCTACATTCACAACTTAATAGCCAAACCAGTAAAAAAGTGTTAATCACATAGACAAACCAAACATGTTTAGAAACAATGCACTCTGATACAATTGAGCATATACACTGCATAAAACCAGAATTAATGTAAAACTGCCAAGATTAATTAGTAGGATGGGATAACCAGGCCCTAGACTAACTAACAAGCCATATAAAAAAAGCTTTTCAACCCCTTTAAAAGGCCAACAAACTTTAGAGAGATGAAAAGACAAAAAGGGAGCTGATTAGAGAATTGCAAGGCCAGGATCGTGAAAGAAGCCAGACTACAATTCTGGAGGGAGAAACTAAAGAATGGTCTGGTCCAAACGAAATCAGTAATAAAAAGGATTCCAGGGGAAAATAAGATAGATATTGAGAAATTTGTGATCAGAGAGCTCCAAATATAAGTACCAATGGTTTGGTACTGGGTGTTAGTTCAATAAGTAGAGTCTTTTGATACAGCAGAACATAAGAGTGGGAATGATTCAGATCATTGGGAATGGAACTGTGCTAGACTAAGACCTAAGACACAATGAGGAACATCTGTCAAAAGACTTGCAGTAATTTAAGAGTACAAAAAACACCACCGCAAGCACTAAGGAAGCTATTCTCTCCATTGTTCCCCACCCTCTTCCTACAATTATTCATCACAACTCTATTTGTTTTTATAATATTTATCTTTTGGTATTTTTGTAATCTATTTTGTCTCTGTTATATTTATAATTTTTGCTTATTGGGTTGTTGAACCGTACCCAAAATCACTTTTTGTGAAATGAGCAGCTACACAAATTGGATAGATACTGTAAATAGATAAATGCAACTTAGTGACCCTTGCTGTAAGATTGCCAAATGGGTGTTTTGAGATGGGAGGCTATAAAGAATTGATAAATAAATAGACAAATACAGTCAGCTGATCATCAATCAAAAAATTTGAGGCTGCAAAAAAAAATTGAGACCACCCAAGGTTCCTGGAGACAAAAAAGCGAAGACACAATACAGGACGGGAAGGATAATCAGGCCAAATATGATGTCTGATTTATGCATATTCAACTTGAGGTGATGGGAAGACATTCAAGAGGAAATGCTAGTAAGATATGGGCCATGCACTGTCATCAAGGGGCACAAAAGACCAATAGACAAAGCATTATCAGCATATCAATGATATTGAAAGCCCTAACTGTAAATCGGAACTGATAAATAAATAAATAATCTAGTAAATCAGGGAACTCAAAGGATAAATAAAACAGAATATAAGACTGATCCCTGAAACACATTTAATATAAAGGGAAATTGCTGAGACTGTAATCTACTATGCAGTATTGCAGAGAAAGGAGAAGACAAACCATTTTTATATCAATCACACACATTGGCAATGATGCTCAGGAACCATAATTTAACCAGCAATATTCGGTGGTTGAGACTATCAAATATTGCCATCAGGTCCAAAAAGGACTGGCAATAGCAATAAAATGTCAAGATTTTAGTACTGAAATATCATTCAGTGTTTGATAAAGTGTTTTCTTAGTTGAGTTCCTGGCTGAAATCCTGATAGTTATGGATTGAAAATGTCATTAAAAGACAATAAATAATCAATTATGGGAGGATACTCTCAGAAACCTCAGATCAGAAAAATGAAACAGTCCAATAATCTGAAGACAAAAAGGGATCCAAAGAAGATTTCTCCAATAAAGGGCAAAGAGGAACATACTTTAAAGTTTGAAAAACTACCTGTGTTTAAAGAAAAGTTCAGCAAGACAGAAAACAGGTTAGAAAAAGAGGCAGAAAAATAAGATAAATGTACAAGAAAAAGGATTCAGGAGGGAAACTTGCATTAAAGGAGGCCAGCAGAGTTTTTAAACACAGATGGTGATTTTAAAAAAAAATAGCAGAAGATAGCTAGTGGATGAAAATGAATGGGCATTCACCACTTTATTAAAGGAATAATGTCCCAAGTCCTTACAAGAAAGAGAAGCACTAGGAGACCAAACACTCTGTAGTTCAGTGGTGGATGATGTTAATAAAACAAGGGGGAAAACTGGTGAGAAGTCCTGGTTTGAAAAATGAATGACATCTTGAAACAAAGCTTGCTTTGTTTCTCACAGGTGATGAAAATAATTATCCAAAGTTTCTGCATCTGGTTGAAAGAAGCTCTCTCCAGGTGCTTTTCTGGTCTACTGGCAGCCATCTGAAGGACACTAGGTCAAGAAACTGACACTAGAGATTGAAGGATGTTGAAAGTCTTTCTGAAGCTTACTCTCTGTCCCACCATAGGCTAAACAAAATTAAAGCTAAGCTATCTGGATTTCAATTTACAAAGATTTACAATTTACAAATTTACGAATTCATTTTTATTATCATATTTAGAAACCGCCCATTTCAAAAATGTAGTTGAGATGAAACTTTCTAAGAACCTTTTCAAAATAAAATAGCCTTTATCAAAAAGTTAACAAGAAATCTGAAGACATAATTTCAGATCTAACAATCTAAACACTACAAAAGGAGCTTAGAACATAGATACTTAAGCAAAAAGTATTACAAATAGGAAACTGAAGAGCCACAGACAATGAGGAATGGAACTGTGAAAGGATCCCCACTAATCCTGTGGTGTACAGGCATGGGTGGTCTCCTGGGGGTTCGGCAGGGTTCGGGTGATCCTCTAGCCAAGGATCACCGGGGTTCAGTGAACCCCCATATGCCACACCTGGCTGGCCACGCCCACCCCTCCCAGGAGTCTCCATGTGGCCCATTCATCATTCCAGGTAAGTGCAGGGGCCGTGCAGAGGGTCTGGGAGGGCAAAAACCGGGCCTACCGGAAGTTCCAGAAGTCCGGAAATGGGCCTGTTTCCAGCCTCCAGAGGGCTCGAGAAAAGCCTCCGGAGCTTGGGGAAGGCGAAAAAGCCCCCCCCCCTCCGGTAGGCCATGCCCCCCAAGTAGGCCATGCCCACCCAGCAACGGGACAGTGAACCCATTGCTAAAGGATCTGAAGCCCATCCCTGTGTACAGGTACGCACAGATGCCAGCCTCTAGCCTTAGTGAAAAGACTGTACATCTCTGGGTAAGGGATGAGAAATTAAAAACGACAATGAAATCTTATCAATATGATTATCCTGTAATATTAGACTTGCATATAAGAATTCTAAAATAAATAAGTATATTTGTACAATATATACAAATGTCAACATTTATTATTAAGATTCTATTAGATGTAATTTCCTATTATACATACCAAAAATTACAAGAAATACTAAATATGGATTATATGAAAGACATTTTGTAATTGGGGACCAAATGCCCTGCAATTTTCAAAACATCCTATTCTTTCTTTGGACACAAAACCAGTTTGTTTCAGGATCATTGTGAACAGACCATGTTATAGCTGGATCAGCATGGTCCATAAATTAAAAAATATATATCCTGAGTTCCTAAACATTCTGTCAGCCGCGACGCGCAGCTGCGTGTCGGGGCTGCCATTCCGGTGGGTGAGGATCCATTGCTTTATGGATATTAGTTCATGCCAGTAAAGGATTCAAACCATCATTTGTGTGTGGCGTTTTCTTATACACTGGAACCTGACACATTCTATCTTTAGAGATGGAATATTTTGCACATACCTAGATGGTATGCATACTTGATATACTGTATATCGTAATTGTTGTGCAATCAATACTGCTGTAGTAACTTGGTGTTAAGTTACTATAATCTTTTAATAGGAAAAACTACTTATTAAGCATTCCATAATTTTTTAACAAAAACCAATTGTCCATTGAATAAATTTCATTTCATGCATTAACTGTTGAATCTAAACTAGAAGCTTGGACTTCTCAAATTGCATCTTTATGATTTTTTTAATTGATTAAAACCAGGGGTGGGTTCTACTTACCTTTACTACCGGTTCGCAGCGGGGCCGCACGCTCTTCTGCACATGCGCAGAAGCGTTTTGATGATATCGGGTTGGTGGGCGGAGCCTCCCACCGGTTTTACTACCAGTTCTATAGAACCAGTGCGAACAGGGGGCAACCCACCACTAATTAAAATTTAGAAATCAAGATTTTACCTAGCTGGCATAGATCAGATTAGCTAATGGGAAGGGGCTAGAATGAATCAAGCACTACTGTAATCAGGCATGTTGCCATCCATCCATTATTCTCTCTAATCCTTATGCCGAGTGTAATGAGACAACTCTAGTACGAGAAGGAATTGATTAATAGCCACTTGACTTGTAACAACAGCCTTTTACCTTTCCTGAGGTCTTCCATTGGGAAACATACGCAAAACTGCCCTCTGGAGCTGTTCCTTCATCTGTAAATCTGGAACTTCTTTTAATTTCATTTCTAAAAAATATCCTTTGCCAAATTTAGTCTTGAGGTGTTGAATTGTACCAATGCACCTATCAGATATTCGGGACAGGAAAAAGAGAAAAACAGGAAAAAATAGATTTGATATTAAAATCAAGTTAATTGTAAATTTGGTTTCTTTTTTCCCCAAACATCTCAATATCTAGAGAAGATACCTCAATTTTCCAGACACCAAGATAGCCACTCGATCACACACAGCTTCTGCTTCTTCCATGTAATGAGTAGTCAGAATAGCTGCTCTCTTTTTACTTTTAAAGGCTGCTCGGATGGCTTTCCTATCAAACATAATAGATACTCAGGAAAAATTAGTCTTGCTAAGCCAACTCTTCTTTATATCAGTCTATACAGTCCCAATCTGATTAGCGTAAAGAAATCTATTAATCTTTCCCAAAACTAAAGCCGCAGCTAGGAAGAACAAGTGAGAACTAAATCCAGATAAAATGAAGCAGCTGCTGGTAAGAAAATAAAAAGATAAGGTTCAGTCTATTTTAAATAACATTGCTCATCCCTTGAAAGAATAAATTTAAAGTCTGGAAATGCTCTTTGCTCTTCAACTCTTCCAATATAAATAAATGATGGCTATGGCAAGGAGCATTATTTATTTATTTGGTTTCTATGTTCCTCCATTCCAAAAAGCTCTGAGCAGCTTTCAGGAAATTAAAAAAAAAGAGCTAAAGCCAATTAAAAAAAGAAAATACTTAACAATTAAACATAACCAAGCAGTTATGCCACAATTCACAGATAGAACAACTCACTTTGTTAGGTGCAAGCGACCATAGCTACATGTGAAGGGTTCAAGTTGACTACTATATTGTACCTATACAACAGGGGTATCAAACTCGATTTCATTTGAGGGCCGCCTCAGGGTTGTGTTTGACCTCAGGGGGCTAGAATGGGCGCAGCCAGAGTGGGCATGGCCAGCTCAACGTCACTCATGTCGGAGGCGCCTATGGTGGACTGAGCGCTCTGCCAGAGAAAACGGGGTCCTGAGCTGTTTTCACTGGCAGAGGCACCACGGGCCAGTCCTTCACTGTTTCCAGGGCAGCCCTGTGGGCCAGATCTAAGCACCCTGGGCCTTGAGTTTGACACCCCTGCTATCCAAGAATCTCCCGACTCTCCCTTCTTTGGGATCACATATAAAGTTCCTGAATCTTAGTGGAGACAGTCCTCCGTCTCAAGGCTTGATCACTCCTCATCTGGCTGGTAGTTTCCCAACATGCCTCTCCAATAAACTCTAATAAAAAGAATTTTTAGACTCTTTAGAAGATTAATTGGGAGGTTTCCCCAAAGCACAGAGTAAACTGTCCCACAAGGGAGAGGGGACTATTTATTTCGAAAATGTATATTGCCGCCTATTCGCACATGGCGACTCAAGGCAGCGTACAGAAATATAAAAACTATCATTGAGAAAACTTGATAATGGGGTCTCTGCTGATAATATTTTCTCAGCACAAAGATATTCAGAAAGCCTTCTCTGACATTATCAGGCAGGTAAATTAAACCTGGAGAAGGCAGCTTCAGAGAAATTTAGGCCCTGAGCCACATGGCACCTTGAATTGCACTTGGAAGCTAATCAACAGATAATGCACCTCTCATAATAGAAGCATTAGATGGCCAGGTCAGGATGCACCCATAATTCCTGGGTTGCTATATATTTATGTTATTAGTTATTTCTGCTACTTTTTACTAGAACTTTACTAATTAATAAGGCCAGCTGAAGATTTGAGTTTATAGAAAATGGGATGAGGAACGGAATGAAGATGTTGTATTTTAAGAGATAGTGATGAGTTTTTAATAAAGCCACTTCTGGACTTTTTGTGAGAAAGTAGGGAACAAAATTTTTATTTTGGGATTTATTAGAATTGTACAAGTAATATAGACTATCATTTTTAGAGTGAGAGTTAGATGTATTTTTTATTTATATACCCTGTTCCCTGAAAATAAGACCCAACTGGAAAATAAGCCCTAGCATGATTTTTCAGGATGCACGTAATATAAATCCTACCCCAAAAATAAGCCCCAGTTAAGATCGTCAGCCAGATGGAGGCGTTTAGTACTGTATTTCCCCCCAAAATAAGACCTAACAAGAAAATAAGCCATAATGCGTCTTTTGGAACAAAAATTAATATAAGACCCGGTCTTATTTTGGGGAGAAACATGGTATGTATCAAAAAAAGTTGAAAGCCATTTTTTTCCTCCCCCCCCTTTTTCTTGCATATTTATATTGCTTTTTTGTCTGATTCTTTATTTCCTGTTTTCTTGCTTTTAGTATACTTTTTATTTTTGTTTTCAAAATTTAATAAAATTATATTTTTAAAAAGGTGAATACATCTGCATCTCATGCTGATTATCATGGCTGGTTGCATAGTCAGCCAAATGTTTAGACTGGATTTGTCATTTTTATCCACCTATCAAGCCCTTCCCAAGGACCTGGGATAGGCAGATCTTGGCTGATATTGTTAAAGATATCAGTCGCAGGATGTAAGCTGTTCCAAGTAAAGCTGCCTTTTGCAACTAATTGATAGTGATTTTGTCAATGATGATGGTGTTCAAGTGGTGCTCTGGCTGTTTTGGAATTGTACCCAATTTGCTTTATTCGCTCCTATTTCTAACTGAAGGTCTTTGTATTTTGTGATTTTTGCCAGTTCTTTTGTTCTGCTACAACATCCACTATCCAGCCTTTTTTATCTCAACAACTGTTAGGTCTGGGGTGTTATGTGATGAGTGCTTGCCTCTTTGAATTCTAAAGACCCAGAGCACTTTAGTGTCTTCATTTTCCATTACTTCGTCTATTTTGTAGTCTCACCAGTTCTCTCAATATTTTATCTCACTTATTCTCAATTATGAGATGTAGTCAATCTTCAACCTGAGCCTGAGCTATAGCCATTAAAAAGAACTCTTTGAGTGAGGTAATGTGAGCCTGTCTAACATTAGTATCCTCTAGCCATCTTTTGCTTTTTGAAAACTTATTACTGAGCCTAAAATAGCTGATGGGTATAATATTCTTAGGCTGCAATATTTTTCAGGGGGAAAATATAGCAGTTCCCTTTAAACAAATGCTGCCTTGTGATACTTTAAAAACCATGATCCAGCATGAATCCATAAAATTGAATCAAGACCTCTGCAATCTAAGATTCCCCAAAATTATTAAGCTGGACAGTAAGACAAAAATGATTATGGAGGCAAATGGTAACTGGGAAAGGTAAGGCAGGATGGTAGCAGCATTTGAATAAATGGACGTTATGCCAGCAATCGGGAAATCTGTGGATTATTCTTGTACAACCTTTGCAGCAATAATACCTGCAGTGTCATAATAAAAGTGTTACTTTTCCAAACTTCCCACCTGACAATTAAGAAAAAGATGTTTCTCTCTCCATTCCTTCTTTTAAAAAAATGAAATATAATTTGTGAGTGAAGTAAAGCCAGCTCTGGCAGCACTCTTGCAGAACTATGAGCACAATCAGTTTCATCTGCAATTAATTTTACACCTTCAAAGAACAAAGAGAAACCATGAAGAAAGCAAGGAGGGTTGACACAATTGTTAGGTAAGAGAAGTTTCTATTTCTGTGTATTGTTTATGGCTAACTGCTTTGAAAGTGTTTTGAAATACGAAGGCCATTAGTCTTCATAAGTTTTATTAGATCAGATGTTTACATAAAGACATATGGGGAGAGAATAGAAGCCTTTTTCTGCTTCTTAGGATTGCAACTTTCCAAGATGTTCATTTTTGTTTCTATTATGAGCGTTGTCTTTTTGCCAAATTTGTTATGCCTAAATTATTTTTTACCAAGAGTAAAATGCCTTTTAAAGGCTACAGAGAGGATCTTTTGTTAACCACTGCCCATTCTGACCCGCTATGCAATAGGATGGATATATTGAAAGTAAATAAATGGTTGTGATTTCACATTAAATATATTCTCTGTCCTTTGGAGACACTTACCACATATGCTGTTTTGCTTTGGGGTCCATACCAGTAGATGGTTCATCTAGTAGAGTAATGTGGGGACTACCCAGCATACTTAAGGCAAAACATAGCTAAAAAAAGAGACCAGGATGGGGGAGAACACATCAGTGATGGTTATTTACTTTAGGTAAAGCCAGGCCAAGCCAAGCCAAAAAAATTCACTTCAAGATGCACAAATGAAGTCAAATTTTCAGAAACTCTCAAGGAGATTCTCTACATCCCCTATTTTCAAAGAAATGTCAAATTTCATTTTATGTCCAGAACACATGTAAAGGAGGAGATAGCGACTAAATGACTTGATGGCAGTTTTAGTTCTACTCCTCCAGACAAAGAGATATTTGGGATACTATCTTAAAATACCTAATAGCCATGATAAAAGGTTAAGGGAAGGAACATTTTTCTCTGCTTGCATAGTTAAATGTTTATGCCATTATTTGTTATTCACCATAGCATGAATTAGAAAGTTAATTATTTCAGAAGAAAATCAAACCTTTCGTTTGACTCCTGCTCCAAGTTTCTTTACTTTTTTCTGTAGCTGCTCCTTAAAGTCAAGTGCACTGGAGATGCTGGGGGGAAAAAACCTCACTCATCTTTCTGTCTTGTAAGCAATGTAAAAAAAAGCAATATGGCACCCAATCTCTTGGCCTTCCACAAAGGGATTAAATCTTGGTTCTGCGGCCTTGTGTGGGGGGCACAGAAGACAACGGTAAGTTAGTGCCCCCCCCGCATTGTAAAAACCAACATTTAATGGCAATCTTAGAATTACCCTTTTGATGTTTGTCATTAGTGTACCATTTTAAAAAAATTAATCCTAATTTAATTTTAATGTTAATTTTTATACATTGTTTTATTATTTATATTACATTGTATACTACACAGAGCCTCTGTTTGAGGGATATGGACAGTTTAGCAATATGAAAATAAACAAATATGTCAGATCATTATACTCAGCATATGCTATGATGTTTTCCAACTTACTAATTAGTTGTGAAATTTCCCTATAAGCAGTTTTAACAACAAATTATGGTGTCAACTGTCCAAAAAAGTTAACAGTTTGGACCGTTGACACCATGATGTCAATACATGCTAATGAATGTATTAATATGTATTAATGAAACATTAGCATATATTAATGAATTATTTTTCTCACGAGCAATGTCTTACCATTTTATGACTTCTTTCAAGTCACTTTCGCTCATTCCTTTTATGGCACCATATATTTCAAAATGTTCCTGTAATGTGATTTCAGGCCAAAGTGGGTTTGTCTGTGGACAGTACCCCACAAACATCATGGAATCATCTTCATTATTATCACCTGAAGAAAAGTCTCCCATCAGCACCTGTAGATACACCATTGTTTTCAGATGATGATTCTAATTAATAGGCCAGAAACATTTAAAAGTTATTATAAGCACACCTTATTGAAATGATAATAATAAAATATTATTAATTCAAGGATTTCAGTTCTCTTTAAGTAATGTGATGTAGTAGTTCAAACAGTGATGGCTAACCTTTTTGCCATCGCGTGCCAGGAGAGGGGGGGCGGGGGAGGGTCACGCGCGCACGTGCCCACGAGCATGCGTGCGCAACCCCCTCCCCCCCGCTCCTGGCACATGATGGCCCGGTAGGCCCGTTTTTCTTTCTTACCTGGTTCCAGATCCTCTCTGTGTATCTGGGAAGGGCGAAAACAGCCTTTCCCATTCCCTTGGAGGCCCTACAGAGGCTGAAAGGGCCCATTTCCCAACTCTCCGTGGGACAGGAAGTGACATTTTTTGCTGTCCCCAGCCTCGAGAACCTCTCTAGGAGTCTCTAGGAGTCTCTGGAGGCTGAGGACAGGAAAAAATGTCACTTCCTGTCCCACCAGGACTCGGGAAATGGGCCCTTTCAGCCTCCATAGGGCCTCCAAGGGAGTGGGAAAGGCTGTTTTCGCCCTTCCCAGATACACAGAGAGGATCTGGAGCCAGGTAAGAAAGAAAAACGGGCCTTCCCCACCCCGCCCCCAGGCCCTCCAGAGGCAGGAAACAGCCTGTTTCCCTACTTCTGGTGGGCCCAGAAGGCCCGAAAATCAGCTGGCCAGCGCACGCATGCGCCCCAGAGCTGAGCTGGCGTGCCCACTAATATGGCTCTGCGTGCCACCTGTGGCACGCGTGCCATAGGTTCGCCATCACGGAGTTCAAACAAAGGTCAAAGTTTCAATTTCCACTTATTCCACTGAGCTCCCTGAGTAGATTCTTGGTAATCTCTTTTATAGAATAGCTATTCTCAATATAAGATAACGGGTGACTGAAAGCATCTGATCTGGCACTCCTTAGAAGAAAAGTTGGTTATAAATGTAATATATATAAAAAAGGGGCTGAATCCATCCATCCATCTGGATAGCTCTCCTACTTCCTAATGGGATTTAGGTTTTGGGACATTTCTGAAAAGAAAATAATATATAGGATTACAGTCCACAATTTAGCCCTTTACTTTTGTTCCCTTCTCCAATTTTGCTTAGTTCAAGCACACATTTTTGTAGTCAGGTCATTTTATTTATTCTTGTTCAGTTCAAAGTATATAATGATCACAAAAAGAGGTTTATACGAAGATGAATACATGAAAAACCATCAGTAGACACATTACTGGTAAGAAATATACTTCCAATGCTATTCCTTCATCATTCATAATATATAATAATGGATATGCAATCTCAGTATGAAGTATTCATATTATCAATTCAAAAAGAATTATCATCTGCATTATAAGATCTCTTTTAGATGAGAATGCCCATAACGTCCAGTTGCAAAAACTGCTAAAAAAAATGGTTAAAATCAATTACCTGGCCCGCATTTGGTTCAACTTCTCCCACCAGAATATTTATTAGCGTACTTTTTCCAGCTCCATTTGGACCTAACACTCCCAGTATTTCCCCTAAGGGGGAAAAAAAAAATACCAGAGTCTGTAGTTTTTGCTTGGCAAGATTATCCATCTTTTTTTTTTTTAATATTGAGTCCATAATAAATAATTGTAACACTAACCTTTTTTCACACAAAGGGAAACACGATTAGTTGCCACTGTCTTTATTTTTCTTCCAAGAAGAAAATCACTCTTTTCATCATATTCTTTGTGCAAACAGTGGACTAAAACTGCTGGTTTCTAATGAAAAAAGAACGCAGAGATTACATCCAAGTTAGAATGAATGTACAATGCAAAAACATTCCTTTAAATGGACAAAAACTTAGTCAGTAACCTGGTTCTTCTCATTTAGAACATAAAAGTGAATGTACATAGATAAAACACTTCCAGATTTTTGGGGGTTGCGGAGAAGAGATTATCCACTCAACATGAGATCACTATTTCCCCTCTCCTACACAACTAATATTGAACAAAAATATTCTTTCTTTACATTGTGTGGGAAACAGGCTTAATTATGTTTCTCAAGTTGATTGTGGTTTCTGCCACTAGGAGGTGTGGTCTGAACAATCTTAGGAAAAGCACTCCTCTTGTTTCCCAGTTCCTGCTATATCATTGTACAGTGGATCACAAAGGAGCTGAAATGAAGAGGTCCTGGCATGGTGATGGCAACATACAAAATGTACAGAGACAGGAGAAATGTGCTATAACACTCTGCACAAGAACAGCAACAAACTATTTTTATTTTTCTTGAATGCAGAAAGAAGGAAGTGTTTAGGTGCATGGTGATGGAGGGAGAAGCCAGGCTGGTTTTAGGTTTCTATAAAATGTAACCAGGCCCGTCCTCATAGAGTCCCAGTTTCTTAGATTCAGAAAAACATATCACTCATCAGCTGTTTCCAGACTACTTAAGCAAATTACCCCTTTCAATTCTGATTTGCAGTAAGGAGAGAGAACTACGTGGGGATGGGAAGATTTACCTCTTCACAGCTTTGACAAGTGATCAACTCTTTAACCCTCAGCCTCTCTGCTGTAACATCTTCATCCTCATTCTCATCGTGCAGCACATCTGGCAGTTTCCAGGTCTTGGGCTTCATAGGTGTTCTGAAAACAGATAAAAAGATTCATTCTCTACAATGGCTCTTTGAACAGACAAAATAAACAGGAAAATGTTCCATGTAATATTTAACAATAAGGTAAGTCGACTGCAAGAGCCCTCAAATTAACCTGTTCTTAATTTGAAAAAGTTCCCAGGTGTCATGATGTGAGGAACAATTCAACACAACAGGAAGAAAAGCTACAGTTGCAAGTCTGCCCCTTTGCTGAAACATTTTTCAGGAAAAAGAAAAAAAAATTTTCAGGCCACATACTTTAAAGTCTAGGAGGCTGTTATATTTAATGAAAGATGATCAATGGAAAAGGTCAGGAGAAGCTGGATCTTATGTAAAAATAAATGATAATGCCCATTAATTCAAATGAAGCTGTAGAAGAATGATGGTCAATACAAGGATATTTGCAGATTCACTACCAAACGGGTGAAATGCTCCTGGTAGCGATGGCGGCGGGTGGTTCGGAGAACCGGTAGCAAAAATCCCTGCGGCCCCCCCCATGCCCAGCTGAGCCGCGTGATCATCAGAGGCTTTTTTTTTTAACTTTTAAAAGCATTTTTTCTACCACCTCTCCGGCCGAAAAAATGCTTTTAAAAGTAAAAAAAAAAAAAAAACAACCTCTGATGATCCTGTGGCTCAGCTGGGATCATCAGAGGCTTTTCAAAGCATTTTCTTCTACAACCTCTTCAGCCGAAGAGGCTGTAGAAAAAAAATGCCTATAAAAGCCTCTGGCAATCCCAGCTGAGTTGCCTGATCGTCAGAAGCTTCTAAAAGCATTTTTTTCTGCAACCTCTTAAGGTTGTAGAAAAAATGCTTTTAAAAGTTAAAAAAAAAAGTCCCCCACCACCACCACCAAATCACACCCACAGAACCGGTAGTAACAAATTTTAGATTTCACCCCTGCTACCAAACAATTCATAAAACATATGATTAGCAGAAGGCATTCACAAATATATTAGCAAAGAACTGGAAAAAGAAACTGCATTTAAAAGCATTGGGAAATGTTCTTCAAAGGGATACAGGGGGTCCTCACTTAATGACCACTTGTTCAGGGATGATTCCAATTTGTGATATAATAGTTATGACTGGTCCTCAGAGTTCTTCCCATTGCAGATCCCCATGGTTGTCATTTGTATCCTTTTTTCCTGGCTTCTCATAAGCAAAATCAATGGGGATGCCACCAGATAACAAAATGGTGACCATGTAATGTTCTCACTTAACGACCCACAGTGATTCACTTCATGATGGCAACCTGGAGTACTGGAATTGCTGTTGCTAATTCACATCACATCCTATTTTACGATCATTTCACTTAGTGATGGCAAATCTGGTCCCGATGCCATCATCAATGGAGGATTACCTGTATTTTTCAAACAGCCATTCTGCTATAGTCTGGAAGCAACACCAACCTACACATTCTTTATTCCACATCTAAGAATATGTGTTTTCCTTGGAATTATATTTCGAATTTTAATGAACAATCCAAGCTTTACTGCAAGAAACTGACTATTCTTTTCAGTCCTTTTTTTTTCTTTAATACCAGTTCAATACTATAGTTCAGCGATATGTTTTCTGTTTCCCTTTGATAGATTTTTTTAAAACAGGTGCAAAGGTAAGCACATATAGACTTCTAAGCAGTAAAATATCAAACAGAGATTGATTGACTGATTGATTGATTGGTTTGTTTGTTTGTTTATTTATTTATTTGGACAAAAAGTTTCTTCAAAAGGTATTTGAAATTTATCATTACCTACTGAAATTTGATACTAGGATATTACATTTTATCAGTGTTATACCAACCTGAAAAATGGATCTTTTCTTACTGACTTTCCCCCACACTTCATTTCAAGATAACGCAGAAGAAAGAGCCAAACTACACACTGCAAATATGGCTAATATGAAAGAAAAAAAACCATGTTAAAACTTCTGTTTTGCTAGAAACATGAACAATTTGTAAGCAAGTACAATAGAAACAGACAACTGAAAACCGCTGCTTAGAATGCCAGCTGCTTAGGATAGGATGTTTTACAAAGTAATTCATTATAGCAGCTGAATACAACCATTTATTTAGTGACTGTTCAAAATTACAAAAGCACTGAAAAAAGTGACCTATCACCATTTTTCACACTTATGAACGTTGCAGCATCCCCATGGTCATGTGATCAAAATTCAGATACTTGTAACTGGCATGTATTTATGATGGTTGCAGTGTCTCGGGATCATGTGATCATCTTCTGACAAGCAAAGTCAATGGGAAAGCCAGATTGACTTAATAATCATGACACTAACTTAATAACAGTATGATTCACTTAGCAATAGTGATCCACTTAACAAATGTGCCAAGAATAGTCATAAAATGGGGCAAAACTCATTTAACAACTTTCTTGATTAGCAATGGAGATTTCGGGTTCTATTGTGGTTGTAAGTTATGAGGTATTGTTCTAAGTTAGTTTTTTCTTCCCAAAAATCTCTGTTATTGCTTTAATTTAGAAAGCTTAAATCATTTGGCTTCAGGACTTTTGAAGGAATGTCCTCTTTGATCCAGATCTGTCAGTACTTTACATTATTACCCGAAATGTTGTTATAAATCTCATGCACAAAAGAGGGAGGTTAAGTTTTGGTTTTACAGAATATTTTTTTTTCATCTGTTTTTTTTAATGCTATTTGTTGTTGTTTCATCTTGGTATTTAACATTCTAGCTTTTAAAATTTAATTTTATTTATGATGATATTCTTGTGTGTATTATTTTTTCTAAGATGCTGTGTATTATATTTTGCCCTAGGTTCCTGTTAAATCAAATGTGCACTTCATTAAAAAAAATGCCTGATTCCATCAATTCCACCACAATTCCACTTTGCCTTAATATAGCACAAAGTAAAATGATTATAATGGATTGAGGGTCCATTTTACATTGTTATTTCACTTTTTAAAATCCATGTCAAAGCTGAATAACAGAATTATGATGGCATGCAAGAATGACCTTGGGCACAGCCTAGGCAACTTCTGATAAGAGGAAGCCCAATCTGCAAATTGGGGGAAAGGCATGGGAAGTGCCTTAGAAGAAACCCTCCTTAGTTTTCTGGAGGCTAAAAAGAGGAGGAGAAAAATACTTTCAGTCTGGCAAGATTAATTTTAACTCTGAGTAGTCCAGACAAGAAACACAACCAGGAGCACCAACACTATATCTTTAGGAGCCATGGTGGCACAGGGGTTGGAATGCAGTATTGCAGACTAACTCTGCCCATAGTCTAGAGTTTGATTCTGACCAGCTCAAACTTGACTCAGCCTTCCATCCTTTTGAGGTCGGTAAAATGAGGACCCAAATTGTTGGGGGCAATATGCTGATTCTGCAAACCACTTAGAGAGTACTGTAAACCACTATGAAGCGGTATATAAGTCTTAAGTGCTATTGCTGTTACATTAGCAGAATCTTGCAAGACTGAAATTATGTCCCCCCTCTCTTTTTAGTCTTTGGAAAACTAGGGAAGGGTCCCTTTGGCAACACTTTTCTCCCACCTGTTGACTGAGTTGCCACTTATTAGACTGTACCTAGGCTGCAGCATCCCAAAGTCATTTTCACCTACCATTAGAAGAACCATTTCATATTTAAGAAACATGAAAATGAAATAAGAGATATTCTGCCCATCTTGAGTAATGCAACTCTGGGCAGCATGCCAGAAACAAAAATATTCTTCAATAATATTTAAATACAGCACTGGCAAGATCAGTCTGCTGCTTCTATGCTGGCCTTTGAAGTAAGCCACTCATATCAATAGAGATTACAATTGTTACAGCTGAAATTATCAGCTTTTTTGAAATAATTATTCAGGGCCAAGCAATAAATATGAACCTAAACTAAAAGGTTTACTGAAAATCCCATAATTCTTGTTAAGGTCTTGAAGAAAAGTTCTGTTCCTCCAAGTAAGAGCTCTGCGTTCCTTTCCCACCCAAGTCCAAAAGCAACTTAAATTGTCTCCATAATATAACTCATTTTTTCATAATACTGCATTTAACACAATAAAGTTGAATGTATGTGCTTTTTATTCCATGTATAATTAATGCTCCTGCAAAATCGAATAATACTATTACTTTTGCAGGGGAGGAGGAGCATTCTTCACAATGGCCGAACCAATTTTTAAACACATTATAGTTTTGCACAAATTATAAACAGACTAACCATAAAATAAACAACACAATATGTTATTATTTCTTGTATCTTTTATTTAAAAGTTGCTTACCGCTACAACAGAAATCAACAATCTTTCTGAATGCTTCTCCATCTTGTTATCAAGTTTCCGCACTATCTAACAAAACAACAAATACTTATTGAAGCCAAGCTCAACAAACTTTAAAAAATGGTATGACTACTGAAATCTATAAACTATCTGAATGTTTTCTCATCTTGAGGGGATTCCAGGTGAACAAGGTAATACTCTTATTTTTAATTCTTCTAATATTTTTCACAGGACACTGTTAGTTTATTCAGATGCTTCTTCAAGGAGTGACAAAACCTTCTTTCCCAAATATAGATTGTTCCAGAATATACACATAATTAGGTTATTTTTGTCTAGATTATCTGACTGATTCTATACATCAGTTCTAAAACACATTCATGTATAAAGAAAATACAGGTAGTCCTTGACTTATAACAGTTCATTCCGTGACTGTTTGGAGTTATAACGGCACTAAAAAAAAGTGAGTTATGATCATTTTTCACACTTGCAACCGTTGAAGTATCCGCATGGTCACATAATCAAAATTCAGATGTTTGGTAACTGATTCATATTTATGTCCCCAGGTCCTGTGATCCCCTTTTGCGATCTTCTGAGATGGGAAAGCCAGATTCACTTAACAACTAATATAAGTGTTACTAACTTAAAACTGCAGTGTTTCACTTAACAACTTTGGCAGGAAAGGATATATAATGGAGCAAAATTCACTTAACAAATGTCTTACTTAGCAACAGAAATTTTGGGCTCAATTGTGGTCATAAGTCGAGAACTATCTGTATTCTTTCCAAAAAGAATTCTTTTTGGAATTCTTTCCAAAATCAGTAGAATTTACAATCACAGTTGAATCCACTAGACTAGCTTTTTATAAACTAGTGATAACTTATAATAGTTTTTATAAACTACTCTGTCACCAGTAGTAGTATCAAGATTAATCAAGATTAATCAATCTTTCTTTTATCGTGAGAAGAAGTGATGACAATAACAAAATGACAGGAAGTGAAGCTAAATTCAGGAAGTATCCAGGACAGTCAAATGAGAGGGTCCCTCTGTTGTATACTATCTGATTTGGTTGTAATAAATCACTAAAAGCATTACGGTGGAAATTCATATTAATTGAAATGGAATGATGCTAAATGTAGTATCCAAATTATATGTTGAAAGAGTCTTCTTCTTATCTTCATTCAGCCTGAAGGTAACTTTCTCATGTTTTGATTCTCAGTTTATAAGGAGCAGCATCATAATCGTATTTAAGATAAAATATGGAAGTAATTTAACCCTATAGTCTAGTGAAATGACTTTTGCTATCCAAATGCTTTACACACTATCAATATCTACTCCTGGGGGTTGGGAAACACTTCACAGCACAATCTCCAATATTGTTAAGCATTAGTGGGGAGGACAGCCAACAAAAAACCCATAAATATGATTAAAATGAAGTCAGAATCACCCTTTAAAATATTTTCTGTTCCCATCCCTCCTGCATTGTAACTTATTGTCTTTCTTAACATACATGGTCTCCAATTTTATATTTATCCAGTATTTGTGTTAAGTAAATAATACACATATATAATTTTATAAACATACAGGTATATATCCCTACACATACTGGTAGTAATTTAATTTATGTCAATTTATTCTCCTAGCATATGCCAGAAATAAATTTACTGTTTCAATTTCTTAGAAAACCTACCTTTATAAAAGAAATGAGACACCCAATAAGAGGATAGATGGGAACAAAAATAGAAAAACACACATGAAGAACAGCGGCTGTTGTGTAATACCACATAAAGAAGGCCACTTCGATGACAACAGAACAAACTAAAGCAGCCTGAAAGAGAAAAGAAAATTTAAAAGATTGTGTTATTTATTTTTATCCAGTGGCATTCCATATCCCCGGCAAATGGCATCAAATACATAGTAGAAAGACATTGTAGCTAATGTATAATGGCATCTCAGGGTGCAGGGTTAGCCTTAGCCCTTTGGCATGTTTAAGATTTAGTTATTTAGTAAATTAAGGAAAGTTGAGGAAAGCATTAAATAGCCTGGAGGAAGGGAGGACAACATAATCTGAAGAAGTAGATTATCTGAATCCTTTTCAGTGGGAGTTCAGAATGAGATATAGTACTGAAATACAGTTATGGCTGATCTTTGAAGGGCTTGAAATGTGTGTCCATCTGGATTTTTTTTTGGTGGCTTTCTATACTATTGACCATAGCATACTTATGGACTGGCTTAGGGAATGTTCTGCAGAGCTTCTCTTTCCTCTGTGGTCAGTTCCAGTTTGTATTCATAGGGATGGAGGGAGAGAAGCCACAGGGTAAGATTATTCAGTGGCATGGGGTACAGCATACTGATGGTCCTCAGGTGTACATCTGCACTGAGGCGGGACAAAATGGTGCCACCGAGGTGCTTACTAAGTTCTTGGAGGCTGTAAATTTTTGATGGGAAAGAACACTGGTTGCAGTTCAACCCTAGCAAGACAAAATGATTCTGGGCTTTTTGGATCCCTCTGGATCTGGGCAATTGTCATCTTTAAATCTCAAAAGAGTAGCACTCCTCTGCAGAGTTTGTGCACAATTTGAAAGCCAATGCCCATCCATGTTCATTCATGCTTTACTCATTTCCCATGTATTGTACATGAAAACCATCTAAATTTAAACTGGTTCAGAATAGAACAGGGCACACAGTTTTGAGTGCTCCAAGGTTTGCACCATAGCTATCCAAGCTGCACTGGCTCCCAATCTCCTTCTGGGTGCAATTCAAGATGCTAGTTATTATCTTTAAAGCTCTGCATGCATGGGACAGATTATCAACAGGACTGGCTACACCCGAGAGTATCTGCTTGCCCTGCCAAATCAGATAGGATGGGTGTGCTCCAGACCTTCTCTATTAAACAATGTAACCTGGCTGGATCTAAGAGGTGTGCCTTCTCTGTAAAAATACCTCTTCTTTGGAACAGCCTTCACTTCAAGATCTGGAGGCCCCTTTCCTCTTGGCTTTTCAGAAGACTTGTGAACACCTGGTTCTTCCCCCAGGCAATGGGCCAGGATAGAAATTTAAACCAACACATGTGTAACTGGCAGAGTTGTTATGATGTCCTGGCTGGAGTGTGTCATTTAAAAAAAATGTTATGGGGTTGGTTTTTTATTTTTCATACATCTATAGTGTTTATTGCTAGCCACAAGGGTTATACTGTATAAGAGGGATGGGTCATACAAACAATAAATAAGTTTAACTTACCACTGAAAAAATAAATGACCAAAATTCTTTGGTATTTTGTATGGCATTAAAGCTGAAGGAGACAATATAATTAAACATAACAACAGATGGTACGTAGCCAATAAGGCAAAAAACCTGCAAGTGAAAAGAAAATTCTTAGTTGACTTTTTAAGATCAGGGATAAAGAAAGTAGTACATAAGCCTAAAAGAATTTTCTAACAGGCAAGCTATGAGGCCGCTTAATTCCTGCTCCTTTTCTTCTGTTCTCATCTGTTTCATATAGATATAGCTGTCCTATTCTTCAAGCTGAAGCTGAGGCTCAAATAGTTTGGCCACCAAATGAGAAGAGAGGACTTGCTGGAAAAGACCCTGATATTGGGACAGATTGAAGGTAAAAGGAGAAGGGGATGGCAGAGGATTAGATGGTTAGTGTCACTGACACAACAAACATGAATTTGGGCAAACTCCAGGACACAGTGCAAGGAGGGCCTGACATGCTATATCCATGGACTCACAAAGAGTCAAACACAATTTAGCGACTGAATAATAAAATTATTCAAAACTCTTCTTGCAGTCACTGATGAAAATACATATTTGTGCAACACTTTTTGTAGGAACTGTGATAGAAGAGGTACAGAGGAGTCTGTGGAGTCCCTGGTGCATTGGTGAAATCCAATTTTCTTTACTACCGGTTCTGGGGGTGTGGCTTGGTGGGCGTGGCATGGGAAGGATACTGCAAAATCTCCATTCCCACCCCACTTTGGGGCTAGCCAGAGGTGGTGTTTGCCGGTTCTCCGAACTACTCAAAATTTCCGTTACCGGTTCTCCAGAACCTGCTGAATTTCACCCCTGCCCTGGTGTTCTCTGAGCTTGGTTGGTTTGTTTGCACAGTCTGGAAACAAACAACCAAGCTAAGAGAGCACCAAGGACTCCATAGTTCAACCCTGAACTCAGTCTCCTCTACTGGAACAGAGGATTCTCTTGTTAATGAAAATGGTTGGAAAGTAATAATGCAACACTAATAAAGAATGATGTGAAAAAAATATATTCTAGCAACAATGCTGAGTTTTCACTAGATAAAAACATCTTGCATAAAGAACCTCCTTATGTCTGCAATATTATAACCCATTTCCAAAAGAAGCAAATTTTTAATTATGCTTTTATTGTTTCCCTAGCCACAACATGAGATCCTGGTTTAGATTTGGCATACTAGTAGAAATGAGCAATTCTAATAAATAAATTAGACATTCTTATTACACCAAGCAATCATCAGTCTATTTTTTTTAGAAAATGAATTATAGAAAACCATTTGTTTCGAATTTTGCTTCTTAAGATAAATCAATACGGGCTAACTGATAACGTGGTTTTCAATTTTGAAAAAAAAAAAAGAAGTAAAAATATTCTTATTCACTTTTGTGGAGAGACACTTTAAAATCCAAATGTATTCACAATAAAATGAAAAAATAATAGGAAATGTATTTGTTGTAAAATAGAACTTACCACAGCAAGAAACTTTTCAGGGAAAAAATAAACTCCATGATGAAATACAAATAAACTTCCTACCATAAGAAGAAGAATTATATAAAATAATGGGATATCAATTAGTGCTTGTCCACACCAATAAGCAGAAGGATAAAGTCCAGAGATTTTAAGTTGGGTGTAAGCTCTTGTCTGCAAAATAAATAATAGATAGGTCAATAGGTAGGTAACATATTGTGGCAGTAGATCTCATCATTCATCCTGATTTTGCTCTTTCTGCTTGTAGCTGATATGTTAATATTAAACATATCTACATGCTATATATGGTAGATTTTTAAAATACTGAACCATTATATAATCCTAATGGTGGAAGAATATTAAAGTTTATTAAATGTAATCAACTAAAACATTAAGTTATTTTTGAAAAATGGACAAAACATTGAGACATGAATAAAACTGGATCCAAAAACAATTCATCAAGTTAAAAAAAATTAAGTACATCTTAAAGACGGGAAAAAAATTAAAAGACAGATAAAATAGTACACACTAGAAGTGATAGTAATTATATAGTGCCTTAGAATCCTTAGAATGATCAGCAATTATAGTTAGGATAGTGATTAAATCTAAATATAGCTTAGATTAAGCTATATTTAGATTTAATTTAGATTAAATCTAAATATAGCCAAAATATAGATAAACCTCTCCTAATGGTGCTTCTTCAAATTTTATCTTGTCCATAGTATGGATGTTAATAATTGTGATACAAATTTCACTGAGAGCTGATTTGCACATTGCTTTCTGACTAGACTTTGCAATGGCACTGATATGTACATGAAATGAAGTTCTATAACAATGTTTCTGGAAATTTAAAAAGTTATACCCCATTGCCTGTTTAGCTTCTCCCTTCTAAATTGCACTCTGACTTGGCTCAATTGTTATACAGGCCCAATAGGCCATGTCATGATGCGAGGTCTTCTCTTAATGAACCATATGGTCTTTGGGTTATGATGGCAAACTGGGTTTGCCATTGCTGACTGATGTGGTTTTGTGATGTTGCACTTTACAACCATGTCACTCAGCAATGGAAATTCTGGTCCCAATTGCTGTTGTAACCTGAGAAGTACCCGTAACATGAAATCAGTTAAAATGTCTTTTAAGTTATTCCAACTCCTTTAATGGTAATTGAGATGTGATATGTAAAAGAAAATTAATATGGACTCAATCAAATATTTCTGTTGCTTCAGGAAAATATTCTAACTGTGGCATATAAACCATCCAGGTTGTATCACTAAGGTTTTGGCATTTAACAGAATCATAGGACGGTATAAGGGATCTCGAAAGTCTTCTAATCCAGCTCCCTCCTAGGGCAGATCAACTCAGACAAATGGCCATCCAACTCGTTTCAGAATCTCCAGAGATGAAGTGAGATAATTCCATGAGACAAGCTGCCCCACTATTTAATAGTTCTCACAGTCAGGAAATTCTTCCTTATTTTGAGTCTGGATCATCTTTGTAAAATTTCCAATTAGTGGTATTTGTTCTAACTGTGGGGACTAGAGAAAATGAATTCATACTCTCTTCCCATACCTGACAGCCTTTTAGGTATTGGGAAGACTGCTATCATATCTCTTTTCTTAAGGCTGAACTTTTTTTAACCATTCTTCTTCATAGAATACTATTTCCAATATCCCAATTATCTTTGTTGCTTTTCTCTGTATCATTTCCGTTTCTCAGCATTCTTCTTGTATTATGGCACCCCGAATTGGATTCAATATGCCAGATGAGGTCTGTCCAGGGCAGCATACAAGCAAAACTTTACTTCCTGTGAAATTGACAGATGTCTATTGATGCAGACCAAGATTGCATTGGCTTTTTTGACAGCAGCAACACACTGTTGACCCATGTCCATTCGGTTATCTATCAGGACACCCAGGTTCTTCTTAGAAGTACTACTGTTGATCCAGGTTCCATCTACATTGTACCTCTATATGTATAGAAGTCTACATTGCTTGCAATTTTGTTGGAAAAGAGCCAAAGTCTATCAAGATCTTTTTGACATTGAGCCTGTTTCCTGAAGTGTTAGCAATCTTTTCCATCCCCAACAAGCTTCACATCATCTACAAAATTGCTGAGCATCCCCTTTATCCTTTTTTTAAAAAAATGTTGATAAATACTGTGCCAGGACAGAATCCTGATGCATATTTCTTTTCATGGAGACATACTGGTACATTCATTGAGGACCATAAATTGGCTATGGTTATTCAACAATCCATTTGGTAGTGGCAACATCACACTGTTCTATTTAATCAACATAAAACTTGTTTTTTAACACAGTCATACTGGTTTCTAATAATCACTTTCTTCCTTATACACTCACTGCTTGATTATCTTTTCTAGCATTTTCTCAGGTATTGATGCCAAAACTAACTCAAAGGCACACCACAGAAATGGGCATATCAGTCCACAGGTTATTAGTTCCTTATTTTTATTGTACTGGGTATGTTTTAAATTGTATGCCATCCAGAGTCCATCCATCCACTAGATATAATAAAAAGATATTATGATTTGTTACCTTGTGGTTTTCTGCATTCTCCATGGCAAAATATGATGGCATTCCAGTGACAAGAACTCCTAGTAAGACAGCTTCAAAATACAGCACAATAGTGAAAACTGTGTCAGTGATTTCCTGAGAATAAGAGATTTTTGTGTAAGAAATTTTTGAAAAAAAAACGAATTTGAAATCTAACAAAGTCTAAACATATGGCCTGCTTATTTTGGTATGCTATAGATCATGCCTCATTAACTGCATTTCATGTGTCTTATATTAAATAATCCTACAATACCAACTAATTCCAATCTGTAATTACATTAAAAAATAGGCAGAATTTTAGAACTTTAAATAACATGTTTAAACCCCAAAAATTAGAAATACAATTTTCCTTTCTGATGTATCACCTGATATTGACAAAAATGAATCCACATTACATTTCAAAACTGCTCTGCAACCATTTCTAGCCACTACCATAAGGCTTAATACTAGGTGTTTTTCCCTTTTATATTATCCCTTCCTATAATTGATAAATTTCAAGATACCTATACATTCTTTATAATATTAAAACCCAGGTTATGCCTACATTAAGATGCAGAGAATTTTTTATCTTGCCATGGAAGTATGAGCTGTATTGTGCTATGAGCTATACTATGCAATGTATTTGGTTCTAGAATTCTTTCAAATCATAAAGCAGAGAAAATGAAGAGCATTACATGCATGAAAGGACTAAAATAATTTTTGAGCCAAGACTTAAAGAGGTCTCAACTCTCATAGTTGGTAGTTCTTTAAATTATTACCAGAAAGATGGAGGCACAGTTTATAACCAATTGAGAATAAGTGTATGTCATGAGCATTTTAAACCAGATCAGTCACTGCAACAATCTATTATACACAATTAGAAAAGTACACTTTCTTGAAAGCATATGTTGAGACTTTCCAATTTTCATTTTTTAGGGGATCTCTGGCCTCAAGTGGCATTTCCCAGCTTAGAATTTCTTCAGCATAAATGCATGAAAATTATTCTGAAAATTTGCATTATGTAAATGGTAAAACTAAAGCAAATGAAGTTTGAAAATACATGTACAAATGCCAATGTAAAAAAATGCTTAGTGAGTAACATCAATCAATTGAATCAGATTGGAGCTATAGTAGAATACTGGAAAGAATGGCCAAAATCTTTTAATTCCTAATACATAACATCATTATCCATCATTTTATGAAGAATTTATAATATCAGCATTTGGACTTTCACATTTACTTACTTGAAAGAAAGGGTTACTCCAAACTTCGATCTTTTCAGTTATGTTTGCACTGTATAGATAGAAGTTGCTAATAATATTCATCATAACAGGTAAAGAATGTATCATGGTGCGATTAAAAGCAGCAATCAAGATATAACCCTGCAACAACAAAGATAAAAATTAAACATTTATATTTATGAGAATATATCTGGGTATAATGCAACAAGTGATAAATATCTCATTGAAAAAAAGGAACTAAAATGAACTTTTAGAAGCATAAAATGATGCAATATGGTATCATTCATGTTATTTAAAATTTAAATAAATGAAATCATTAAAACAGATGTAAATTTCTTTATGATGTGATCACAAGGTATTTCTGCAACTCTGCTGAATCCTAGGTGGTATTGTCAAATGGTTTACTAGATTTGGTGATTATCCTGAAACCCAACCCAACCCAACCCAACCCAACTCTTCTTCTTTCTTTCTTTCTTTCTTTCTTTCTTTCTTTCTTTCTTTCTTTCTCATTCCTCTCCCCCTCTCTCTTTCTTTGTTTCTCTCTCTCTCTTTCATTAATTGATATGCTGTCCACCTCACTGTTGAAGTAACTCTGGGTATCTTAGAAAATGGTAAAAAGATAATATGATTAAAATTAAGGAAGATTAAATAGAGACTAAAAACCAAAAGAACAAATGAGATGGGGGTGGGGAACCACCCTCTGCAGCCTGTAGCCATCTTCAGCATAGAGCACCCCGATCAGGCTATTACTCTCTGATCTAATCATTGAAATCTGTTCATTAGGTAACAATTCACATGCAGTTAGATGGAGAACTTATTTCCTGGCACACACGATTGAACAGACTAATTAATACACTTGTATGAGCCTCCTTAGCAATTTGTCAGAACTGAATAGAACCTTGATATAGGAGAAGAACAGGCAGAGCCGGGGGCACGAAGTTAAGCGAGTCAGCAGTCTAGAATCATTACATTCCCACGAATGATCAAAGTCCAACCACTCTTGAGCCTCTCTTAAATTCCACTGACCCTTATCTAGTGTCATTCGTTGGTATTGAACAGTTTGTTGATCAGATTTTCATGTATAGACTTGAGCAATAAATCTTAACTGCAATTTAAGGTATGGTCCTGATTTCTTACACCTGACAGTTTATGAATAAACCTTAATCTGCTGAGAATGAAATGGAGAGAAGACCTATTTTCTTTTTGTGATGCAACTCATGGGGCAGCCTTTGCTACCACAATAGGGCCGCAATGGCTATGGATTACCTCCAGAAACAGAGGCAGCACATTTCTTAATGCCAGAGGGGAGACAGGGGAAAGCTCTTTAAATTTAAATCTTATTTGAAGATGTCACAGAGACCAATAATTAGCCTCTGTCAGAACAAAATGCTGTACTGGATAACCTTTAGCTTGATCTAGTGGAGGCTCATGTAGTTTTGTGTTTACTAGTGTAACACATAAAATAACAGGCATTTTTCTTGTATTTGGTAGCAGCTGCTATGCAACAGAATGAATATCCTTTAAGGAAGATTTCTTTGATACATATTTTTGGCAGGTTTTCTTTATCCTCAACACCTTCACTTTGGGGGTGGGGGAATGAATTCTGCTTGGGCCAACTGTTTTCATGTTTCTTACTTAAGAAACCCTGTTGGAGGATTTTTTTTTTGTTTGATCTGAATGGATTATGATTGAATGTTTAGGCCGGGATGTACATTGTGTGTTGTTATTATCTCTGAGACAGATGAATGATTAAGAAATTTGAAAGATAAATAAATAAACTTATTATTTTTGTTGTTGTATAGTTTTATTTATTATTGGATTACATTTTTATTGCACCTTTATTATTTTATAAGTAAGTCAAGGTGGCAAACCTACCTAACACTCCCTCCTCTAATTTTCCTGACAACAACCTTGTGAGGTGGGTTGGGCTGAGAGAGTGACTGGCCCAATCACCAACCGGCTTTCATGCCTAAGGTAGGACTAGAACTTACCGTTTTCTGGCTTGCAGGCCACCATCTTAACCATTATATCAAAGTGGCTCCTTTCCCAATATTAAACCTCTGTGTCCCACCCAGAGTTGTTGTCCTGAGATGGGAAGCTATATATATTGTTTGTTTGTATGAATGAATGAATGAATGAATAAATAAATGAATAATTTTTTTTTTGTTATTTTAACCTTTCCCTATGTTTTATGTTGTTTTAAAAAAGCACTTCACATTTGAGATGGATAGGCAACATTTTAATGGCTGGGACGTTGCATTTCATATTTTGGGGACAGGCAAAGGATCAGTAAGAATGGGAGAGGCAAAATCAGCAGCATTCATATACACAGGGCTAGAATTTCATGCCCTGTTCCCCACACCTCTGGGGATTGGGCAATTGCAGTCACAGTGGTTTCTGGGTGTCCCAAATGAACACCAAATATTATTTAAAATAAATGCTAATATTCATTTTATGGATATATATACATTTTATTCCCTCACAGAACTGAAGTATCCAAAAGCAATTCACTATCTACAAATTTATTAACCTGAGATTGTTCTATCCTTAGCAAATCTGATACATTTGTTTTCAGATCATATTGTACAACTACATATAATTGCACACACATTTTACTAAATTCCTGTATATTCAAAGAGAATTATTATCTTTTCTTACCTTGTCTACTTTAAGTACATTTAATGCTGCACTATGTGGGGCAAGTGACACATATACACTGTTGTTTAATGCTGTATTGTGGAAATCTGCTGATTCATAATCACTGTCACTGCGTACCTCTGTAAGTATATTCTGGTTTCTAAGAGCACTAATTAAGTCATCTATGTTTGACCCTAGAATTAAAAAAAGGAGAACATGGCATAAAAATATCACAACTATTCCATACATTCAGAGCAATTTAAGTATACAAAATTTAATCACAGTTAACCCTAAAAAGAGATTCAGGTACAATGTAAGAATGATCTGGACAGAGGGATGACAATATTTTTTTTTTTAAAGTGGGTCCTTTTCAATTCTAGAGAGCCTTAGGAAATGGCATTTGAGTGGGATGGACCAGAATGACAAAAGCAAAATTGCAGCATCATGAAACACCTTTTATAGCACAAAGGGAAAGAGATTATGATGCAACCTTGCTTTTGTTCCTGCAGATGCATACAAGGTCAGGCTCTCCATTGGCCATCTGTTAGTTTGAAACCTACATGCAAATATGCAGCTGAACCTTATAATTCATGGCCTCCTTATCCATAGTTTGTCTATATGAACTTGAATTCATTATTCATGACAATCCACTTTGCACATCCTTTTTTTTAGTACACGTGTTCTACACAATCTGCCATTTTGCTCTGCAGAAATATGGATGTAGCTTCCAGTCAATTTATCAGTTGCCCAAGCATTATGCAATGTTCCTAACATTTAAAACAAGTTGCTACTTCCATGGTAAAAACGAAGAACTCTACAATGGCTTCCCCTACTCACTATAATTTCTCATCAATCCACAATATTCTTTAAAATGCTAAATAGAGAGATGGAGTGCTGCTAATTTCAACTGTGGAATTAAGAACCCCAGGCCTTCTTTATTTTATTTTGTAATCTTTGCTTTTTATTTTTATTGCTATTTATTTTTATTTTATTTTTATTATTATGAATACAGTAGTGCTCCGGTATTCATCATTTAGTTCCGGGATGTGCTGTGAGTACCAAAAACAATGAGTACCAAACAAATTTTTCCCATAAGGAATAACATAGTGAATCACAAGGCAGCCGGCATTAACAAGTTCTAACTGTGCAGTGAGTACCAAACAAACAATGAGTATCGGGACAAAATGTTCACATCAAAATGTGTTGAGTACCAAATTTGATGATTTTCAAAGCAGTTGAATACCAAGGTACCATTTTACTGTATTTTATTTTGAAAATTATTTCCTTAAATTTTTTATTACTTATTCTTTATTTGAAATAAAACTGAATGAGAGAACCTAAGATCTAAAGTGGCTACCATACAGTTATTTCTCTTCTATGATTTTTGGGAGAATCTCTGTTGTCTTTTGAATCATTTTCCAGCTTTTAAACACCCCCATAGCCCCGAGATATTGTATCAATACAGGTACTCCTAGCTTACTGACTGCCTCGGTCAGCAACCATTCAAAGTTACAACAATGCTACAATAGTTTATGACTGGTCCTCCAACTTGCACTCTTCACAGTCATGTGATCGTGGGGAAGCTGGCAGGAAGTTGCACGTCACCCTTACATGATGTTGCACTTAACAATCCAGTGATTTACTTAACAATTGCAGCATAACAGAAGTTGTAAGTCTGGCACAGTCACGTAATGTTTCACTTCACTACAACATCAGTTAGCGATGGAGTTTCCAGTTCCAATTTTGTATTTTGTTTCGAAAAGCTAGGATATACAACAAACTAGGATAGAACAAGAAAGTCCACCTGTAGTGGATTTTATAAATGAAATAAAGAACTGGAAATGCCAGGAATTGAAATAAAACCAATCAGTATATTGCATTTAAAATGTAGTTGTTAAATTCCTTACCAGTGGAGTTTTGAATAAGAAGACTAGTTTTGTACTTGTCATATGTTTCATTGGTCTTAAGAAAATATAAATTTGGAGATAGCTGTATGGGGACTACAGCTTTTTTCAAATAGTGATGTACAACAAACATAAAAATCTGAATAACAAGAAACAGTGTAAATAACAAAAATCTGAAAGAAAAGAAAAAGCAGAGGTCCATTTAAGAACTAGATCAGAATTAGGCAGGCTTTGAGGAATTCATTACATTACACTACATTATAGTCCATCAGTTTGTGACTAAAAGGTATCTTGAGATATTGAGAACTGTAATTAAATGGTTTTAAATGTGAATTTTCTTATATTGTAACACACACCGGTTATAAATAAGCTTATAAATACATTTAAAACTCTCAGTATACAATGAAATGCAGCAAGTAGCAAGAGGGGAATAAGATTGTAGAACTAGCAAGTAAGGTGTTTGCATCCAGTGTTGATATCAGTCAGCTGTTGGTACAAGCTATAAATTGTAGGAATCATCATTATCTGAAAAAAGAATGTTGGCAGTAAAATGTAAAAATTTAGTGTCAATTTACCAATATGCAAATAGACTTCAGTTGGTATATAAGTCTAAGTGCTATTGCTACTGCTACAGGAATAACTTTTGAAGAAACACTACAAGAAATCATAATAGCTGCCAGTGGGGACATTTGGAGCAACTGTTGTTGCCTTCTCAGCCACCTCTTGCCATCATCTTCCTTCAACTGCTGACACACATTTCTTGCCTCTGGAATGGAGGCACATTCCAGCATCATCATTGGAATGATGATGCTGTGCTTCAAAAAGGGCCTCATCCATTACCCAACCATTTTGAAAATAGCCCAGGCTAGTTGAAAGTGACCATACATTATTCATGCTTTTAATTGCTTCTGTTATAACAACAATATCTGTTTTTAAATCAGATTAATTCAAAGTTGAGATACTTACACCACTGCCACTGACTTAATTTCACGTTTTAAGTTGAGGAAATGAACCTTTGCCATAGTTGTGGCTTGTTTTTTCCAGAGAGATTTCTTGTTCACCACACAAGATTTTACTTCAGAGAGCATTAGTAGGGTCTGCTCTAATTCATCAGTAGATTTTGTATCCATTTCTTCTTCTACTTTTTCTGAGTTGAATATACTAAAATCTAAGAAAGAGAAAAGAATAGCTTGGGCAGCTTTACTTCCAAGTAGATTGGTGTATGTGTGTGTGAATATATATAAGTAGTCCTCAATTTACAGCCAATCATTTAGTGAGCATTTGAAGTTACAATGGCACTGAAAAAAGTGATTTATGATTGTTTCTCCACACTTACAACCGTTGCAGCGTCCCCATGGTCATGTGATCAAAATTCAGAAACTTGGCAAGTGGCATTTATGATGGTTCCAGTGTTCTGGGACCATGTGATCACCTTTTACAACCTTCTGACAAGCAAAATCAATGGGGAAGCCAGATTCATTTAACAACCATGCTATTAACTTAACAGTCCAGGTCAAGGACTGCTGCTCCATCTGCAGGGAGAGAGTGACTATTGTTGGCCTTTTACATCCAGCCGCGGTGAGAGAACGGCTGTGGCCATCCGCCTGCACTGCAACCATCTGATCTGGTCGCCCCATCACTGTGAGAGAGTGAGGGGGCCCCAGCTTCATCCTGGCCAGCCTCTTTTGCCATCTCTCACCTCAATGACTATCTTTAAATTTCGCTGACATCCAAGGTTCCCCTTTTCCATCTCATCATACTTGTATGGCTTATACCTCGGCAGATTTGCTTGCGCTGCGAGATGCCCCCCTCTCGCGGCAATGGCCTTCCACTCTATCGAAGGCCTACCTTAAGGACGGGCTTTGGAGCCCCGAGAGGTGGCATGTTTTAAAGCGGGGATTGAGGGGTTTTTTAATTAGGGTTTTTAATAATCTTTTAAGGGGAACTGGGAGGGTGACCAAAGGGGATGGGGGGGGGGGTAATCCACCTAGGTCAGGGCCCAGCCTGGCACAGGGTAACGGTTTGGAGGGCGCAGGACGAGGGATTGGGGATGTCATCAGCACGGTGGATGGGAGGGGCAGATATGGCGGGAGCAGAGGACCTTATCTTGTGCCGGGGGTGCGCACTCGCTACTTGAGAGCGATTGCACGCCCCGGTCCTCAAGGCTCCCCTCGGATACTAGGTGGCTCAGATACTCAGGACCTGGGCCTCCGGCTGATGCTGTGCAACGCCAGGTCCGTGGTAAATAAGGCCCCCCTCATTTACGATCTTATTCAAGAGGGGGGAGCGGACCTGGCGGGTATTACGGAGACCTGGTTGGGCCCGGAGGGAGGGGTCCCTCTGGTTGAGATGTGTCCACCAGGCTTCAGAGCATTCCATCAGCCGAGGGCCCAGGGGAGGGGCGGGGGGGGTGGCGGTTATTATTAACGAAGGTCTGGGTCCGAGGGAGACCACTGTGCCACAGATTGCCGGATGTGAGTCCCTCTTTGTGAGATGGGGTCATGGGGTTCAGATGGGCTTGCTGCTTACGTACCTGGCTCCCTGCCGCATGGCAACGGCCCTGCCCGAGCTACTCGACGTGATAGCCACGGTGGCAGTTGATACACCCAGGCTTATGGTCATGGGTGATTTCAATCTGCCGTCCGTTGGTGAAACGTCAGAGATGGCTCGAGAGTTCATGGCTTCCATGACGGCCATGGACCTGACCCAGTTAGTTCATGGCCCCACTCACAGGGGGGGACACACGCTGGACCTGATTTTTGTCTCTGGCCAGTGGTTGAGTGGTCTTATTATAGGGGATATAGACATGAAACCCTTGTCATGGTCAGATCACTCACTCCTTCGTCTGGACCTTCGAACCGCTACACCCCGCCGCAGGGAGGCGGACCCAATTAGATGGATCCGCCCCAGGCGCCTGATGGATCCTGATAGGTTCCAGACGGAGCTTGGGCCAATTCCTGAAGATCTGGCACACGACTCGGCCGAGGACCTGGTAGCTGCCTGGGATCGGGCGGCTGGTGGGGCCTTGGATCGAGTCGTGCCTTTGCGGCCTCTGACCCGGTGTCGATCCCTCGCGGCTCCTTGGTTCACCGAGGAGCTGAGGGAGATGAAACGCCGGAAAAGACGCCTAGAGAGCGGTTGGAGGGCCAGTCTCGCTGAATCTGACCGAACACTGGTAAGGTCGCGTATTAAGACCTACCTAGTGGCGATAAAGACAGCAAAGTTTAATTACTTTTCCGCCTCTATTGCGTCATCAGGGAATCGTCCGGCCGCCCTGTTCAGGGTAACCCGCTCCCTGCTCCATCCGGGAGCGCGGGAGGATCCCTTGGAAGGCAGGGCGGAGGATTTCGGACAATACCTGTATGACAAAATCGCTCAGATCCGGGGGGATTTGGACTCTGACTGGGTAGATCAGGGCAGGGTGACGAGGAATAGTCTTGAGAATGTTACCTGGGAGGAGTTTGATGCTGTGACTCCGGATGATGTGGACAGGATTTTGGGGAGACTTAGTGCGGCCACATGTTTACTGGACCCGTGTCCCTCCTGGTTGGTACTGGCCTCCCGGGAGGTTACACGAGGCTGGCTCCAGGGTGTTATAAACGCTTCGTTGAGTGAGGGTCACTTCCCCGCCGCCTTGAAAGAAGCGGTGGTGAGGCCTCTCCTCAAGAAGCCGTCCCTGGATCCGGCAATATTGGCCAACTATCGTCCTGTCTCCAACCTTCACTTCCTGGCGAAGGTTGTTGAGAGTGTGGTCGCGCGACAGTTTCCACAATTCTTGGAGGAAACATCCTATCTAGATCCGTTCCAGTCGGATTTCAGGCCTGGACACAGCACGGAAACGGCATTGGTCGCGTTGGTTGATGATCTCTGAAGGGCTCGGGACAGGGGTTGTTCCTCTGTTCTGGTCCTGTTAGACCTCTCAGCGGCTTTTGATACCATCGACCATGGTATCATGCTGCACCGGTTGGAAGAGTTGGGGATGGGGGGCACCGTGTTACGGTGGTTCTCCTCCTTTCTCTCCGACCGGTCGCAGTTCGTGTTGGCAGGGGGGCAGAGGTCGACCTCGAGGCCTCTTATATGTGGAGTGCCTCAGGGGTCGGTCCTCTCGCCCCTCCTGTTCAACATTTATGTGAAGCCGCTGGGCGAGATCATCCGTGGCTTTGGGGTGAGATACCACCAGTACGCTGATGACACCCAGCTGTACATCTCCACCCCAGGCCACCCCAACGATGCCCTTGAAGTGATGTCCCAGTGCCTGGAGGCTGTGCGGATCTGGATGGGGAGGAACAGGCTCAGGCTCAACCCTTCCAAGACTGAGTGGCTGTGGCTCCCGGCATCCCGATATAGTCAGTTGACTCCATCACTGACTATTGGGGGCGAGTCGTTGGCCCCCACAGAGAGGGCTCGCAATCTGGGAGTCCTCCTGGATAGGCAGCTGTCCTTGGAGGAACATCTGACGGCTGTAACCAGGGGGACCTTTTGTCAGGTTCGCCTGATCCGCCAGTTGCGGCCCTTTCTTGATCGGGATTCCCTGTGCACAGTCACTCATGCCCTCGTCACCTCTCGCCTTGACTACTGCAACGCTCTCTACATGGGGCTCCCCTTGAGGAGCACCCGGAGGCTCCAACTGGTCCAGAATACAGCAGCGCGGGTAGTGACGGGAGCAGCTTGGCGCTCCCATGTAACACCGCTCCTGCGCGAGCTGCACTGGCTCCCAGTGGTCTTCCGGGTGCGCTTCAAGGTGTTGGTTATCACCTTTAAAGCGCTCCATGGCATAGGGCCTAGCTATCTTCAAGACCGCCTGCTGCCACCGACGATCTCCCATCGACCCGTGCGCTCCCACAGAGAGGGCCTCCTCGGGGTGCCATCAGCCAAACAGTGCAGGCTGGTGACCCCCAGGGGGAGGGCCTTCTCTGTGGGGGCACCTACCCTCTGGAATCAATTGCCTCCAGAGATAAGGAGAATCCAAGACCTCGGTGCCTTCCGCCGTGCCCTTAAAACCTTCCTTTTCCAGCAAGCCGGGCTGGCCTAATTTTTTAAGTGTTTTTAAGTGTTTTGTTTATTGTTTTTAATTAATGGGGCCAAATTTATATATGTATATTTTAACTGTATTTTAATATTTGTATTTGATGTTTTTACTTGGCTGTTCACCGCCCTGAGTCCTCAGGGAGAAGGGCGGTATACAAATTCAAAATAAAATAAAAAAAATAAAATAAAACAACTTCAGTGATTCATTCACTTAATATCTGTGGCAAGAATGGTTGTAAAATGGGGCAAAACTCAACAACTATCTTGTTTAACAGAAGAAAATTTGGGCTCAGTTGTGGTCATACTTTGAGGACTACCTGTACAAAATGTAGTACCTCTACAAGTGAAGCTTCCATCCCAAAAATGTCATTGCCCAACCCAATTTTAAAAAATGGGAAATTCTACTGAAATAGAATTGAATAATGAAACAATTACTAATGAGACAACATTTACGATATTGTATTTAAAATACAGTATAGGAAGTTAGGCAATTTTTTCCCACCTTACCTGCTTGGTCAATCTCTGCTTCAGCTTCCAACTTGAGGAAAACATCCTCCAAGGTTGTCATGGAAACACCGTAAGAAATAACACCCAAATGAGCATGGGTATCTAGATCAGCAAACAGCGCTATAAGAAAAAGTAGCCACGGGGATCTTAGTAATTAATTTGTAAATGCCATCATGTTTCTCTGCAATGCCCTTTTTACAATTGCTCAATGAATGGTCTTCTAATTTCCCCAAAACTTTATTCCAAAAGCAGGAAAACAATAATGCTTAGGTAATAAATGTATCTGGGGTTAGTTGTTCTCTGTTAAAGTAACCACCAACTAACTCTCTATATATTAATATTATAGTCTTTGAGCTCAAGTGCAATTAGAAACATAGCATTCTGCTTTTCTCTGCAATTCAATAGTTATACCTGAAAATTTGTCCATATCTTTAAATGGTAATGCATATATCAGTTGTTCTTCGTTCTGTTTTAGCAAACTTGATCCGGGGATGTGCTGTCTGATGACAGATGCTGTAGCTTCTGTGTTACAATACCTATCTATGTGCATACTAAGAAACACATATAGACATCATTGTTTTGCAAAGGGATGCACGACATTCATTATAGGAATAAGAAGAATTACTCCTCCTTACTGCTGCCTGTATCTGTATTTTCATAATCCAATTCATGAAGGGTATTCATAAATATTATTTGTTACCATCCTAAGGGTGCTTACAATATAAAGTAGTAAAATTTAATAAATTTCAGCAAAACCTAAACACTTTAAAAAAAATGACTACTGAACAACTCAACACAAAAGTCCAACAATTTTAAATTACAGACCAGAGAGGTCAAGTATAGTTTAAAACCCCTTTAAATGATACCAGACCAAAGTCAGGAATATATAGGTGGTCCTCGACATACAACCAGTAATTTAGTGACCATTTGAAGCTACAATGGCACTGAAAGAAGTGATTTATGGCCGATTTTCACTCTTACAAACATTGCAACATCCACATAGTAATGTAATCAAAATTAGAACACTTGGCAACTGGTTCACGTTTATGACAGATGCAGTGTCCCAGGATCATGTGATCACCTTTTGGGGACTTTCTGACAAGCAAAGTCAATGGGGAAGCCAGATTTATTTAATAGCCATGTTACTAACATAACAACTGCAGTGATTTACTGAACAACTCTGAACAAGAAAGGTTGTAAAGTGGGGAAAACTCACTTAACAACTCTCACATAGCAATGGAAATGTTGAGCTCAATTGTGGCTGTAATTTGAGGACTACTTGTAAAGGGTTCTTCACTAAGAGGTTTAAGCAATAATGGAGGAGCAGATAAATAAGACTTACTTGCTGTTTCCCTCGTATATTAATGCAAGCATAAGCAATCCTTCAAATAATAACTGGACTCAAATTGTTTAAAGATCAATGTTAAGTACTCTGAATTGAGATTTAAAACTGAACTAGCAACTGACAGTAGGATAGACATTACAGATGAGCAGTCTAGTCTTAACAAAAACCTGAATAGCTATATTCCATACTAGCTGAAGTTCTCAAGTAATTTTCAATGACAGCTTCAAGCCAAACATGGTAACAATGTTAATCATACAATCCAATTCATATTACGATCACCTAACAATGAAATAATTTCAATTTCAATGTTTTTAAAGAGCGGAAATATTGAAGCAGGATTGGGACAGACATTAGAACAGAAAAGAAAGTGGTGGTACCTCAAACGATAGCCAATTCCCCATTTTGTCTTAAGGAAAAGGGAAGATCCAAGACATTTCAGCATTCCTTGAGAAATTACAGCTTTCCGATCTAGAAGTAGGCCAGAAGGGATCTTTATCATAAATAGATAAAGCTTATACGGTAGCAACCAAAAGTATCTTATTTATATTATGGATAATATATATCTAACCTAACAGGCCTCTAATTGAACATGCCTGCAAGAATGTCTGCTTCATCCATGAAATGGGTACTGAACACTGTCACGTGGTTGGCTTTTCTGTTTTTCAAGAGGTTCCAAACTGTATGTCGGGAGCATGGATCCATACCAGCAGTTGGCTCATCCAAGATTAACACCTAAACAACAGCCAGGGAAAACAATAAATAAAACTGAAGTATTCATTTTACAAATACCAACGATGCATGGCACCAAAACTATAGGAAAAATATCACCATCTAAATGGTGTGGGAAGGTGGAGGGAAGTCCCATAAAGCCCCATGATGGGTGGAGTAACTGGGAAAAAAAATGTTTGCCGAGTACTAAAGGGGAAGGAGGCTGAATTATAGTTAATCCTTGCTTAACAATGGCGACTGGGACCGAAATTTCCACCACTCAGTGATGCAGACATAAAGCGCAATATCACAATATTTAGGGAAGGCAAGTCTCCATTGTTAATTGAGGATCACAGGTTCTGAACTGATGACCTCACTTGATAGCGACTTAAGATTTCCTGCCGATTTCCAACAAGTGGTGTTAATAGGGAAGTTTGCAGGAAATTGCAAGTCCTGTATGATTTGCAACAGGCTGGCAGATGGGTGAATGCAATGTATCCTAACTAGTCAGTTCCAAAATGCCTTATTTTGCTGTACTTCAAAAACACTGAAGATTAAGCTTGATAATACAGTGCAAAGACATGGGCTTGATCTTTATTTGCCCTGTCCTGTCAACTTTCCCAGCAAATTTGGCACAGAGCCATCTTTGCAGGGTGGGTAATAGACAAACACAGATAAGCACTATGGGAAGCTGGCCTTAATATATGCTTCAGCAAATGTCCCGATAAAAACACTTAAGTGTTGCATTCATTGCAAACAAGAGATTTTCATCGGCACCTCTTTGTCCAAAAAGATGCTGCTGCCTCACAGTACATTACCGTCTAAAAGTGAACATGTTTTATCTCACTAATAAGCCAATCATGACTTAGAAATAATAAAATAAAAGAGCCCTGGTAGTACAGTGGTCTAAAGCACTCTGTTATTAAGACCAGCTGCCTACAATTACTGCAGGTTCGAATCTCGCCAGGCTCAAGGTTGACTCAGCCTTCCATCCTTTCTAAGGTAGGTAAATTAAGGACCCAGTTATGGGGGCAATAAGCTGACTTTGTATAAATATACAAAAGGATGAAGGCTATTGCTTAGCGCATTGTAAGTCGCCCTGAGTCTCCGGAGAAGGGCGGCATATAAATCATTTAAAAAAAAAAAAATAACAATAATAAAAAAATAATAAAAAAATAATGTATATCTGTTTGGATTTATACCTTTGAGCAGAAAATCTGTGTGTGTGTGTTTGCGCACGCATGTGTATGTGCTCACATCCATGTGCAGGTCAAAGAAAAGTGGAACTTTGTCTGCTTCTATATGCTGAAAAAATCCTTTTCCAGAACTTGAGTTCACTGGTGTGGGTGTATAATCGTGAGTTGTTTTTGCTTGAATACAGTACTTATTTCTATTGACCGGCTGTAATTTTGAATTAAGGTTTCTTAATTTTTCTTTACTGACACCGTATATTACTAAATTAGTTATATGGTACTTTATGGTAATGTTATTTTGAATCTATTTTTAAAAAGTGTTGTTCAGATAACTGCCATAAGTATTTTAGACATAGAAGAACCTAGAATAAAATTTGGTGTTATTTCTCTGTGGATATGGATGTACACATCTGAATAAATACCCTTATGTTCTGTAATTCCTTTTAGTATTCTTCAATGAAAATGTTTAGGCAGCTAGAAAGCCATGTGAAATCTAACCAAGTTCTTGTAAGGTGGTGTGTTTAAAATGCTCTTAAAATACTCTTTTTAAGATTAAGTAGGGCCAGTTGAGAGGAGGTAGCATATTCATGTATGGGAAAAGGTATTAATTGTTTAAGCTTTTGTTAAGGGGAATGCTGCTGTTGAAGATCTGCTTGGGCAAGTAATATTTTATTATTCCCAACTCTCCTAATTTGTACAACAGAACTATAGCTCAGTTTATATGTGGCTTGCAACTGATAAGAGTATTACTACCAGTATTTCAGTTATTTTGCTATTTACCTTTGGATCACCAAGAATTGCAATTCCGATTGACAGCTTTCTTTTCTGTCCACCACTTAGTTTTTTTGCTTGGTTATCTTTAATGGGCTGCATATCCAAATCCAATAAAATTTTTTGGACCTTTCAAAATCAAGAATGAAAAATATTTAGAGACAATTAAGCAAGTAATCCCATAATTAATCAGGCTATTGTCACTAAAGCTCAAGGAATCTAAAAGTTTTGTAACTTACCATGATATAATACGTTATGAAAATAACTCAAACTCCATGTTATTTATGCCCTCCAATTTCAAAAACAATCCTATTCCGGAAGAGTTAAGGTGAGAGGTTTCCAAAACCAATGCAACATCCATCCATCCATCCACTCATTAAAGTGGTTTTTTAAAAAATATTTTGCTTCAGCTAATCATCTCTCTTTTAAAATAGTTCGAACTGGTATTTGAAAGTGCAAAAGAACTAGTAGCAGGAAAACCAACAATTACTGATGCCTATACCTATCTCATGTCATTCTTTTATTTTTAATATTTTTATCCTAACTTCTGTAAGCTTTTCTGTTTTATAAGAGTTCTCAAAATAAAGTAGCATAGTATGAAATCTGGATGTAAAAAATGCAGTCAATACATTATTACATATTCATGTAAAATTATCTTTGTTTTATTAAAGGACATATATGACACCATCCTGAAATTAAAAATAAATACATTGTATTCTATTCACCTCTTGTATCACATAATTGGGAGGTATTCCCTTAATTGCAGCAACTATTGACAAATTTTCTTCCACAGTTAATACATCAAAATATACATCTATTTGTTGACATACTCCAGTTATCTTTCTGGCATCTAGCATTTCATCAATTTCAGAAACTCTGTATCCATAGATCGATGCAAATCCTGATAAAACACAAACAAGGAAGAAAATGATTGCTACTAAAATACATACACTCATGTATACATCACAAAAAATAATGGACTTTTACTGGACTGCGACCATAAAATAGCCATCAATATTAGAGACTTCTTCAACAGGAAATCAAGAAAATGTCTCCCTTCCTGAATTTTCCCCAAGTTTAGGGGGCTTAAAACTAGAAAAAAATAAAATGAAAAAGTGCAGTATTTTCTGCATGTGTATTTTCATAGTTTGTAGAAAGGAAGTCAATCAAAATATTAAGTCCTATATGGCATGAGGCTTCGCTACTTGAGGGATGTCTTGTCTGGTAGATTTGATCCTGCAAGATTTGTGCATTCTGGATTCTTTTAATTAAACAGTTCATCTATCAGGATCCCAGAAGTGTGCCTTCTCTGTTGTAGCCCTTTGCAGTGAGGTTCCTCCTGAGAGCCAAATGGCCCCCACTCTGCTGTTGTTTAGAACAGCCGTGAAAACCTAGCGATTGGTGAGGGAGAGGGAGACCCCTTGCTTCATTCCATTTGGTTTCACAAGTGTGCCATATTTTAATCTCATATGCTTTATTGTTTTTATACTTTTTTCTTTGGTTGTTGTAAGCCACCCAGAGTTGTTGAGAATAGAGCAGCACTGGAATGATGGAGGATGGAGTGATGAAAATGAAGGTGATACAGTATTTCTTAGCATCATGTACACATCAATTTCTTTACAAATCCCCTCTCTTTACAAATTGAGATTTATTTGTACTTTGTTTTTATTTATCATTGGTGCATGGGTAGAAAAAGAAACATATATTTAGGAAATCAAACAGAACAAAGGGATAAGCAAGTGAACAGCAAGATTACACTCTCAATATCCGATTCCAACATCCTGCAATTATTAAGTTCCAGTTAGTTGAAATGGAACTCAATGTATAATTAAAAGGGAGCAGAAATAACTTATTCATAACAGAAATGTCAAGCTACATGCAAATATTCTGCACTGCACGGGGTAGAATATTCCTATGGAAAAATTTGCAATCCTTTCTCCTAAATTCTGGGGTGGAAGTTTTGATCAATAGGTTTTATGCATTATATTATGCACTATTTTAGGTTTATATATATATAAAACCTAAAATAGTGCATTTTCTCCTTACTTGCCATTAAATATGGCAAGTCAAAATTATTTTGATCATACTTACCATCAGAAGGTGGGCACAATCCACACAGAATGTTCATTAATGTTGTTTTGCCAGTTCCATTATGTCCAAGTAATGCTGTAATCTGGCCCTCATATATATCAAAGGATAAATCTAATAAAATAATGACATGATTATACCAACAGGGGAGAAGTCAGTTATGTTATACCACACTACTTATTTATTTATTTATTTATTCAAACTATATGCCGCCTTTCTCCGGAGACTCAGGGCAGCTAGTAATGTAATCATTACATTACTATTAAACATTAAGACACTTAATATAAAACTGCATTCACCTTTGAAAAACGATTTCTGTTTAACACAATATTAACATAGTAAACTCACAGATTATTTAATATGCCATTGAACAGGAACTTGCCAACGTGCAAGTTTCTAGTTATCAGAAGACAAGAAAACCCCACTTAAAACCTCAAGGATTTTTATTACAATAAATAGTTGATAATACCAAAATTCTTACTTTTTAAAGTCTCCACAGTTTCACCTTTTTTAACAAAAGATTTCTGGACAGAGTTGATTCTGAAAGAAAACATGGTAATTTAATTTTTTTTAATGAAAGCTAAACTCTGATCATATTTCATCAAGATAAAAGCAAGCAATATGAAAGAATCATTATGTTAACATGAATATTACTCAAGTCTAAATTAACGCTAACTGAAGACTCACAAAGCATCGTTGAGAGTTTCTCAGTTTCTGAGAGCTCTTAAGTAAAGAACATGTCTAAATTCAGAGTCCTATTGGATTTTAACTTTCTTGTCAACGTAAGAAATAGTTATTGAATTCAGTACAATACTGCTATTAAAGGCAAAAGGGCACATTTCTTAATTCTAAAGACACTGTATATCAGTGGCAAAATGTAAAATTTGTTACTACCGGTTCTGTGGGTGTGGCTTGGTGGGGGGGTAATGTGACTAGGTTGTTGTGGCCAACTTTTTTTAAAAAAAAACTTTTAAAAGCATTTTTTCTACAACCTCTTCAGGTGAAGAGGTTGTAAAAAAATGCTTTTAAAAGGCTCTGATGATCTCAGCTGAGTTGCCTGATCGTCAGAAGCTTTTGTTTTCTTTTAAAAGCCTCTGATGATCAGGCAATTTAGCTGGGATCGTCAGAGCCTTTTTTTTAATAACTTATTTGGCTGAAGAGATTGTAGAAAAAAATGCTTTTAAAAGTAAAAAAAAAGCCTCTGATGATCACTTGGCTCAGCTGGGCATGGTGGGTGGGGGGGCAGGGATTTTTGCTACCGGTTCTCCGAACCACCTGCTGCCATCGCTACCAGATCAGGTGATCCGGTCCGAACCGGGAGCATTTCGCCCCTGCTGTATATCACTTACAGAACATCTGCTCAACGACTTTAACATTGATTCCCAATGGAAAGCCAAATGGGTCACTGAATGCCCAGATATAGGTAGTTATATAAATGACTCCACAAAAAGTCAGCAATGGATAATACTGAATAGGATTTGCACCTCATATGGTGTCTGCTGGGAGTCTCTGTATAAATGGGAGAATAGTATCCTCCTCTAATTATGACTGCGGGGTCTCATGCTAAACTATAGATCACATCGTGACTGGCTGAAGGCATATACTGGTCCAGTATCTGATTTTTAACATAAAGGATGCTGTGCTTCAATGGTTAAACGGCCTAGAGACTTTGGTATTTGAACATAGAAATTTTTAACATTTATATTTTATTGTGTTTTACTAATCTAGGTCAAATATTAATATATATTGCTAGTCCCTATATGATATGCTATACTCTAAATAAATAAATAAATTCATGTTTGAAATACTAAAGAAAAAAGTTCTAAAAGTACAGAACAGTTCTACATGTGTGTTTGAAAGGATATGGATCAATTCGTTTTAGTACTAATTCATGTACAAAGATTTCCTAAGCACCTAGTAAACAACTTTCATTATATTGAATACAAACCACCATAATTTCCTCTTTAGAAAGTTTCCACATGTTAAACATTCAGGCTGATATAGCTACTTTATTTGCCTCAACCTCTAGGCAGAAATTACCATCTATGTTTGATGTTTTACTTTTATAATCAATTAGATGCTTGCTATATACAACTCACATATCTAATGCAATTCTTACATGTAGGCAACATGGTTGATTTTTACACATAATGGGATGACCAGATTTATTCATGCTTACTGACCATTGATTTAAATTATATTTTATAAACACTGATAGTTTCAGTGTTTTCTTGCTATAATTCATTATCTATCTAACCCAATTTTGTGATTTAGTAGAGAAATGACTTTTTTTTTCTCTAAAGTGAAACTTCTCTTTGCCAACAATTAAAAAAAATAAGATTTCACAGAGTATCTGGATTGATGCTCTAAACAGAATGCTTACAACATTGAAAAACTACATTCCTTCAAGCTTTGTGTGGTCACTTCAAAGGTCGTCTGTGCATACACAAACATGATCCTCAATGACCATTCAAGCAGTGACTGTTCAAATTTATAATGGTACTGAATGAGCATTACTTATGACTGGTCCTTGTATTTATGACAGTCACAGCATCCTTGTGGTCACATGATTGCAATCCCATGCTTGCTCAGCATTCTACTTGCAATTACAATTTTGCAGTGTCCTACAGTCATTTGATCACCATTTGCAATCTTCACTGCCAGCTTCCAATAGGCAAAGTCAATGGGGAAGCTGGCAAAAGGTTGCAAATAGTGACGTGATGTCACGGTTAATGACACTATGAGGTTCACTTAAGAATGGGCGTTGCTAAGCAATGTAGTCATGTGACATTGCATTTTATCACTGGATCACTTTGAGATAGAAATTCCAGTCCCAGTTACCATCATTAAGTAAGGATTACCTGAACACTTTCTTTATTGTTGTTGCCAAAGCGAAATGACTCACTTGACATAAAAAGATCCTCAAAACAGCTGGATCAAATATTGACAAGATATGGTGCTTAAATGCTTTAAGCAAAAAGTTTTCTGCAAAGTGAATTCTTTATACAGTCTTTTAAAAAAATTCTTGCCTTCATGGAATTCACATATGAAAATTCATTACATAATATTTACATTGCATGCACTCAAATCCTCAAGCTCAGTCTTAGTCCATAGTTGCTGATCATGTAAGCTTCTGAGTTATCAAACTTAGGTAAGAAGTTTAGGTAAGAAACTTCAAATTAGGTAAAGAAATATTAGCACCTGGCTTTAGGAGTTGAAAGGAAACCACAGAATAGCCAATCATACCTGATAGCTTCTTTTCCTTGAAACTCTGATGATACGGCTTCAATGATCTCATTGAATTCTAAGTTTCCGTTAATATTGCTTTCATACAATTCTTTGTAATTTTTTGTTCTCTTTGACCAAAATGAGGGCTTGAGAAAGAAAAAAAAATGTCTACGCAATCCATATTCTCCTGAACAATAAAAGAAAAATAACATCTACAAATATTAAATGCTGCTAGTTATAATATACTATAAACATTTTAAAGATATATGTTTGCTTAAACTGGTCTATAATTTAATTATTTTCATTAATTATAGGTAGTCCTCAACTTATAACCATAATTGAGCCCAAAATTTATGCTGCTTAGTGAGACAGTTGTTAAGTGAGTTATGCCTCATCTTATGACCCTTCTCATTGTTGAGTGAATCACTGCGATTGTTAAGTTAGCCACATGGTTAAGTCAATCTGGCTTCCCTATTGTCTTTACTTGTTGGAAGGTCACGAAAGGTTCCCAGGACACTGCAACAGTCATAAATGAATCAGTTGCCAAGTGTCTGAATTTTGATCACATTACCATGGGGATGCTGCAATGGTTGTAAGGGTGAAAAATGATCATAAATCATTTTTTTCAGTACTGTTGTAATTTTGATCACTAAGCAAACTGTTGTAAGCGAGGACTACCTGTATCAAACTCCAGCAAAAGAACATGGTCTTAAGTATAAAATAAATCAAAACTCTATTGCTCAAATAGATCAAGAAGTAGATCGCTGGGTTCGTATATCTCACTATGCCAAAATGCAGATTATTTGAGTTTTCTTTATGTTTTCAACAACATATTATTTAAGAAATGGCTTAACATCCAGAGTGAATCCATCTGTAGTGAACTTTTTTTTTTTTATGTAACAAGAGTATACATGAAATAAACTATGCACAATAAAATTCAGCAACTGGCAGAATTTATTCTCATGCATTCCAAGTATTTGTACTTTTTGATGCCTTGGAAAGATGCTAATGCAATGCGCAAGTAAAGGTTTCACTTATAACTTTAACTCCGTGATTAAGTATTTTTCCTACCTCAACATACAGAGAAATGTTCTCTGTTAAACTAGAAGTGGTTTTGGACTGGAATATAATTATATGCATCTAGCCCAGTTAAAATAGAATGGCAAATTCTGATTTGCTGACAATCTAAAACTAAAAACAGACATCTGAATGTAAATTGCTATTTTTTTATTAAATCAAACAACTTCCAACTTTTCAAGATAAAAGGTATAAAGAAACAGTTCAAATATTTAATAAACTGTGAGATTTTATATTATTGTCCTTAAGAGTTATTCATACATTTTTGCTGTGTTTCTCTGAGAGACAAGGGATATGTAAACTATAATGGTTAAAGCAATTAGTTCAATTTTATTACATGTCAATTTTTTAAAAACTGAATGTTATATTGTAATACGTTATGAAATAACACTACAAATAGTCATAAATTTAACTTTCAACAAATGTACTAATGCTATGAAGCAATCATACTATAGTTTGTATCAAGTACTCGGACTGCAAAAAAAACCCTGCAGAGGAATGCACCGATCCTTCGGAATGTAGGTATTGCTACAAATATATATAAAATGCACATTGTTGATACATATATTTTGAATTTTGAATTCAATGCAGATCAAATAAATGATTATAGTTGAAATCATTTTTCTTAGTCAAACATTCAATCATACCTGGAATAACCTGATCCAAGTAAACTGCTAATAGTAGATAAAGCACACTGTCAAGAGCCAAGAGCAGTATAGCAATAATAAGTGGATAAGGTCCGTAAGTTAAATTTGAAAAATTAACTCCTTCTTCATAATCTTCTAAGTGCATAACCTGCAAACAAATATGGAATTTGAATATTATTTGGAATACCATCATAGCATTAAAATATAAAGGAAGTAATTAACACTTATGGCACTCCATTGCAAATTAGCACAACTTGGCACATAAGAATTCTTCCATTTTAGCAATGAACTTGAAACCACTTTATTCTTAAGGATTCATCATTGATCTGGTTTACCTTGGGTATTTTGGATACAGCTTGTTTAGTGTTTATTTTTATAATTAGCTTTACCCATACTAATTTTAATATTCCTGAAGTTAATTCTTATCTTCAAACCCAGGCAATTAATACTTATATTAAAAATAAGCACACATTTTACTGCACATATAAGCATCATCATGTTTTCAAATGGTCATAGTCTTTTATCCTGTTGATCCACATTTTTGATTGGATATTTCAAAACCTGGCTATATTGCAACCTTGCCTTTTGATCTGAAATGTCATATAAACTAGTGACTGAAAAAAATGAAAAAAAAAAAAACACAACAACATTAAGCAATATTAAGCAATACAATGACCAGAATATAGCATGCAAACATTTACTATAGAAATAGTTTCTAGGGAAAAACAGTAGCTGTTTTTACTGCTGTAACATAATGAACTTATTATGACCTAAATGTCAGGGTTCCAAATGTCATCAAAAATAAACTGTTTCACAAAAGTGTTGTTGATAAAGCTTCTAAAGAAGATTGCAACTAATAAACATTTCCTACATATCTGTAGTCCTCAGCTTATGTCCAATGCTTCAGCGACCACGCAAAGTTACAAAACTAGTGCTGAAAAAAATGGACTTATGAGCAGTCCTTGATGTTTGGACTACTGTGATATGGTTGTGATCTGGGTGCTTGAGTCATGATTACACTGCAGCAAACTGCATTACATGATCACCATTTGTGACCTTCCTTGCTGTCTTCTCACAAGCAAAATAAATGGGGAAGCCAACAGAGAAGGTTGCAAGACACCCCAGTAAATCACTTTCACCACCTTTTCTCACAAGGAGCCCACTATGGATCATAAGATCCCAGAGTCTCCTATTCTGTAGCACCCAATGCCAACCACACTCTGTAGCATGTCTGCCTGCGGCATTCCCTCCTTCCTGTGGCCCCTGTATGCCTTCTGCCAATTTGCCATTGGCCTCCACCGGCCCTCCTATGCCCCCACTGACCTGCTTGTGCTTCCTACACTCATCTGCAGCACCACCCACACTTTTTACCCCAGAGTCTTGCCTCTTCCTATTTAATGACCCAGACCTCCACATTTGGGAGTTATAGCAATAGTAATAGCACTTAAGACTTATGTACTGCTCCATTATACTGTACTGCACTCTGAGTATCAGCATATTGCCTCCAACAATCTGGGCCCTCATTTTACCGATTTTGGAAGGATGGAAGGCTGAGTCAACCTTGAGCCCCGTCGAGATCAAATTCCAGACTGTAGGCAGTTTCTTTCTTTTTTTTTAATTTGATTTATATGCCGCCCTTCTCTGGAGACTCAGGGCGGCTTACAATGTGTTAAGCAATAGCCTTCATACTTTTGTATATTTATACAAAGTCAGCTTATTGCCCCCACAATCTGGGTCCTCATTTTACCTACCTTAGAAAGGATGGAAGGCTGAGTCAACCTTGAGCCTGGTGAGATTTGAACTTGCAGTAATTGCAGGCAGCAGATGTAAATGGATGTTAATAACAGTGCTTTAGTCTGCTGAGCCACCAGAGCATTGCAATACTGCATTCTAACCACTGCACTGCCAGGGCTCCTGGGTTTTGATAGCTACTTGGACAGCTATCACTAAGAAGTGTGGATACGTGACCTGTGCTTTATCATTGCCTTGCTTAACAACAACCCTGGTCCCAATTGCTGTCATAACCTAAGAAGTAGCTGTACAGTGCTCACTAAAGAATCTGATATCTTTCAATTCCTATTCTAAGATTATTAGTTTGTTACAGAAATCAGTCCTTGATTTTTTAAAAAAGTATTTTTAACTGATAAAGAAAATAGCAATAAGTAACATGTTTACTGCAAGTATAGAACAAGGCAAATACTGTATCTATGTCTGTCTTTCTCTCACTAGTGTCTATAGCTGGGATCTGAACCATAAAAAGTTGTATAGCAATATGCAAATAATGAATTTTACTAACCTGTGCAACGCCAATTAAAAATGTGCATTGACACAGAGGGCTTACCAGCCACACAAAGGATTTTGGAATATCCTCTACCAGGAAAATTGTCAGACCCACAATACCAAAAGCCAGGGTTGACAAAAACTCAACTGTACCAACATGTTTTGATTTTTTGAAAAGAGGAGTCAACATGAATGCAAAGAAAACCTAAACAGAAATGAAACAATTATTTCAATGCATTGGAAACTTTACAATAAAATGCTGAAATGATAGTCTCTGTGTTGATATTGCAACAATTAGAATCATTTAAATTTAATCTACCAATGGCGTTCATTGGATTGATATTATTTTTTTAATTTTCAAATTATGTGTTTTGGGGGTGGCCAGAGATTTAAAAGAGATGATAAAGATATTTCTAGATAGAATAACCTGGCTTTCATAGACTGCAATATTCAATTTTATTTTATGCATAAGTAAAAATATAAAATGTAATATATAAAAGTACTCTACTAAAGACAAGATATGTTTTCATTGTGAGTTGAAAAAATAATACGGTTTATATAGGCAAATTACCTTTTCAAACAGAACCCTTTCTAGTTCAGGAATGTCAGTGACTGACAGACAACTGAAGTCATGACATTCTATGGGTTTATTTTTAGTTTTGTTAACTGATGTGTAAATAATTAAAAATGAGGATAGCAATGTGCTGATTATATAATTTGCACAATTGCTCCATTAAAAGAATGGGCAACAAATTTAATATACAGAACCAGACCAGAAACCAATAAAAAGCTAGAGCACATACTTATTTTCATATAATAATCTCATATTATTAACATAATTTCAATATTAGGGCATTTTGGACTACATAAATATTTGTTATTAATAGTGATGTCTGTAATCATCACAAAACATCACATATTTGAAGACAGAAAACACTTAGGTAAATCAGAAAGTATACTCAAAACAAAACAAGAAGCAACATCTGTTAAGCTATCTAAGCAAATAAAATTGCATCAGACCTCCTCCAGCTATCATTCAGTGAAAAGAAAACTATAGCAGTAGTAAATTGCGTATGTAGGTCAAATAAGACTCAAACATTACTGGTAACCACAATATAGTAACAATGACACCACACACACACACACACACAAACACTTACGGAAGATATTCCATACAGGAAAAAAAGAAGAAATATCACAAAGCTGCTACTTTTGGGGAAAAGCGAAGAGAATGTTGCAATGACCGACATAAGAAGAGACATGACAAATATCAGACTGGTGTACAGTAGGACCCAAGAAAGCCTAAAAAAGAAAACATATGATGAAGATTCATGAATTCAAAGCTGTAAGTATTACTACACAAAGATAACTTACCTCTGCTTCAAAGATCAGGAATCTTTTCAGGCAGTAGGCACCATCATGCTACTTTGCACAATGTTGCAGACATCAAAAAAATAAATTTAACAAATGTAAAAGGCAGAAATCTTGTGTTGTTTAATGTTTAATATAGCAACAGATATTTTACAATGTTTTGTTGTCTGGGAAGACGGTCAGCTAGTGTTTTGTTTTGTTTTTTAATTGAGGATTCAAGGAACATAATTCAGTGGTATCATTGATAACATAATAACTGTCCATTATTGCCAATCCATGTTCTAGCTCTTTCAAAAAGCAACCATGCAATTAAAAACTGAATCTTTCGTGAACATTATCATCCATCCATCCAATTTATACAGCTGCCCATTTCACCAAGTGATTCTTGGTGGCAATAAAACTGGGTTAGTCCTCTTTAAATGAAACGTTTTTAATTGAAGACCACTTGCTCTTGGCATGTCCACAGACAGTATTATGTGTAAACCAAACCATTACAATTTGTTCCACAAACTATGTTCATAAGAAATTGATATAGTGAATGTTATCAATTTGTCTAGGTTAGGGTTAGGGTTAGGAACACGGAGGTGTATATTCATGCAACCTAACATGAAGAATTACAGAATTCTGCAATACTGTTAATACAAAAGACAAAAGCTTTGCAAACATCTAGGCAAGTAAAAGTAAGTATCTAGTAGGACTCCAAAGCCTTTTGTATGTGATTCCGAAAAGATGCTCTCGAGGAACAAGAATTTGTTTGCAAATGATCTTCTTGGGAAAAGATGCTGTTGTCTTAAAGAGTTACAGGCAGGCACTACATTCATACCTGTGCACATTCCAAAACAGCCTTTGGAAAGCATATACAAAACACCACACAGCTCTAATATCTAAAGTCATCATTGACCCCAACAGAGGTAACAGCAATAATATTAAAACAAACTTTAATTGTATGGCAGTTGTTTCATGACTATGTGGATTTTTCACCTTAAGACCTGTCCTTTACACAAAAGTGGCATTGCTCTGGAAAAATCCTTTTATAGTATCTTAAAATAAAGTTTATTGAATTTTCCAAAATTTTCTTTTTTATCTTGCTTCATCAGTTCAAGATGCTTCTAAATTCACAAGTGTACAAATGTATTTTTCTATGTATCTCTAATATATAAAAGAGCTGTGGTGGCACAGTGGTTAGAATGCAATTCTGCAGGCTGTTCGATTCTGACCGGCTCAAGGTTGATTCAGCATTCCATCCTTCCGAGGTCGGTAAAATGAGGACCCAGATTGTTGGGGGCAATATGACTCTGTAAACCACTTAGAGAAGGCTGCAAAGCACTGTGAAGTGGTATATAAATCTAAGTTTTATATATGTGTGTGTGTGTGTGTGTGTGTGTGTGTGTGTGTGTATACACACACACACATACGTAATTATATATACTGTATATACACACACATACATAATTTTGCCTTAAATATGCAGAAATGTTTGCTAATGTAATTTTTTTCCACTTTATTTCAACAAAAGACTGTTTAAAACTAGGCTTTGTGATAATAAGTGCAAATCCTTCAAGAAAGCTATCATAATTATTCTTTGAACATACTATTTGATGAGAGAGGGAGGGAGGGAGGGAGAGAAAGGGAGGAGAGAGAGAACGAAAGTGTGGATCTAAAACTTCTGGGAATGTTATTTAGAGGAAAATATGGCTGTAAATCAGGGGTGAAATGTAAAATTTGTTACTACCGGTTCTGTGGGCGTGGCTTGGGGGGTAATGTGACTGGGTGGGCGTGGCCAACTTTTAAAAAAAAAACTTTTCAAAGCATTTTTTCTAATGCTTTGAAAAGCCTCTGCCGATCAGGCAACTCAGCTGGGATCGTCAGAGAGGCTTTTTAAAAAATACCTCTCTGCTGATCAGGCAACTCAGCTGGGATCATCAGAGACTTTTCAAAGCATTTTTTTTACCACCTCTTCAGCCAAGAGGTTGCAGAAAAGAATGCTTTGAAAAGCCTCTGACTATCCCAGCTGAGCCGCGCGATCATCAGAGGCTTTTTTTTTTATTTTTAAAAGCATTTTTTCGTCGGAAGAGGTTGTAGGAAAAAATGCTTTTAAAAGTAAAAAAAAAAAAAAGCTTCTGATGATTGTGCGGCTCAGCTGGGCATGGGGGGGGGGCTCAGGGATTTTTGCTATTGGTTCTCCGAACCACCCGCCACCATCGCTACCGGATCAGGCAATGAGCATTTCACCCCTGCTGTAAATGGACATATTTCTTTTGTTAAAGTAGACTGCCCCAAATTTTCCAGAGGAAGAAAACAAGAAAACTCTATCATATTAATTACATTTTTTAAAAAGGAGAGAAGGTAGGGAAGCCTTTGCAGTTCCACCAATCAAGTGCTTCATGTATCCTCTTTACACCTGCCCTCAATTTAAAGCTTTGTCATGCATATGCACCCGAAATTTAAACTGAGAATCTGCACACAAGCATTAGTGAGTTTTTTCAAGCATTCAGCATAACAGTATCAATCTAGAAAAGCAAATCAGCTTACATTTAAAGAGACATCTCTAAATAAATTTTGTACATGTTTACAAATAACTCCAATAACATATATACACAGATCTGATAATAAGACCAGTGATGATATAATTGTGACCATAGACTGCAAACATTACAAGTGTCACTTTTATTTTCAAAATTGCATCCGATTCTTCACATAGCTCAGTGTTTAAAATATATCACAATGTAGTCATATCTATCCAAACTAAGAAATAGACTAGCAGCCTGAAATGTTTTCTAAAAAAAGACTTTTTTACTTTGGGTCACAATCAAGATGCTGTACCTTTTCTCTCAAATTGTATAACTGAACAAGAGCTGCTGCAGTTGTTTAAAATGAAGGAACTTACTCACCAAAAGGCAGTGTCATGAAGGCCCATTATCATTAAAAATTCTTTTATTTTCTTCTCTTTTTCTGCCACAATATGGATTGCCAAGTAATAACCAAAAGGCGAAAAGGCAATCACTAAGTAAATCAGAATGATGGCACGAGGAAAATTATCTATTTCCAAAATAGCAGATTCCCCCATCATGACAGCTTTTGTTTGTTCCAGTTGTTCCAAAACTGAGTGATTGGTCTTCAGCTGAAAAAAGAAAATGACTGTTAAAACCAGGTTTTGGAATAGCTTCTGCTAATAAAGAACGTTATATCCAAAGCTGTAAAACAGTTTACGACAGATCTAATTTATCTATTTTATATCTCCATGCAAAATATTTTGAGTTTCACAAAGGAGGTCTGGTTTATTTTATATATTTATTATATAAATATAATAAATAATAATTTATTATTATTCGGTTGCTCAAATTTTAGAATAAAGAAAAAATGAGATAAATAAAATAGGAGGGCCTTAAGATAAAAATGTTCTGTATCGATGGATAGAAAACTTGATTAAAGAACACTTACTAGATTAGGCAAAAAAACCCAACCCTATGAATCAGCTTTCTAATACATTTACATTAGCCTAATTGCAGCCAGAGTAATTTTTAGACTGATCTCCTCTTTGAGAAGACTGAATTCAATTACTGGTAATCAGGTGAAAAAGCTATTAAGCTGTTGGCACATTGTTTGAAGCAAAAAAACCAATAGAGTTTAATTTCTGAAATTGTTGTAGTTGATAGGCAGAAGTTGTTAGGTTCAGAACCTTTAAAAATAATTTTTCCCTTTTTCTTAGAAATCATTTTATAAATTGGATCAGTGGTAATTAATATATTAATCACTTTATGAGTCAGATAAATATTCAGCGATATCACAAAGTAACATTGATATTTTGAAAGCTCCTTTGCCACTTTATTTAACAAGTATTGAAACTGATCCAATCATCGCAAAATGGTTCAGTTCCTGGGCTAGATGGTTTCCAAGTGGAATGGAATAAACTGTGGTACTGACAAGACTTGAAATTCTATCAATAGCAAAAACAAAACAAAACAAAAGTATTATACACCAAGTAAATCCAAAGGAAGCACACATGATTGGGCACAAATTATTAACAGCTGTGGTTGTGCAGTGGTTCTGCCATCTGCTAATTCTGCCATCTGACAGCAGTTCAATTCTCATCAGCTCAAGGTTGATTAAGTCTTCCGTCCTTCCGAAGTGGGTAAAATGAGGACTCAGATTGTTGGGGGCAAAATGCAGACTCTGTAAACTACTTACAGAGGTCTGTAAAGCACTGTGAAGTGGATATAACTATTATTATACTGTAATTGCTATTATATTCTGAACATATTATGCAAATGTAATTTTGGGAAAGGCAGAAGTAAAAAGAATCAGAAGATAAACAGCAACAAAGTGGATGGATTCAATTAAAAGTCCTGGTCAGTGCACAGTTGGAGGATACCTGAAGAGATAGATAACCCTATTGTTCCCAACAATCAACAATTTATTTTAACCCTCCCCACTCCCTAGTTGGGCCACTATTAGGCCCTATGACTAACATGCTTGCCCTGCCAGTTTCTGTTCGATGGAGGCAGGTCCCACCTATTTTCCATCTATCTTCTTGCCTGTTCTATCCATCTGTACGCTGCCTGTATGAACATTGTGGACATCTTATTTCCTTCTGGAGACTTTGGACCTGGCTCTGTTTGTTATCCAGCACGCTGGCTGTATGGAAAATGGCAGCTTACGGGAGGATGAACGGAGCCGGTTTCTATCATTGTTTCACCACCAATGGGATGTACCATCTTCCCCATGGCCAGTTGGCCAACCATCGTGAGAGGCTGGTTGGACGATTACCTCCGAGTTGGTTGGAACATTGGACTCCCCCACTGCCGTGAGAAGACATTGGAGACTCTCCCGTTTATGGTCAACCTGCCTTGTTTCTTTTGGGACATTTTGGACTATCATAGTGGAGCCCTTGGCCATACCTATCACTACCTCAGAGCTTTAGATGTATTTAAGGTCACAGCCTCTTGCCCTGCGAGACTCCCCCCTTTCGCAAGCCTGGCCCTCTGCGTTATCGAGAGCCTACCTCAATGACGGGTCCTGGAACACAGAGAGGTGGCATGCTGCAAAGAGGGGGTTGAAGGTTTTTTTATGTAAATTTTTGGTTAAACTTTTAAGGGTCCCAGGGGGGAGGGTAAAATTGGAACTAGGGTCGTGGGTTTGGTGGATAACCCACTAAGGGGGGGGTCGGGCCTGGCCACTATGCACGGTGGAGGGGGTGGGGGATCTGGAAGTAATTGGGGGGGTCGAGCTTGTCCAGATTGTGTTTTTACCATTGGTATTGTGAGTGGGAGGAGTAGATATGGCGAGAGCAGGGGGCCATATCATGTTAAGGGAGCATGCACCCGCTGTCTTCGAGCGGTAGCACGCTCCGGCCCCCAAGGCTCCTCTCGTTCTCCAGGTTGCACAGACCCTCGGGGCCCGGGCCTTCGACTGATGTTGTGCAACGCCAGGTCCGTAGTAAATAAAGCCCCCCTCATTTGTGATCTTGTGCAGGAGAGGGGAGCGGACCTGGAGGGTACTACGGAGACCTGGTTGGGCCCGGAGGGAGGGGTCCCTCTGGTAGAAATGTGCCCACCAGGCTTCTAGGCATTCCATCAGCCGAGGTCACAGGGGAGGGGCAGGGGAGTAGTGGTCATTATTAGAGAAGGCCTTAGGCCGAGGGAGGCCACTGTTCCTCAGACGGCCGGTTGTGAGACCCTCCTTGTGAAGTGGGGTCATGGGGTCCAGATGGGTTTGCTGACCACGTACCTGGCTCCCTGCCACGTGGCAGCAGCCCTGCCCCAGCTACTCAACATTATCGCCGCGGTGGCGGTTGATACCCCCCGACTTATGGTCATGGGGGATTTTAACCTGCCATCCGTGGGAGAGGCGTCTGAGGTGGCTCGGGTGTTCATGGCTTCCATGACAGCTATGGACCTGACCCAGCTAATTCATGGCCCTACGCACATGGGGGGAAACACACTGGACTTGGTTTTTGTCTCTGGACAGTGGCTGAGTGATCTCGAGATAGGGGATTTAGTCATCGAGCCCTTGTCATGGTCGGATCACTCTCTCCTTCGCCTTGACCTTCAAACCGCTGCACCCTGCCGCAGGGAGGCGGAACCGATAAGATGGTACCATCCCAGGCGCTTGATGGAACCTGATAGGTTCCAGATGGAGCTTGGGCCAATCCCCACGGTTCCGGCTCACGCCTCGACTGGAGACCTAGTGGCCGCCTAGGATAGGGCGGCTGCTGGAGCTCTGGATTAAGTTGTGCCTTTGCGGCCTCTGACCCGGCGCCGATCTCACCTGGCTCCTTGGTTCACCGAGGAGCTGAGGGAGATGACGCGCCGGAAAAGACACCTAGAGAGTAGTTGGAGGTCCAGTCGTGCTGAATCTGACCGGACACTGGTAAGATCTCATATTAAGAATTACCT